GGTTTCCCTGGACCTTCCTAATGGCATATTCTAAGGCAAAGTTGAAAAGGAGTGGCAATAAAGCATCTCCTTGTTTTAGATCATTCTGGATAGGAAATTTATCAGACAAATGTTTACCTACACGGACTTTACTATTCGTTTCACTTAAACGCATTTTAATCAACCTAACTAGTTTCATGGGTATCCCAAACTCTATTAGAATATTGTACAATACTTCCTTCCTAACTGAATCGTAGGCGTCCTTGAAGTCTATGAATAGCTGATGTACTGTCTCATCATACTCCCATTTTTTGTCCAAAATCTGACGAATGTAAAAGATCTGATCTGTAGTTGATCTGTTATGTCGAAACCCACACTGATGATCCCCAATAATTTCATCTATATGGACTTAACCTTGAAAGAATATTGGACAAAATTTTATATGAAGTTGATAGCAGTGATATTCCCCGATAAGTACTACAGTCAGTTTTATCACCCTTCTTGTGAACTGGTACAATAAGACTCCTTCCACTGATCAGGCAATTTTTCCTTATGCCAAATAGAAGTAATTAGATTGTGGATCTTAGAACGTAATATTTCGCCTCCTGCTTGAATAAGTTTTGCCGGAATTTGATCACTACCTGGCAATTTATAGTTTCAATTTTGCAATAGCACTTTCAACCTCGAAAGGGCTAGGATCAGGTATTAACGGCTCAGCTATATCGATTTCTGTCTGCCTAACATCACTGACCATATGTATATTCAATAACTGAGAAAAGTAGTTCCTCCACCCATTCAAAATGTTGTGGTAATCTGCAAGCAGATCACCATTCTCATCCTTCACTAAGTTACTGCTAGGCTGGTAACCCCTTTTAAAGTCATTTATTCCTCCATATAGGTCTCTAATATTCTTGTTCTTACTGTTCATTGCAAGCTCACCAATTTTGTCTTTCAGATATTCCCTCTTTTTGTTCCTGAAATGCCTGCTGGTTTCACATCTTATATCGTTTAGATTATCCCCATTTAACTCGTTTGGATCCTGTAACCACTGCAATTTGGCCTGCTTTCTTTGATCTAATAATTTTGAGCATCCTTCATTGAACCATGGCTTATGCTTCTTCGGTCCATAATAACCTAGACTTTCTTCTGCAGACATTTTTATATCCACTCTAATAGTTTCCCAAGTTTTATTAACATCCACCTCAGTGTCCAAGTTTTCCAAAGCCGCAAACCTATTTGAGATTTCAACACGATACTGCTCTTTGCCCTCTACCTCATTTAATTTCTTGAGATTGAACCTCTCCATATGAACACTGTGTTGTTTGTTTGCTCACTGCCAGTCTTTCCCTAACCTTTGCCACCACCAGGTAGTGGTCAGTATCACATTCTGCTGCCCTGAATGATCGGACATCAAGTACAATTGAGTGCCATCTCCTATCTATCAAAATATGGTCTATTTGATTGTGTATCTTCCCATCAGGAGATGCCCAAGTAAATTTATTGATGTTACGATGTGGGAACATTGTACTTTTTACAGTAAGATTTTTTGATGTGGCAAAGTTTACTACTCTAACTCCATTATCATTACTAATTTCATGCAAACTCTCATTCCCAATTGTTGGTTTGAAAATGTCTTCCCTCCCTACTTTGGCATTGAAATCTCCTAACAAAATTTTCGTAGGGTACTTTGGGAATTTATCAAATACATGTTCTAGTTCTTCATAGAATCTATCCTTTGTGTCATCAATTTTACCTTCTGTTGGGGCATGAACATTCATAACAATATCACACCAGCAACCTTTTAGTATTATATATGATATCCTATCACTAATGAATTCTACCCTCTTAACTGCTGATACAATTCTCTTATGTACGAGAAAACCTGTACCTAATTCATGATTTTCATTCCCCTTTCCATAGAAAAATGTATAGTCTCCTGCTGGTGCAATGCCACCTCCATCCCATCTGACTTCCTGTATTCCCGATAAATCTAACTTATATTTTAAGATTTCTTCTGCCACTGCCCTGAGCGAACCTGCCCTATACAAACTTCGTACATTCCAAGTGCCAAATCTCATATCCATTTTCATTAGCTTAGGTCATTTATCCAAGGAGTCAGTCCAGGTCCGAGGCTTTGTGTTCATTTTCGTTAACATACTGATTTTTTACGGTGAGGAGTTGCTAGCCCAACGCCTAACCCCCAAGCTGGAGGGCCACCCCTTGTCGGCTGTCCGGGACTGCTCATTCAATTTATTCGCAACTTCCCTCCAAAACTGGTGGGCGTCCCCTCCATCTGCAACCTGAGGACACACTATGTCATGGTGACAGGGACCCACCTAACATGGTTCCTTCTTGAACTTAACCGTTTAAAATAAAAGTAGCAGAATAACGTCAAAACAATCTTCAACAAATACAATCAAATCCACTTTCATAACAAACAAATACCAGCCAGTAATACAAAAATTAAACAACATAATGTAATCCACCTCACAGTTAAAAATAAATAGCACCTTGACCTGAAATAAATCAAAATAATGAGACTAAAAAATTAGAACACTAAATGGATCATTGTAACGGCGATATACAAAAAAAATATCCAAAGCAGATCACTGATCAAAGGGCAGACATCTCTGAAAGGAATAGAATACCACCAAATTCTTTAGGTTTCAACATAACAAATACTACCCAGGAAAACAAAATTAGCATGAAAATAATAGGGTATATGGTTCTAATTTACACCTAACCACTTTGCACGACCAAACATAATAATTTCAAAGGAGTGTATATTGTAGACATTAGTAATGCGAGATGATCTTTTGTCTGCTATAGAACAGGTTTTTGACCTTTCCAACACACAAGAATGTACTTTAACCTCGTGACATAGTTGAAGCGGCCTTTGAGCCTCAATTGAAAGTCAGTTAACAAAAAAGAATCCAGTGGGCGAGTCAGCATCCTAATGACATTCGGTAGACTGATGATCCCCTTACAGTAATGAAATGTGGCATTCATATGCAATAGAAAGTATTCTAAAACTTTCTAAAATAAATTAATGAATTCCTGGACTTTTTTCATGCAGTTAACGTTTAGCATACGTCAGAATACTAACCCAATTACGTTCAGGGATGCAGGGAAGCCAATCTGGCGATTCTGCCATCAGATGTGGTTGTTTTTACGAGGTCAAATAGGTGCCAGATTTTTTATTTTGTATCGAAATTCTGGTGTCACGATTCATCAAGAGCTGAGGCCTTTTTAAGGTATTGTAACGTTTGGAGTAGATACTTCCATAGTAACACAATAACAGTGAGCCGTTGGGTAGAGAAGGCCGAAACAACGAAGCAGCATTTCACTGGAGATGAACAGAAGGCTCGTTGTGTTAACAACGGACTGTCAGAACAGTGGGAACGGAACCGTGAGGAATGGTGTCTGGTATCCGGTCCTCATAACTCCTATATAAGAGAGTTGGAAGCAGAGCCACCTACTCGTTAGTGAGGATGTTACATAAGGTCTATTACCGCAAGGGTTCAGTTGGGGGGAAAAAAATCTCTGGTCGTGGTCATCATGGGGCCTGAAGCCAAGACGAACTGATTGGCGGTAAACCACCAGTTGTAAAATAACTCTAACTCTCTCTCTAGAGAGAGACGTATGAACGAGACAGTTGAGATGTTGCATGCTTCCGCTGAATGGCCTTATGAAGTTTCCTGAGGATGTTACAGTAGGAGTCAGCATTTATGGTTTGTCCTTGAGGCTGGAATGTGGTGAGCAGTATACCTTCATGATCCCAGAAGACTGTGAGCATCACTTTCCTGGAGGATGGTGTCACCTTAAACTTTTTTTGGCAGGCAACGCAGGATGTTTCCATTGCATTCATGCACACTTTGTCTCGGGCTGGTAATGGTGAACCCAAAACTCATCGCCTGTGACAATTAGGGCTAGCAAATGTTGTCCTTCATCGTGGTAGCGATTGAGATGCTGTAATGCCAGATCCATTCTTTGCATTCTGTGTTGTGGGGTCAGCATGCGCGTCACCAATCATGCAGACTTTGTGAAAACCTAACCTGTCATGCATTATGAGGTAGGCCATGCTGTGTGAACACGCCTGGTTCCTACAGCAGCCCAAAGAATTTTATGCTGCTTGTTTTCAGGGGCTTGTGAAATGATGGGACAAGTGCCTCAATTTACAGGGATTATGTTGAGAAATAAAAGTATTTTTCAAATCGATACTCTTATTTATTTAAGTTCTATATCCATTTGTAACTTACTTATTGACTTACCCCAGTAGCATTACCCACCACGATCATGGCTGTCTGAATATTCAGTTCATCCAATGTTTCAGGACTGAAAAAAATCACTCCTCAGAAAGCAGTGGCATTCAGGTCACTGTGGTAATAAGGGCATGAGGCTTCCAGGGCTGAAAATCTAATTTGCATCATTCCTAAATGAAGTTTCAGTTGATCTGTTGTAACAGTTTTCCCCACTGACATATATAGACCACCCCCATAATATCTTGCCATATTTTGCTTGGAAAAGATTCTGGCTAACCCATGTTTCATTCAAATAAGAGATTACAGACTTCACTGCTCTTGTTTATGGATATCTATCTTGTGCAGTTTCACAGAATGTTTTTCACAATTACAATATCCATCCTAGCCATCAAACTTTTCTCCCACAAGTCAAACAGTTTGATTGTAACACATTATGATAAAAAAGAACTTACTTTTGGAATATACCCCATAATAAAATGACCTGGCTGTATTCCATAATTGCAAACATCGGTTCAACCAAGAAATAAAAGATAAACGTAAAAAAATAACATTACAAACCAATCTGTATTTTCAGTTCTGTACAATCAGGGCCTTAAAGTAAACTAATGTCTTATTAAAATATATTACCTGTGGTTATGGAGGAATAAATTTGGAGTAAATGAATCACATACCTCACCGCAAAAAAAAACTGAATCACTCAGGTATTGTAGAAGACTTCCCAAACAGATAATGTATGTATCAGGAGAACAAGCACTTCCACAGTAGTAGTTTAATGTTAACAGATGTTGAGTCAATTGAAAAATACAAAATGGAATTCAAATTACAATGTAATTAACATGGACACCTGAATGCATGAAAACATGCTTGGTCTATTTGAAGATCTTCCCTTGGTTGAATTTACGATTCTGCTTATCAGTCCCAGACCATGACAAGTACTGATGAACTAACTGCTTGGTATCTTCCTTAGATGGGTCCAGTTTCATCCAATGGTAAGACTCGTAGTCAATCTGCCAATCTGGCGACAGCTGGACAAAGAAAATGTCCAATCACACAAGATTTGAAGGTTTCACAGTGGCAAAAATTTATGGATCATCTCACCGCCTATTTATTTAATTTGTAGTTTATTTAATGACACTACCAGCAACTCTGACCATATAGCACTGAATGGTTGTATGGTAAAAGGCAAAGCTATCCCATACGGTTGTGAGACATCAAAGCACCCACATTTTCTAGACATTCGATTCACAGACGGCAGTGATGTTGTCAGCCATATGTGCCAGCTGCCCTTTAACCCCAGGATTAGGTCAATTGAAAAAATCCAATGACCTCATCAGGAACTGAACCCAGAACCTTCTGGTTTGTAGCATAGGCCTCAACCAACTATGCTGCCACATGCCCTAAATGGCTGTATGAGTCTTGTATAATGACTCTGAAAGAGTGTGGAAGGAAGTGGTCATCACTACCTAGTTTCAGGTACACACTGTCTCTGGTGTTCTAAAATCATGATCTGGTTTAACATGAGTGGGTCTTCATTTTGATACAGTTTCTCCAAGATGTCCTCATTAAGCTACATTATTTCTTATGGGACATTCATGTCTAATTAACACAGTTTTATGTTACACAAAATTTTTCAAGAATACACTTATCAATGTTAGTCAGGGATTGGGTATACTATCCTGGCCATGATTCAAACAGCACCTCCTGAGTACAAGTCAGAAGTGTTACTGTGCAAGTTGGCTTGAGCCACATACTGAGGACTATTCCCAGAGGTCTTCACAAACCCACTGAAGCATGGTACAGGGGGTGGCTATCAGGACCTTTCTAACTAATTTTTCCTAGTCCCTCTAAGACACTGCCAACTGTAGAGTGGATCCAACAAAAACAAGGCGAGGCAAGTTGTGGGTAGAATTGGTGAACCTTGAATTACCACTAAGCAAATTTACTTCTCTGACTGCATTGGCAGCCCAATATGAAAACAAGAAACATTTACTGTATATATATATATATATATACACACACACACACTCCATGGTTTTAGTCCACAAGTGAACTGTACCAACTGAGCGACTGCTGCTTGTTAGTGGTAAAGTTAGTGCTAACTTTACCAGATATCTACTGTACATTATATTCCAAAATGAAGACTTACAATTGGGTGTGCTCTAAGTGCTTCAGTTACCTCTCCTAAATCAGAGGCTGAAGGACTGTCTGGCATATGACTTGCTTATAAGATCTTGTGTCTTAATGTAATGTTTACTTTTTATTCAAGTGCATAACATTTTGGGAAGCATGGAAGGGAAAACAAGATGGGATAGAATAACAAAATTAAATGTTTAGAGGAGATTAAATTTAAAATATGACAAGAATTACAAAAGAAAACAACAATGGTTACACCATGTAACAGAATAGACAAAACAAGGATACTGAAAGGGCAACATAATTAAATTATGAAGGAAAATGCAAAACAAGATGGTTCAACCATATACTGGAAGACACCAAGAGGAAAGAGCATGAAGGAAATTGAAAAGCAAAGAGTGTAAAAAGACAGAAAACTATGGACACTTGTCTGCTGACCTGTATAAAATGGAAATGATATAGAAAAAGATATTCACAAGGACCATGTAGGATTTGAGGTTCTCATGGTGGTGACGATGAACAGTACCATTTTCCCACATTTTTCCAAAAATTAATAGTGTAAGTCTGCCAAACATGTCTCTGCCTTAAAAAGGTTGTAAAGACGACATACATCAACATATAATATCTGCATTTCACATGTAAAAGACACATTTCAGCTGCTTTGTTACTAACCGTAAACAGTATTGTCATTAAAACAGAGCAATCCCAGCGTAGAAAATCATCGGAACAAAACAGATACCTTGGCTTATTAGATACAGTGGATACCACAGTCCACCTTTACTGCTTCCTAGCGAGGTGTACAGCCATAGCAAGCTGAAATCAATGTTAATTTTGAATATGATGTATGGGTGGTTGGTTTCTAATGCTGCACTCTGACAATTAAGATGTCTGTCCTTTTAACCTCAACTGGTTAGTGTACTTGTGTAACTCACTTTATATTGGGTCATCTGGGCCAGTTATGTTACCCAGTTGTCCAGTGTATTTCAGTTGGGTTGTGTGATTTCAGGTTGTTCCCACTCAGCCACCAGAGGTCTCCACAGCTGTACAACTGCAATGGCATCTAGACGGGGTGTAAGGAGCTATGTGGGTGACTGAAAATGGTGTCTAAAATTGCCATCAGTCACCTCTTACCATGAGCGGATGGTGCTTTTACATACTGTAAATGTAAAACATGGGATACCCTGCTTTACTTCCCTTCTGCGGGAAGCTGTGCTACAGATTTTACTGCTCTTGAAACTCCAATGACCTCAGCCAGGTTTGAACCCACATATCTTGCATCAAATGGCGAGCATGTTACTACTAGACCACGATATAATGTGTTCTATGCTGTATAAATTAGGCATGAGATTTCACTTGAAGCACTTACCTCAAATGCCAAGTCCTGACCTCTCCAAACCCAAATACCAGATATTGAACTGTCATCATCTGACCCAAATAAGCACATAGATGCAAAGGCATTCTTTCGCATCTTATCGAGCCTCTGGTACATGCCTGGAAGTGACACAAAAGCACATAACTTACAACCCCACACTTCCATATTCTTCAAAACAAACCTCTAAAGACCTACTTATAGATCACCAATTTTAACCTCTGCATGCCATGAGCCAATCAGATTAGAGTTAAAACTGCCATAGCAAGAGACTGGCCCAATGTTAATCACTTAGTACAACATTTCTGACAATAGATGGCATGAAGTGTGACATCTATGTTTAGAGGAAAGAATGAGCTCTCACGCTAAATCTGTGTCATTTGAGGGTATTCTGTGAAAGTACTGTGAGTTTTTGGTGCAAACTGCATTTTCTAGCAAGCCGCAATGGTGTTTCTAGCAGTTCTATGGCTGGGTTTACCAATGAAAAGGTTAAAAAGACACAGAACAGTAACTCAAAGGATTAACAAGACATGGAAAATACAAATTCAAATGCTTAACACGTGAAGAACACGAGCTCAAATGGTTAATAATACAAGGAGAAAGACAATTAAAGAGTTAAGGGCACAAAGAGAAGAAGCACAAAAAGGGCTAAGAAGACAAAGGAAACAAGAACTTGCAATACTTACGTTATCCTTTCTAGCCCCCTTGGCCTATGAAAACAAGCCCTTAATGCTTGATGCTATTGAAGGTTACCAGTGGCAGGTGAATGAACACCTTGAATGAGGTAAGGTAGAGACTGAACCAATGGGTTTGATCTGTGGCCTTGGTATAGGCAGCTAAAACTTTATTAGCCATTTCACAACCAGCTGACCCTCCTATGTAAAACTTCTGCAGCATATTACAACAGATCTACAGAAAGTGATGACATTTTGTCATCATTTTGCATGCGTTTTGGCCAAAATGGTATCTATATAGCTCATTACATGCTGATACCTTCATAAGTTTTGAGCAGAAATTGGTCTGGGACTGCCACCAATCCCTCATGCAACTGGCCAAACATAACAAGAGTTCAACTGATATGGGTGCCAGGTCATGAGGGTATTGCTGGGAACGAAACCACAGATCAGCTGGCAAGTACAGGATCTGAACAGCGGTTCATAGGACCTGAACCAGCTTGCGGCATCTCAACTGGAGTTGCCAAGAAAGTGATATGGACTGGATGGATAGAAATCACAAAAGAACACTGGGAATCCACAATTGGACTCAAACAGGCAAAGGGATTTATAGCAGGACCCTTTGCCGCCAGAAAGAAGGAATGACCTGTTGAAATTAAACAGAGATCGATTAAGATGGGTGGTAGGATTACTTACTGGACACTGCCACCTAAAAGGACACCTTTCCAAATGGGACTGACAGATGACTCAAACTGTGATAGGAGCTTACAAGTCGAATCAGCCACACATATCCTATGTGATTGTGAGGCCATAGCTTACTTCAGACTTTGTCACCTGGGTCAGTTCTTCATGGAACCAAGTGATTTTTATGATGCCCCAATAAATAAAGTCCTACATTTCATTTGAAGTGTAATATTAATAAAGGGTTAATCCAAAGACTTACTAAAATAGATCATTGAAGGTCGCAGTGTGAGGCCCGGATTTTATGGTGCACCCCTTACACACACACACACACACACATACATGCTACTGCTCTTATCATCACTCCACTCTGCAGCATCTGCCCCACAACTGTAAAGTTATCAGTTCACTAACAATGCATTAACACAGTTTGATACCTGAGATAAGATTACAGCTCATGAACACTTTCTTCAGCTCATCATTGAATTTGTATTCCCCAAGCCAGATAGAATAGTTCTCAGGGTCAAACTTCTCCCAGAAGTATGGAATAGATACACTTTCGTCTTCATTGGAGTAGCAGCGTTTGAAATCATCCATGTTGAAGGAGCTGTCAGAATATGAAATGAAGATTTACACTTACACAATAACTAGTAACAAAAAACAGTATAAGTACTGTGATGTAAAACAGAAGGGCTTAACCTCACACTTTGGGTGATTAGAAATGGGTACAATCAGTAGTCAAACATTCCAGAATAAATACAAGGGTTTCCATAAATGATCTTTATTATAATATTTTAATTCATTTTACAAATCATATTTAAGGTATATTTAAAAAATACAAACTGTCTTAACTAAAAAAAAAATGTTACCTCTTGCTAACTGCAGTCAGTTTTTCAAAGGTCTCTTGTGATCTGTCTTGAGTTCCTCTACTGTCAACAACAGAAGGACATAGACAATATCCTTAACAAAGTTCTGGGAGAAAGAATCCTGGGTGTACGATCTGGTGATCTTGGAGGCGCTGCTGCATCTCTAATATTGTTGCAAGGACATTAATCTTGTGACTGTCCCTTTGACATTCAAATGACTCATCACGGTTTTTGCCCCCCCCCCCCCGATCCACAAAATGTCGCCTCATTCATGTAGATCATTTCATGACACCAATGATTGCAGGTAGCTCTATTTTGTGGCCAGAATGCACAGTATGCTGCAACCTAGGTGCTAAACTCAAAACTTCCTGAGCATATATTTCAACTGCGTCCTAAACATTCTATAAGAAATAAAAGACTAAAATTTACAGACACTACCACATACAAATCAACCAAAAATTTCAACACCTACAGACTAGATTAAAAGGAAAAAAAAAAAAACGGGGTTTGGAGATTTCTTCTTAGAAAAATAAAAGGAGGGGAAGCAAAAGATTTATAAGAATTATTTTTAAGCACTGCTTCTTTATATTAAATAATGACCATTTTTTAAAAACTAAAAATTATATATGTAGCCTATAGTAAGAATATAATCACCCTGGAATGTTCAACAAGCATTTTGTTAAAATGTTTACAAACATGTCACACTCCCCTCTTGGGGCCACAGCAAACTAAACTATGTAAATACAACTGATAGTGAGGTGCAAGATGGAAACCCGTAACTTCAAACTGCCACAGCATTACACAATATGTAAACTCACCCCTTGGGAAGGGCATCAAATGGATCCTTGCTCTTGGGTTCTGCAGCAAGAGCCAATTCTGTCTCATCTAACTCCTCAGCAGGTGGCTCAGCAGGCTTTTCTTCTTTCTTCTTCTCAGCCTTGTCTGCCTTTTTCTTCTCTTTTTTAACAGTGCCGCCTTCTTTGCTACCACCACCTCCTCCTGATTTCGTAAGTGCTAGAATATTTAATTCCTTGTCTTAACCAAGCCATCTCCAAAAATGTTATAATTCTTTAAACAGCAAACAATTTATATGTTGTAAGATTTATATGTTTATTCACTCTTACTGTCATGCCTAGTGCTATAGGCTGTATATGAAATGCCACACTAATCTGTAACAAGTTGGGAAATGTCTGTGCTTTTGGTCTGTTATTGCAAACTGTGAATGCCACCTTCTCATACTTTCTATGAACACCATAAAAGAGGCATGGCAAACATATGGTGACAAAATCAATCCATCAGTTCTTGAATTACAAGATAAAAGCAGTTAAAAATAGTTTTAATTAATTTACCAAACAAATTAACATACTGTGACATATTTGTTCTATGCAGGAACTGTTGAGCCACAGAGGCCTCAGAGCACGTGTGCAATGTGAGTTGTGGATTGTATCGGCGCGTTGCTAGGAGACAACTCTGTGAATGCTTGGATTGCACAACAGGAAGTGTGAGTGACGTCACATATCCCCACTCATCCCGTAACTATGCAATGCTTGGTAAACACCCCCCAGTGGTGACGTAACAGCAGAGAAGCAGTGGCAGGCACCCACTTCCCACTGTGATGTAACAGGGGACACTGCTGTTACCATGGGGCAACAGGAAACAGTATAAGAGACCGGCTGAGCAGCGTGTGAGACAGTGTGGATTGTGAAGCCAGACATAAGACAGTGGAAGTCCAGCAGTCGCCAAGTTCAGTTGTAGTGAGTGAATTGTGAAGCTGAACATGTTATAGGTTCAGTTGATGTCTAGCAGCCACAGGAAGAACCGAACGCGTGATCAGAAGAATTTGTGTGATAATCAGTCATAGTTTGCGATAACTGAGAAGGCACTGGGAGTGTGCAATTCAGTGACATTTGTATAGCTCCCACGCTATAAATACGTGAAGACTACTGAAGACAGAGTGAAGAGATTATTGCATAGTTTGTAAAGTGTGTAAACAGTGTCATAATTGTAGCTACAACTTGTAGGTTGTTAAGTAAACCAATTAACAATCCAAAAGGCGTCTTCAGTGGCAAAAACACATGACAATACTTATGATAAAAGTGTATTGAAAATAAAACGTTTTACCCCCCAAAATTTTGTTTAAAATATTTTTCACTCCGATAAACACCAGTATTTAGCAAGCAGCATGAGGGGTGCAGAAACGCATGGAGGTATTCATGTAGTGTCCGACACTGTCTGATTTTAACTGACTGCCTCTGGGGTCCACCGAGCCTCCTATCCAATGGGTACCAGAGACTCGTTCCTTGGGGGTAAAGCTGCTGGGGTGTGGAGCTGACCACTCACCTCCAACTAGTGCCAAGGTCATGAAAATATGGGTCTTCATGGCAGTGCTTAATTAGTTAAGCACTGGAACAACTTTTAACAAAAATTTTTGTGCCACTCCCCAATACTTAAAGTGAGTGGCAGTGAACTAAGACTTCAGCCTGGCTATCAGTACATTTCCGCAACCTAAGTACACGATAACATTACCAATCTTTTTGAAACCACAAAATAAAGTTTGAAAAATAATTCTTCAGAAATACCATACCTTGGAATTCAGCAAACTTCTTTGGATCAAATTCTGCCATTTTCTCGCATAATTTGAATTCCCCTATAACAGCCTTGAACTCTGGTTGATTCACAACCGTTGTAAACCATCGGTTTACATTCTGGTATGGCTTCCTATTTAAATTAAAAATGTAACCTCTTAACACAGCAAACATTACAAAACACTAACAAGTAAATTAACCCATTGTAAGATGATGCTGGGCAAGCCTCTCACAAAAGGTAATGCTAGTCCATACTTGGTAATAACACACCTCACCCATAAGTTTTCAATTATCCCTAGGAACTGATCATGGTTAAGTCAGTAGCACTATTATTACTACAAATTCAGAAGGTCCTTGGTTTTCAACTACCCAACATTTCTCAACTCATGAGTACATACAATGCAACCCTAATACCTACAAAAATTACAGGCATAGTACTATATTAGAATTAAATCTAATACCTATAAAAATTTTAATTGACCTAATCCTTCCAGCCGCACTATGGCCCTGGGGGTGACTCGGCCTCTAACAGAAATGAGTAACAGGAATTAATTAAATAATTTTCCTCGGGAGTAAAGCGCAGCTGGCACGGAAGACTGACAAACTTACTGCCATCTGTGAGCCGAGTGTCTAGATAATGTGGGACCCTCAACGTCTCACAACCCTATGGACCTTCACAGACTGTTACAGGGGCAGCTTTACTTTTTTACCTATAAAAATTACAGTAGCAGTACTTAATCAGAAATAAATCTCTAGAAGGAATTACTGGAAATAACTGCCTTACTTCTGACATTCAGGCCAAAACAGTTTCCTAGTCAATGCCTACTGTGGTATGCTTAAATGCAGAGAAAGGCAGTCAAGAGCATAATGCTAGCCATGAACCTCACCATAGTGTTGAAGTCAAGATGTTGTGGAACTTCATTCACATCCCATATATGCAAATTTTAAGGATGGTGCTCAATTCAATTCTATTGGCTTACATAGGGCTGAACAGTAAGTTACTGGTTAAACTCCATGGTTGATCATCAACATATTAAACAAAACAAACCACAGCCTTGAAATAAAACTAAAACAATTTAAACGTTGGCGGCAATTCTTTCATACTGTTATACTTCAATGACTCCCCTTTGGAAGAATAGGATATACCATAAAGAGGTTCAGTTGGTATTAACCCTTCAACGCTGTCTGACATACACAGCATGCTTAGTGCAGTGGTAAGGTTCAGCTCACATCCATATGGGCCTTCACGGCCTCTTACAAGGATAGCTTTATCTTTTTTTACCTACCATCTAATTATTTCTTACAACATATGGAACAATAATTTGAACAAGGGCAAAGACGGATGAAAACAGATAAGCCGTGTAAAGTACTGTTACTTCTCCTAGGTAACGTGACAAGATATCATGGGTTCCGGATTAGGTGAAGCTGTTTACTGGAGAAGTTGTTTACAATTACAATCACTCTGAAATAGTCTTCCAGACGACGTGACCTGACTAGTCCATCGTCTCTCACGTTTCCGTCTTCTGGTTCTTGGCTCAGCTGGTTTCTTCTGTTCTAGTCTCCTCTGATCCGAAATGTTCTCAATTTTCCTTCGGTCTGACATGTTCTCAATTTTACTCTGGTCTCCTTTCTGGTCTTCTTTGATCTGATCGCCCTCCTTTCTGGTCTTCTTTGATCTGACCGCTGCTCCAGTCTTCTCTGATCTGACCTGCCCTGTGTTCCATTTGGTCTCTTATCTGCTACAGTCGGACAGACTAGAAAACACCTTCTTGAAGGGTTTCATTTCCCATGTTAACTAGTGTCAGTAGCTGGTCTATTTGTTGTTGCAGGAACGTGTTCTCATTTTATCTATCACTTACTGGTTGTTGCGGGAACAACGCTTATTGAGCCACTGCCCAGCAATGGATGTCTGTAATTTTCTGACTTCAATATTCCAGCTTTTTAGGTAGTGTTTACTTAGTGTTGCTCAGCAATGGTCTATTCCAGCTTGTTGCCCCAGCCATGTGTTTTAACAAGCCGCTGTCTATCAATGGACGCCTGCTGACTCAAGACATTCCGGCATTTAGGCAGCACGCCACAGTATTAACAAACTAATATGGGATAAAATCTAAACTCCTAACACTGACACTCAACACCAAAATTTAATTGACACTTGCTGAAAAGTGTCAAAGATAAAACATATGAACAAGGCCTCTCATTACAAACTATTCTAAGCGCTACGTGTACAGCATATGAAATTCACAAGGAAATCCTGACCTTGTGCTCAGCTAGTGCACTAACCTGAAATCTGCGTCCAGAACGTATTGATATAGCTGCAACAAAGTACAAGCAACTCCAATGTCTGCTAAAGTGATGCGTTCTCCAACTAAGTACGTGCGTGGCAGCAGATGGATATTGAGGGCTTGCAAACTTGCCTTCACATCCTCCTTTGCCCTTTCAGTAGACTGCAAAATAAAAGTTACACTTCCCTACATGTCATTCAGAAGATCATAATCTATTACACCTGTAAAGAACATTCATTCACTACAATTACGTAGGTAAGTCAATAAGTAAGTTACAAATGGATACAGAACTTGAACAGATAAGAGTACTGATTTGAAAAGTGCTTTTATTTCTCAGCATAATCTCCCTGTACACTGAGGCACTTGTCCCATCATTTCACAAGCCCCTGAAAACTAGCAGCATAAAATTCTTTGGGCTGCTGTTGAATCCAGACGGTGACTTCCCTTTCTACAGCATCACTTTCCTGGAGGATGGTGCCACCTTAAACTTTTTTTTTGGCAGGCGACACAGGATGTTTCCACTGCATTGACGCACACTTTGTCTCGGGCTGGTAATGGTGAACCCAAGACTCATCACCTGTGACAATTCAGGCTAGCACATCATGTCCTTCATCATGGTAGCGATTGACATGCTGTAATGCTAGGCCTATTCTTTGCATTTTGTGTTGTGGGGTCAACATGCGCGGCACCCATCATGCACAGACTTTGTGAAAACCTAACCTGTCATGCATTATGAGGTAGGCCATGCCGTGTGAACACGCCTGGTTCTGACAGCAACCCAAAGAATTTAATGCTGCTGGCATTCAAGGGCATGTGAAACACTGGGACAAGTGCCTCAATGTACAGGGAGATTATGTTGAGAAATAAAAGCATTTTTCAAATCACTACCCTTATCTGTTTGAATTCTATACCCATTTGTAACTTACTTATCGACTTACCCTCATATAATTAACACAGACGTGCGTCAGCAAAATGCCTGTCTTCTGCATTCATATTAGCATATCATTCCACTTACGTAAACTAACCTTTCCACAATACTATTTCAAACTCTATGAATAATGCCAATGCTTGGCTTATACAACTGTCTACCAATTTCAATCTGGATTACAGCCATATTGGATCTTGGAGGAACCTGGTGCCTCCATCTTCAGGGTACATCACTACCACAACCATTTAAAACCTCATATTTTTAACTTAAGACATTCACATTTCACTTGTAAAGGAATATTACTTAATTTATTGCAGTTGTTATGTAGTCAGCTTCTTTTCAACAAATAACAGAATTCAAATCTAGTTATCAGCAATTACAGGATATCACTTTCATAATGTTCCATTTTAAACCATCAGTTATGAGCAAAATACATGAACTGATGAAAAGGACCCTCACCACAAGCTCTCTCATTTGCATTACACACCTGTTTACTGTACTGCATTATTCCAAGGCAAGGAAAGACCCAGGCATAAGAAGCTGGCAGAATTTCACTGTCAGCAAATCCCAGCCACTGCAACACTTGTGACTTTTCCAGATCTGACTGGCCACGTAGCTGGCTGTTCGCCACTGTCAACATTGATCATGCATTTTACAATTCCAGAATATCACAACCTGTCAGCTAACATAATTATAGCTTCTTCATAACAATCAGGTATCCAATGGCTTCATGCAGATTTTGAAATAATGTGTTTCCATATAAATTATTTAAATAGATGTTCATAGTAACCACTAAAGTACAGTGGCGACCGGTGCGCTGCTTGCTGTGAGGAGCACGCGAATTTTGCCCATGAATCAGCACATCGACAGCCAATAACGTTTGGACTGAAGTAGTTACAATTCACAGATCACAGGTGGTGTTGAAAATGCTGTCCTCTCTACATGTAGATATTTTTCACAATTGTTTCATTAAAAAATACATGTACAACAATCCTTCTTGCACTTACAGCACACCAGACATAAACTTTCACTGAACAGCTACAGCAACTGTGTTGCCGTCCTTGCACTACACTTTAAAAGTGATTTTCAAGTTGTATGTTCAAGTCTGGCTCCTATGTCATCTAACTTCTCCTCAGTAAGCACTCAACGCTTACATTTTCGTTTCTTGTCTAGTGAGAGTCCCGTTGTTCTACGTTTATTCAGCAAATTGTGAGCTTTATGTCTCCTGGGAATTCTTTTTATCATGAAATTTTCTGACGCTTTCGAGCAGACCCACATTTCATGTAGGTGTGACACAAGAATATACGTTACTCTAAGGTATACTGCACCATGACAGAACATGCCGCTCAGTAACTGTAACTGAGAACAAATGGCTAATGGAGCTGATAACTTCTGCCTACTGCTGACAAATCATAAACTATCACATGAACTGCATTACTAGCTGTGAAGCATAATGCGATCAAGAGGTCTAGGGGTTAATTATTTTCCTTCATTCCAAACATCATTGGCTAATTCATCGGCAAAATTCATCTGCGCCTATCAAGTTACTATAAAGACCCTGTATAATAACACTATCCTAAAACATAAAAATAAGATTTGTAAATGCCTAAAATTAATAGTAAAGTAAAAAAAAGTAAAGCTATCCCTGTAACAGGCTGTGAAGGCCCATAGGGTTGTGAGACGCTGAGGGTCCCACACTATCTAGACAATCGGCTCAAAGATGGCAGTAAGGTTGTCAGCCTTATGCACCGGCTGCGCTTTAGTCCCGAAGAAAATTATTAAATTAATTCCTGGTACTCATTTCTGTTAGAGGCTGAGTAAACCCCAGGGCCTAGCGTAGCTCGAAGGATTAAGGCAATTGAAAAAAATCCAATGACCTCATCGGGACTTGAATCCACGACCTTCCGTCTTGTAGCATAGTAAAATGAATAGTATTTACATTAAACTAATTATACATTTTTCGATTAAAAAATGAAGGCAGTGAAAAATGTGGAAGTCATAAAATCAATGTTACAGATCTGGAACTTTCTTTTATGATTACAAGACCACGACAACGCTGGTTGCTGAATACTGAACAGAGAAATCCATCTGACCTGTAAAGCCAGTTCTGAGAAAACTGACATGTTTTCATTTACGCCACTAGTAATCATACTTCCATTTTCCTAAAAATACCACCCCATGAAGTATTATTTTGATACATTCTCCATAAATTACTCAAATTTAACGAAAATTATTACAGCTGTTTTTGAAGTTATAACGTTCACATTCACTGGATAACCTACAGGTAGGTAACTCTTGAATACTAAATAAAATCTGCCAAAACTGTGCTAGCAAAGCACACACACTAAGAGAACATTCTCAAAACCACATTTCGTCCTGAGGGGCACTGCAAACGTGTAAATCCAAAAAAATTTAAATTGTTCACCATCACAGTGCTTTCTCATACATGTTATATATACAAGAAAGTAAAACATTCTATTTAAATTTTTACCAGTTATAACTCTGTTACCCACAGCACCTTCCACAATAAACTAATAGTTGAAAGGGGCTCCCAACTTTGCCTTCTCTTTCAAGTAGCTGTGCAAGAACTCCGTAACTCTTACAGGCGAGGGCACGCCAAGGAAGCTGGCAACCGCAATTTCCGAGAATTTTATCAGCCTCAGTTGAACACAAGTTACTGAATGGAGCAGCGGAAATCAAGGAAACTGCAATGCCGTTTCCTCAATTTGTGCTGCTCCATTCAGAAACATGTGTTCAACTGAGGCTGATAACAATTCTTGGAAACTGCGGTTGCCAATTTCCTTGGCATGCCCTTACCCTAACACATGACAACTTTCATTTGGAGACAGCAATTTACTTTAGAGCTCACCACAGTGTTCCTGCAGTAACATTCAAGTATATTTGAAAATGTCACCACAGTGTTCCTGCAGTAACATTCAAGTATATTTGAAAATGTGACACATCTTCAAGATCCTTACTAAAAGTGTGTAAAACTGATGATATACAGGAGAGGTTCTATGAAGAACTAGAACATGTATTTGATAAATTCCCAAAGTACCCTACGAAAATTTTGTTAGGAGATTTCAATGCCAAAGTAGCGAGGGAAGACATTTTCAAACCAACTATTGGGAATGAGAGTTTGCACAAAATTAGTAATGATAATGAAGTTAAGAGTGGGAAACTTTGCCACAAAGAAAAATCTTTCTGTCAAAAGCACAATGTTCCCACATCGTAACATCCATAAATTTACTTGAACGACTCCTTGGGGGAAGATGCACAATCAAATCAACCATATTTTGATAGACAGGAGACAGCATTCAAGTATACTTGATGTCTGATCATTCAGGACAGCAGATTGTGATACTGACCACTACCTGGTGGTGGCAAAGGTTAGGGAAAGATTAGTAGTGAGCAAACAAACAATGCACCGAGTTCATATGGATAGGTTCAATCTCAAGAAATTAAATGAAGTAGAGGGTAAAGAGCAGTATTGTCTTGAAATCTCATATAGGTTCATGGCTTTGTAAAACTTGGACACTGAGGTGAATGTTAATAAAGCTTATAATATCAAAATTTCTGCCAAGGAGAGTCTAGGTTATTATGAACCAAAGAAGCATAAACCATGGTTCAATGATGGATGCTCAAAATTATCAGTCCAAAGAGAACAAGCCAAACTGCAATGGTTACAGGCTCCAAGAGAAACAAATGGGGATAATCTGAACAATATAAGACGCAAAACCTGCAGGCATTTCAGGAACAAAAAGAGGGAATATCTGAAAGACAAAATTGTTGAGCTTGCAATGAACAGTAAGAACAAGAACATTAGAGACCTGTATAGAGGAATAAGTGACTTTAAGAGGGGTTACCAACCTAGCAGTAACTTAGTGAAGGACGAGAATGGTGATCTGCTTGCAGATTCCCACAGCATTTTGAATAGCTGGAAGAACTATTTCTCTGCTATTCAATGTACATAGGGTCAGTGATGTTAGACAGAAATCCACTCAGCTGAGCTGTTAGTACCTGATCCTAGCCCTTTTGAGTTTGAAAGTTCTATTGCAAAAATTGAAATGCTATAAATCACCAGGTATTGATGAGATGAAGTTACAGGGAGTTGGAAAAAACTGCATCAGGAGCTTTGTAACTTGTACTCTTCTCCAAGTATAATTAGAATGACGAGGTCAAGGAGGATGAGTGGGGCAGGGTATGTAGCACAAATAGGCAAGACAAGGAATGCATATAGGATATTGGTGGGAAATCCAGAATGAAAGAGACCACTGGGAAGACCAAGGCATAGGTGGGTGGACAATATTAAAATGGATCTTAGAGAGACAGGATAGGATGGGATGGTATGAATTAGATTGATCTGGCTTAGGATAGGGACCAGTGGAGGGCTCTTGTGAACACGATAATGAACTAACACTACACTACACCTCAAGAAATACACTTTATTGTATTGCTCACCATAATATGCAATAGCATTACTTTCTGTCAGATACTGGCCATCTTCTGTTTCAAATGCCGGCACCTGCAAATGTTAGAAACAATTTCATTAAACACGAACTTCATTTCTGGAAATCCATTTAAGACATATGTTTTAGGTGTTTGACAACTTTAGTATTGCCCAGCTTAATAAGCTTGAACTCTTTGGAATTGCCAGTCTCTCTCCCTTTCTTCGTTACAAAACATACAACTGAAAAAGATGTATGCATGCCTTTGTGAAAGGTATACAATATTAATACAATCGAAACATTTATTATTAAATAAACAAAACTTTACAAACGTCATTCCACTTTTGAAACTTGGAAATCATATCCTTTCCACATTACGTCATTTACTACTTCCATGGAACTCGTCAAAAATAATATTTCAAATGGCACATTATAAAAATTATGTGGAAAAGGACACTTCGCCTCCTGTACAGGCAGGGCATCTAGCTACTCTGTACTGCTTAACACCCTATTCTGCCTTTAATTAATGCATCCCCGATAAATAAAACGAAAAATCAAACTGTCCCAATAACCACTCTACACTTACCGGCTCCGCTCATAAAATACTAATTGCCAAATTATAAATCCTACTGTGTACGTGTGGAAAACATGCGTGACACTCCTTCCCATCGATAACAAAGCTATCTACATATACACATGCCCTTTTACACGAAGGCATCTAAGTTTTACACATCAGAGGTGAATGGTCGTCTCTCCATATGTAACCCACATGCTACATTTTAAGCCACGTTCACTTGACATAGAATAACTGAATGTACATTAAAAACAAATCCTTCAGTACACATAAAAAATACTTTCACTCACATTACCTTTCCTAGCGGAAATTTCTTTAAAAACGCATCGGTTTTATTGGTTTCTCCGAACACAAATCCAGGGGCAATTTTCACGTTGCCACCAGCATACTGGGCAGCTATTAGAGCTTTATAAGCCCGAAAATTCTCGGGATATGTATACAACGTCTGTAAAGAAAAAGATCACGAACATATATAATCATATCCTACATACATACAATAAGACCTTTAACATTCGTTCTCAGATGGTATAAAATGACAGCGATAAATTTCCTACACCGGTTACTTACACCGGACGCCATTACACCAGATACGGAAGAAGGAGCATATCAGGGTATATGATTACCTGTTGCAGGACTGTAAAGAAAGATCATTTACCAGGCATCTAGTGACAGTTGTACGTACTAGTTGTACGACCATACGTCTGCGCTTGCTTCCAGCTTGTCCATTGACTGCATCAAGTAAAGATATCTGTGTACAGGCTCCTGTTCGTAATAGAATGGTGTTGCAATCTAAATTGTTCAAAATCTATGAACCTGATGATTAGTATCTGCACCTGCTAAATATTTTTGATACTAAAGTATTTAAGAAACAGAGATAACTGTAAAAAAAGATGGTTCGTATTAATTGTAACTATGACAGAATTGTAAATTGTAACATAAAAGTTGGGGTAGCCTATAAAAAATGTATCAAGTGTTTCCATGTTGTGTTAAATTTAATGATGTGTAGTTTAGGTTATATTGACTTTTTGGGAGGTTTGTAAATACGCTAATTTTGAACTTTGTTCACAGGGTAATGAAAGTTCTCTGCCAATGGAGCTGTGCTCCAATTGTAAGTAGTATCGCCACTGGTACCTTCTTTAACAGTTTCATTTTATAAAATCACAGTTTTCATAATACTTTGTTTTACAGTTGATGCAGACGAAATTCGCAGGTTGGGAAAACGCTTTCGAAAGCTTGACCTCGATAACTCCGGCTCTTTGAGTATTGATGAATTTATGTCACTCCCAGAATTGCAACAAAATCCTCTTGTTCAACGTGTCATTGATATATTTGATGCTGATGGAAATGGAGAGGTGGATTTTAAAGGTAATTCGTAACTCAGGAATTTCTTTGCTCCTTAGTCCAGTACAGATGAAACAGCTGAACACAGCAGTACAACAAAAACATGTCTGTAATATACTTAATTTTAGTTTGCACTGGATGTCGGTTTTAGACTTGAAAGAGGTTATAAGTCTTTTTTAATGTGTACTAACATTTGTGGCTAATCCAATATGTTTATATGTTATAGTTGCCATATGTACTGTAAAGGGTAATCAGTTATAATCAAGTGAGAATTAGAAGGGGAAAGTTGTGGCATATTTAATTTGCAAACTTATTCATGTGGTAAAGTGTCATGACTTTGTAATACTGTAACCTAGACTGTGCTTAATGGTTAATGTTATGATAAAGTTCTGGAACATTGTAAGATTTTGGTTTGGATTCATACACTACGATCAGTATGCCATGGTAAAAAAGAAAAGGTAAAGTTGACTCTGTACTTTACTAATTAAACACTACACCATGAAGGTGTATGGGGAAGTGCATGTATAGATCCACATTTGCTTGACCTCAGCACTACCTGGAGGTGAGTGGTCAGCTTCATGTCACAGCCACTTTGCCCCCAGGGAAAGAGCCCCCCGTACCCATTGGATAGGAGGTTGGGTGAGCCCCAAAGCCAATCTGGACGACGTGGAGAAAATTCTTGACCCCACCAGGACTCGAACTCTGACTCCTCAGTCGTCCAGCCCATAGCCAGTCACTATACTGACTACACTATCCCGGCTCCCTCAGTGTGTCATGAGAGTCAGTAAATTGTCTTGAAGGTTAAAGAAGATTAATGTATTTAAAAATGTTCCATTTATAATTTATTTTCTTTGTATATTTACAGAGTTCATCCAGGGTGTGTCACAGTTCAGTGTTAAGGGTGACAAAGAATCAAAGTTGAGATTTGCTTTTAGGATCTATGATATGGATAATGATGGCTATATTTCAAATGGAGAATTATTTCAGGTATTCTGGCCACATGTATTTTTGTGTCAATAACTTTATTACCCTTGCTTCAGTATCAGCAAGCTAACTGGACCATAATGGAGTTGTGGAAGGTAAAATTTGGTTGTTAAGAATTCCCTGTTACCTGCATCAAGGTATGTTGCAAATAAACAAACCAGCTTTTTGGAACTGAGTCCATGAGAAGCCAACTTTTTCTCAGTTAAATTCCCAGCATTTTATGGATCCCAAAGGTTCATTACTGTGTTCACAAGAGCCATTGACTGGTCCCTGTCCTGAGCCAGAAGAATCCAATCTATCCCATCCTCTCTCTCTCTCTCTCTCTCTAGGATCCATTTTAATATTGATCACCCACCTACGCCTTGGTCTTCGCAGTGGTCTCTTTCCTTCTGGCTTTCCCACCAATATCCTATGTGCATTCCTTGTCTCCCCCATGTAATATCTGGCAAGGAGTACAAATTAATGAAACTTCTCATTTTACAGTTTTCTTTTCCCTCTTGCATTCAAATATGGTATGTGCCAAAATATACAGTACTGAAATCAAAAGACGTCCTGTTGATACCACTGTCTATTCATGTGAAGGCCCCTTGCATGACAGAACCTTTTCAGATCCTGAAGAAATGGTCCGATCACCATGTCCCTGTAGCATTCTCGGGTGACAGTAAGGACATTTCCTTCCTCAACCTCAATGAAATAGGGGCCTAATATACCGTGTGCTGAGATGGCACACCATATCGTCACATGTCTACTATGTAGCAGTTTCTGTATTATAACATGTGGCTGCTCAAAACCAAGGAAGCGAGTTATCTGGTGACCACTTCCATATGAGCGGAAATAATACTCAACTACGAATACTTTTTCCTCCGTCAAGAGACCCATTTCCAACAACTGCACAGCACAACTTCCTTTTCACTACTGGGAACGCGTGCGGCTGGAGCTATGCCCCGTCAACAAACGCACATGCACGTTCGAGATGTGCGAGTTTCAGTACTGCATATTTTGGTGCATACTGTATTTTCCAGTCAGTGATTTTCCTATAGAGACACCTTATATTCCGTTCAAATCTCACTGCTTAGTTTCCATTGCTTAGGTAGTTCCAATGAATACTTCAAGAGTCTGAAGCCCTGTATAATATTTTGTGAATGTGCTGATTCATTTACTGTGTGGAGTTGTCAGCCCCCACTCCAACTTCTGAGATGGAAGACCATTCCTTGTCAGCTATCCACGACTGCTTATTCAGTGTGGTTGCAGATGCCCGCCAGAAGTTCCAGAACTGAAAAATAAACAGCTGATGTTATAGTTCTCCCTTGTATGTTCCACTTTAGAGGAGTGTCAGCCATGAGAGGACTGATCCCTCATGTATGACAAATAGTGAGAGTACACTGCCCCAGTATTGGCCCTTAAGAAGGATGAGACTGGCAGGTCATATAACACTAGCCATGCATACAAAGTTTTGGTTTTAATGTCTAAAGGGCAGAAGCCATTTGAATGCATGTGGGAGGACAGTATGTAAACAGGTCTTATAAAATTGGATATGATTGAATTGGCTCAGAATAGAGTGTAGTGGTGGGTGTTTAAGATGAACCTTCAGGTACCATAACAGAGGGGTGTCTTAGCCAGCTGGATAAGTGAAGATGCTGCATTTTGGAGTTTGTAGAAAGATTGCATCAGAATAAAAGTCACTTGTCTGTCAACAGGTTTTGAAAATGATGGTTGGTAACAACTTGAAGGACACACAGCTCCAGCAAATTGTAGACAAAACAATTCTGTTTGCTGACAGGGACGAAGATGGTAAAATTAACTTTGAAGAATTCTGTTCTGTAAGTAAATATGTTTATATTTTGTTTTCACAAAAGTAAATATATTTCTCTATGGAAGAATTAGAAGAGTCATATAAGCCAGCTGAAATATTTAGTAAGGATGAGAGCTTTGCATATTCCAGAAATACTATATATGAATGTCAGTTTTTAAAACTCTTGTAGCTGCATTTTATAAATAAGTAACATGACACAAGTTATAATGTATTTTGGAGCTTGAATAGGCTAAATTCATGAAAATGATTTTATATTCTTAATCATTTTTAAAATATTTTGTGTTACTCTCTTAGAATATGTCAGTTTTCATCACATAATGATGAAATGGGTAATGCAGAAGAAATAAATTATGCAAAAATTTGATCTGGAAAATTCAAGGCAGCCTTGTCTGGTGACATGTAAAGTATTGAAATATTGATTTTGTGATGGTGTCAGGTGATATACTAATGGTAGAAGGAAAGAACAGTCCATGTTGTATGCACCTGCTGTCATTTGAAGGGAATTCGAGTAAGTAGTGTTCGGTTTTCTGTGCAGTTGCATTTATGTCCAAGCAACCTTGACATTTGTGACAGGTACTTATGTAGCAGTGTGTGGCAGTCAAAGGGTTAAACCATCACTCAAAGTGTGCCTTCCATTTACCAGTAGTATAATAATTTTGTTTGGAAAGCACATTATTGCCATCTGTCGTGTTACTTACTGTTACAACCTTTTTGTTCCAGGTGGTCGGAAATACGGACATACACAAAAAGATGGTTGTGGACGTGTAATTTTATTTCATTTCATTCACAAGTTGGACTTACGAAGAATGAACTGCTGCTGTTACCATCTGCTATATCTCAAAATACCCTGTCTTTTGGATGTTAGTTTTTTTCTGAAGGTTACTCCCGTTTTAACTTTCTCCCCAGCACATTTTTTGAATAGCATAAATGTGGAACAGTGTTGCTATATTGTTGGAAATGTTTTTTGTTCTGTATGTGCAGTCTGTGACATGCAGAAATTTTTACCATGTACTATACTAAAATTCTTCGCATGTTTAAAATTGCACAGAGCAGTGTTTTCCAAAATCTTCTGTTTGTGAAATCTCACCAGCCTCAAAAAAGATGGTGAAACATCGCACCAAAACTAAACAGGAGACTTTGTAGAGAAATAAGAAAGAAACAGAACTACTGTTGCCTTTATGGCAGTGTGTTGTGTTAATGCATTTCTTGAAGAGGAATATATTTCAAAAGTTCAGAATGCCAATCACTGAAATACTAGATAATGTACAAGAAACCTTTTCCGAGAACAGTACATTCTGTATACTAGAAATAAACACTGTAACTTAAGAATTCAAAATTCTTGCTTTCAGTGTTCCTGGACCAGAACCCCAACTTAAAATATCTAATTGTGATCAGGAGCAATTTTATAATTTGTAATTTTAATAAACATAACTTATTCACAGAGCTGCATGGTCCCATGGGATGCAGGGAACAAACATTTCTGTAGGCCCTTGCAAGTTCATGTGATTGTGTTCGCTTTCTAACTCTCAAATTATTGTCCATGAGTTGTTGTAAGCCTAAATATTTACTCTTCCATCTCAAAACACTTTTTGCACTAATATACATTATTCATTGTTGTCATTCATTAAATTTGTGTGGTTGAGGGAAGTTTTTCTCTTATTATATACAGTAAGTGTGATGTGTACTGTCCCACCTGGCTCATCTGCAAGAAAAGACAACACACATTATTCTGGTTAGTAACTCACAAAGGGAATTGGGGGTACAACTTCAAGTGACTGCAGACGGGATGTGGGGAAGACAGATCAAACTGTAATCAAGTTCAGTTCTTTTGTGTGTAGATGCAGAAAGCATGGTAGAGTTAGTTGTGTGTTTGTGGGAAGGGAAACTGCCAAGTGTCTACCAAAACTTAAGGCTGACTTCAGTAGAAGAATGTCTCTGCACTCACAATACTACATCCCCACTCTTCATGTTCTCTTTGTATTTTATATATGATTTGAAATGGAACCTCGTAACTGCAACCGTGCAGCTACAGTGATCTTACTTATGGTGTATATACAGTAGTTGTCACTTTGTAGTTCCCCCTTTTCTGAATGGTGCCAAGGGGTAACGAAAAAAATCCAAGCTACTCTAACCTGGTTATCAATTGTTATATTTCCACCAAACTCTTTTGCATGTAAATAATACACATATAATATAAATCTATAGAAATGTTACAACTTAACTGTACAATATTGGATGGTGACCCACCTACAAAAAAATTAATTTATAATTTCATATACATAAGTACTTACTTAGGATTGTTAACTTTTTGCTGGTTCATTAATTTAATGACACTATTAAATGGGCATTGTGGCAATATTTCATGAAAAATTTTATTTATATTTTTAAGTTTTTTTTTTGTTGCATTAAACATGTTTAAAATTTGGTGGGGATCATATTGACATGGTTATGTCTGATTGTAATTTAAAAATGTTTAAACATTTATGTGACTGTAACTTTTTTCAATCTTAAAAATAAATCAAATCCCTTTTATTGTTTGTTTGCATTGTTTTTTAAACTACGTGTAACACAGATGCTCCCATTGACTGTGGTAAATCTGTTACTTGAGTTGCTTCCAGCTTGGGGCCAAGGATGCATTTTATGCATAATTAGTCATGTTATTCCAGCTTCATGCAGATATCCATATTGATTTCTATTCCTCACAAAGATCTTGGTGTTCCTTGAAAAATGAACTTAAGTATGAGTTGCTGAGTTGTGAAGTTCCTATTTTTTTTTTAAAGTTTAGCAATTTCATTATGAAACACACCAGATAACTGAAATAGTGCTTAGTTCTCTTTGAGAAGCTAATAGTGTCTCAGTTACTCCAGAAATTTTCTGCCTTTTTTTTTGGAAGATCCTCCTGCCAAGATTAGTCTGCATCCTGTTCCTTTAAGCTATATTTTAACAGTAAAATCACATCTATGCTGAGAACTTTCAAATGATCTCATCCTTTCAGGTTTCTTGACTAAAATTTTGTATGCATTTTTCATGTACAGTAAAATGTACATGACTGGAACATAAGTTTCTTTCCCACCAATATCCTATATGCATTCCTCTTCTCCACATTCGTGCTACATGCCCTGCCCACCTCATCCTCCTTGACCTCATCATTCTAATTATACTTGGAGAAGAGTACAAGTTATGAAGCTCCTCATTATGCAGTTTTCTCCAACCTCCTGTCACTTCATCTCTCTTTGGGCCAAATATTCTCAACACACTGTTCTCAAACACGCTCAGTGTATGTTCCTCCCTTAATGTCAGAGACCAAGTTTCACACCCATAAAGAACCACAGACAAAATTATAGTTTTGTATATTCTAATTTCTAGGTTTTTGGACAGCATACAAGAAGACAAAAGGTTCTGGACTGAATGGTAGCAAGCATTACCCGAGTTCAGTCTCTTAATTTCCTCCTGAATCAGGTTTTGGAACATAAGGTAATAAATTATAGTTTTGTTGACGGAATTTGTATTATTATACTCCCGCACATCCAGTCACTTATACCATGGTACTGTGGGCTGCTTCCCTGGGAGTAAAGTGGCAGAGCATGAAGCTACTGCTCACCTCCATGTAGTGCTGAGGTTAAGAATGGTGGAACTATACCGCCACTCCCGCATACATCTTAATGGCGTGGTGCTTAATTAAGCCCAAGGATATTATCTTTTATGCTTTCTGACAATCCTGACCTCTCATTGTCTGGTAAGTGTGAAGGCAGGAATCAATATTTTAGATGAAGATCACTGTTTTGCATTCAAGTATATCATAAAGATGATGTGACATGACATCCACAATTTATAGTGGGGTCTGGTGAATTACCAACTTTCCTCATGGGGCATAATCCTCCTTGAGAAGTTAACAGTTGAATGTAATGCAACTGTAATACCATGTAGTTCAGAAAGAGCCTACATTTTGGAGGAACATATTCAGAGTAAAAGAGTATGCCGAGTGAGAAACCAGCAGAAGGCAAAAGCTGAGTTGAAGATGGAGGTGATATGTTCTCCAAAATTTTGGCCTCTCTCCAAACTACATAACATTGCAACCCACAAGGCCATAATCTCCATGGTCACTGCCCTCAGAACATGAAATCCAACATGTTAATAGTTGCTCAGAATGTCAAGTAGTTTCCTGCCTTTTATGTATCCTGAAGATGCACTTCTCTGTTAACAGAATTTCTGTAGATCCTAGATATGTGGTTCACCTCCAGTCTCCTCAAGCTAGACCCACATAATTCCATTTTTAACACACTCTGGTCTATAACAGTTTTCCCACAGCATTTCCAGGTGAACATTGTGCTAATGGCTATCTGTCCTTGTCTTTGAGATGCACATAGTTATATTGCTTTGCAGGTAGATGGCATATAAGGTATAAAAAATGACAGAATTTTTGTTCTTAAAAGTCAAGACATTCTGGGCATCATGGCTGGTTGACAGGGACTGAAGCAAACCTAACTACCTGGTAGGGACTATGTTACCAATAGTTTGCCACTCATTCTTGTCCTGAGTTGGCACATCACACAATCATACAGCTCCAACTTTGTCAAAGGTGACTGCATTTGGAAAAATATTTGCACAAAATCCATCTGATCTGAAACCAGAGACTGTATATAGTCACTGATTTGCCCCTAAATAACCAGGTAACCTTCATACTCAAAATTCTGAAACCAGAACATACATAGCACATTTAATTAACATGTTACTGTATAGGTCTGTGGTCTAAGAGTTCCTGGCTACAGATCCAGAGGTCCCAGGTTCGATTCCCGGCGCTACCAGATTTTCTGAGAAACAGTGGATCTGGAACAGGGTTCACTCAGCCTTGTAAGGAAAACTGAGGAGCTACTTGAATGGGAGAGTAGCACCTTTGGTCTAGAAAACCGAAATTAACAGCCGTGGGGATTCATTGCTCTTATCATATGACACTCTCTATCCGCAAAAGTTGGCACTAACTTCGCTGACAAGCAGCGGCTGCGTGGTCGGTAGAGTTCGCTTGTGGACTACAGCCACAGAGTTTGTTTGTTACTGTATAGGTAATGTTGCCACCTGCCATGAGAATGCAAAGGAAGTATGGAGGCAAGGCTGTACACATCCTTTGCCCTAGGACTAAAAGTTTCATTGCTCTGTGCCAACATCCTACAGATCAGAGTTCAAACAAGTTGCTGAATACTTCCCCATATGGTCTTTTACTCATGCTCTAGCACCTTGTGTTCAAATCCAAGTAAAACTACAATTAACATTGAACATCCTCTGACAGGAATTCACAACAGAAAGAAAATCTGACATGATGGTTTATTCTGACTTAAAAGTGCCCCTGTACATTTCTGTGCCAAAGATCTCTGATTGGCATTATCCTGTTCAGATTTTTCCACTTGCCTTTTCATTCTTTTTGACAAAAAGTACATTTTTGTCAGTGTGAGGAACTTCGGGTTCCAACCATGTTGGTACCTCTCCTAGCAGTCATCATTATACCATCAGTATAGGAGTCTGCCCTCACCCCAGAAATGGACACACTGCTGAGACTAGTACAGGAGACCACATAATGTCAAACATGTCTTAAATGGAGGAATTACCCTCAACAAAATACAATGCTTAAGTTCAATTCCCACAGGCTTAAACCACCTGCTCTAATAATTTCACAGACTTCCTGCCTTTATCACACCTGATAAGAGCTTCATTAGTATGGTGAGCAGTTAACATCAATGCAGGCATGGATAATGCTATCACTCAATTCACAAATTCTGGTGACAAGAGACAAATGAAACTAAATGGGGTAGTACTGAGAGCTACAGGGTAAGCAAAATAACTCCCTTCAGCGCTCCAGTGTAAGATACGAGCTGGCCTGTCAGCGATAAATGAAAGGGTAAAACGATCTATAATCTGTATTCATTATACAACTACATGGTAATTTAATGTAAAAATGAGTAAACACTCTTAAATTTGTTGTACTAATTTGAATGATATTGTAAAAATACATTTCTAACTTGTATCATATTGCTTTGCTGAACAACATATATCATGAAGAGTACATACTATCTTTTGTGATGTTATGCTGTGTAGTGCTGTAGGGGTCCAAAGATATTTCAGAGAAATGCAAGAAGTGGAGCTTTCATCCTTTTTTGTCCTGATTTCTTGTTTGTCTTACTCTTTCACCCCAAAGATAGGGGCAGTACATTCCTCCAAAATATTGTACTTCTATTGGAGTACAGGAAACCATATTCCAGAAGATAATACTCTTCATAGTCCCCACTGTGAGAACCTCAAAACAAACATACTGTCACATATAAGGAGTAGTATGACTAATAACTGTGGGTTCTAGATTTTATGACTGGATCTGACATCTCTATTACAATTGAAGTTGATTATAACAGCTCACAAATTGAACTGCTTACTCTCTCACTGTTGTCCGATTCTCAGACTGGTTCCTACTCTCTAGTCTTCTGGATCTGGATCTCTAGTCTCTTGTTTTCTGGATCTGGATCTCTAGTCTCTTTGTCTTCTGGATCTCTAGTCTCTTGTCTTCTGGATCTGGATCTCTAGTCTCTTGTTTTCTGGATCTGGATCTCTAGTGTCTTGTTTTCTGGATCTGGATCTCTATAGTCTCTTGTCTTCTGGATCTGGATCTCTAGTCTCTTGTCTTCTGGATCTGGATCTCTAGTCTCTTGTTTTCTACTACTCAGTCCAAGAGTATGACTGGCTGCGAATGAATTATGTGCCCTTTTAGGACCCAGTGCAGACTGCAGACAGAACACACACTTGAACTGTTTGTTGTAATCTGTGTATCCGTTGCCCTAGTAATGCGTGTTCACCAAAAACCATTATCCAGCAATGATCTATTCTGTGTTGCCAGGGGAATGTGCTCAGCAAAGCACCACCCAGCAGATGGTCATATTCCGGCTTTCAGGCATCATGTCACAATACCTGTAATCATGTACTACTAACTGTTAGTGAATTCTTTCTATGAAGAAAGGAAAGGGAGAGGAGACATAGTGCTTACCATCAAGCAGTAGGTACATTATGGTTATGTTGTCTGTCTAGTAAATAACAGGACTTCACATCCCATACTCAAGAACAAGCTACAAATGATCCTCCTGTCTTCTTTCATCTATGGTCTGCCTTCCCACACTTTAGCCAATTACGTATTTATAATTTCATTTTACATGAATGATTGCATCATCAAAATCCGATAGCAATTACTCACTTTCTAACAGTGAATTTATCAACAACTAAGTTTAAAGAAAGGCCGTGCCATAGCTCAAGTGGTTAGTCACTGGCTTCCCACCACAGAGGCCCGGGTATGATCCTGTCTGGTCAAGTGGGATTTGTGGTGGACAAAGTGGCGCTGGGGCAGGTTTTCTCCAAGTACTTCGGCTTCCCCTGCCAATCTTCATTCCACCAACTGCTCCACAAACACCCTCACCTATCATCTGGGGCTGGTACAATAGGCCAGAAGTGACCACAGTACAAGGGACTTAGTCCCACCCCACTAGTAATAAAAAAAAAGTTTAAAGAATATGCAGATTACAATTTTCTGGAATATGATAGTTACAGTACATATTTACCATTTCACATGAACATGGTGCTACCATCTTAATCCTCTACACTGAAACTGGAGGCAGCAAGTTCCTCCAAAACATTGGTAAATATTTCTAGGCTATGAGTACTTCACATCCAAGAAGACAGGAATCTTCACAGACACTGCCATAAGAACTTCAAACCTCACTGACAGAATCTGTTTAGTAGCATGAAAAATATGGAGAATGATTAGCTATGAAGTAATTATATGAATGACTTTCAGTATTTAGAAGTGAAATAAAATTAAATGGGCACTACAATACATAACAGCTTCTTTATTAATATGGCAGAAAGAGAGGTTAGCAATGTTTCTTCCAAAATTAAACTGAAATTTATTTTCCAGGATCGCCATTACACACACACACACATACACATGGGGGGGGGATGACAGCAAATAAAAAAACATCAATAACTCATGGACATACAAGACTAGGACTGCCTCTACTGAAATCAGCTAATTCAACTAATACATGAGAATAGTGATGGTACAAAACCTGTCACAAAAATAGAGGGTCCAGAAACTTCTAGCAACCAATTTGAACATTTTAAACAATATAATCTTTTAATTAATGCTTCTGGAGCTCGCATAAAACTTTTCATCACCAGTTACTGCTTATTCTCACCATATGAAATATTATTCCTCCCTGTCTATAAATTTCTTGTATAGATCATGTCATAACTTCCACGATGTACCTAAGAAGCTGTCTCTGGTGCCTGTTGATGACATGTGATTATGTATAAATATTTATATATAGTTTAAGTAGCTGTGGCCAAAGAAGAGGGGCTCTTCATAATTTTACCTGTGGATAAAGGCATGCATAGTTTAGAAGAATCCCATCTTGTCGTATGTCACACCATGTAACATGTGGCAGACTGTACTTTATGATGGAGACTAAAAGTTCCTCTGAAATTATGGTACATATCTACCAAACTACATTAGCACTACATGCCAGAAGTCAATATGGTTCACAGTCACCACATCAGAACCTTGGATCTCACAGATGTTTTATCTGAGGGATACTGGTTAAACCTACTCTGTGATTCTATACATATCTGACAAAAATAACTTCATTCTAGTGGCATTCTCCTATAGAAGTTCTGCAATCTGGTCAACAAGTTTCCATTTTGATTGGATGTGAGAGCTGAGCCTCAAATAATTTCCACTATAATTTATGTACAGTCACCCTGAAACTAAATGATAACAGACAAAACCAAATTCTGGATAACTGCATATTAATTAGCATGAAATACCAGTGCTCACAGTGGTGCCCATTTAGTCTACCAGCCTTACTAATTAAAGTGCAACACCATCCTGTGGTCTCTTTAGGTCTGTGTACCATGCAACACATGATGATCATGGAAAGTACTGTTTGCAAACTTTACCTACTGAGCAGAACCCTACAATAATTAACTGTCAGTACATGAAATAGTGTTGACCAAATTACAGCTGTTAACCCTGTAATCAGAATCAGAGTTTCTTTAACTGAAAGTGTTTAAATGTATAATTGTATTTGCTTGCTCCTGCTTACTATCCAGGAGTACAATTTTCTCACTTACTGACATACACAAAACCACAAGGGAGGAATACATTTCAAGAAAAAGAGGATACAGGCAGTCTCCAATTTATGATCTTTGTATAAGGCAATGATGAACTGCTTTATGAAGCCTCCTCGAACATGACTGATACAGAAGAAAATGACTGAACAGGCAGGAACTCAACATTCACCAACTCAAGTCAATTTCTGATAGCAGCGTGGATGTGCAGCTTATGTCATATTAAATAATTTTTGTGTGGAACTGTTACCTGTTAAATACGGCTGCTATAAGGAAACATAACAAATCAATTGCATACTGGGAAACAAAACAGTATTTTTAGCTTCTATTTGTGAACAATAGGGTTCCCAGTCTACAGACTGAAACATAAGGTATTTGCCTGAATATAAGTCACTTTCAAAAAACAACACACCCCAAAAGTTATATGGTCCTGAAAGAATCAAATGTATGCACTTATAATTTTTTTTCAACATTATTTCTCATTTCTCTCATTATAAGAAGTTACAAGGAACACATGTCTTAACACAACTGTACAGCTCAACACCTGAACACTCATCTTACCACCACTGAACAGTTCAACACCTTCACTTCTTCACCAACACCATATGCAGACAATCCAGTAATGTTTCTTCTTTAAGAAACACTTATAAGCTGCACCCTAATTATAAAAATGTCAATTGTGAGGGGAAAATGTACTGCTTATATTCAGACAAATATAGTATAACACTGAGTCCATGGAATTCCAGCAACTCATCATGTCATAAAAACAAGGAGCACCTGGTACCCTACTGTATCACTGAATCTACCTTCCGTTGGTGCAGCTTCCTTAAGTGGTGAGAGATCATATGATCCAGCTGCATACTTCCTCATATTTAACAACATATTAAATTGCGAGAATGGTTTCAAGATAAAGTAAATAACTATAATAATTTATTTTTACAAACAGATCGGATATCCAAAATTATTAAACTAACAATCTTAATACTCATAACGTTACCCACTGAACACTATCTTATCACTAAAACTCTGCAGGTGAATCATAAAACATTCCTTGCCACTATTCTCTGTCAAGGTATTGATACTCAAAACGTGTGGAAGAACGTTGCAAGCAGGGGATAGTGATCTGATGCTGAGGCACTGTTTGGGATGGGACCAAATGAAGCAGCCTCAGATGCAGTAAGCAGCCTGTACCTTGACACGAGCTTCAGGTCCCCTTCAATCATCTTGTCATCCGTCTCGTTCTTAATGCAGCTACAAACAATAACAATGGCCTCACAAACTAAAATATCAGTGAAAAGACAATGCACGTAGTTTCTCATATGCCTCTGCCCTTGGCTACGTTACCCTGGAAAGAAAATCAACTGTTGCTCAAAAGACCAGTATTAGTGAATAATGAACAACAACAAAGTTTGTACTTCTTTTGGCTTATTTTGGACTTCACCCATCGTCTGGTATGTAAAAGACAAAAGACCACGACGTTTCGGAGACAGATCCAGTCTCCGAAACGTTGTGGTCTCAATCACTGGACCAGTGATTGAGACTCGCTCTTTCTAGTGGGCCCAACTGAGTAGGTTTATCCTTCCCTACCCACCTGAAGACGGAGACAGATCCAGTCTCCGAAACGTCGTGGTCTTCTGTCTTTTACATACCAGACGATGGGTGAAGTCCAAAATAAGCCAAAAGAAGTACAGTATACACCACTGTCAGAATCCTTTCAAGTCTATCCAACAACAAAGTTCACCAAACCAATAACACTGGTTTCTCATATGTGATAGACCTCGACTATATCATTTCAGAAACAAAACTGGCCATTCTTTGACAGACCATTGCTAGCCACCGATGTTACAAGCTAGGCCTTGTGTGTGTTGCATAACCATTTCAGTTCCTAATGTGCATACCATTATTTTCCTGAAGATGCCACTTTAGCAGTTTTATTTTTGGCGATGTCTTCCTAAATTATTGAAATTTAATCAAAATCTTTTGATTCCTTTTTGAGAAACTCACCATTTTGCTTTTGGGGACTATCTGAAGGGTCCCAGTTCTTGGTGCTAGAATGATCATATTCATTGGGCAACGACCTATGATGGATAAACTCTCAAATACAGAACACAAATAAAATTCATCCAACTGTTCAGGTGCTTGTGAGACATCCATACACAGACACACCACCTCAGAAATCACTTTTCCTTATTCCTGAGTGCTGAAAACAGGTTCATCTATCAAAATCATGAGATGAATCGTTTCAATATAACAGTATCTTCCTATATATATACTGTTTCCATACTCAGGTGTACTGAAAATGTGTAAATGTCTCAAAATCTTGAAAATGATTTTTTCCCACCATCACAATAGTTTCCTGTGCATACTATGTACACAATCTTCCTTGAAACACCAAAACGCCTGATTCTTTTATCGTCAGCTTCTTAGCTGAAACCTTAGCCACTGTCTGCTGAGAAAAAGAAGTCTATCACCCAGGCCAAATGCTACATATTACAAACGCTGATGTGCAATTATTAACGTAAATAAAATTACTTGAAAGACCTAAAAATCATATGAGATCCTCAAAATGTCTTTCTTCTGCTTTTAAACAAACTTCAGTCTTGAAAATATTGTTTGACACCAATTTCAGTTAACTGACCTCAAAACAGACAACTGTTTCACAAATGTCATGCTTAAGTTCATCCATGTATGGTGATTATTTAAACACAATTAAGTTTCTTTTTGCATTCTCCACAGATAAAAATCATAGGGGTTTAAGACTGGAGATCTTGCATGCCACAATCTGCAACTCATCAGCCTGTCTTCAAATACCTCATTTAAAACATGAATGGAGTAACTAGCAGTGTGTGCTGTACCACCATCTTGCATAAAATAACACATCTCTTCTTCTTCCATAAAGTTTTAAAATGGGTCAAAGAATATTATTCATCTATCACTCTGAACATTCATCAACATGTATCCAACGATACAACGCACGCAGCCACAAGAGTAGAACACATCATAAGACATAATATACACACAACATTAGAAACATAAGAAGAACGACCCCCATGTGGATGATCATTAATACACACAAATTTAAAAATATGACATATGAGATAACATGTTTTAACAAGTTTTAAATACATAAACTTTATTATTATTATTATTATATAAGGACGTATACAAATTTAATATTATTTGTAAATGGACATATGAAGGCAAGCAGTGAAATGGTTGATGGATCGATACACCTGAAGATGGCAGCATACTGCCGAAACATGTAGTGTAGAAGTGTAGAAGTGGTAGATGGGATTGTATGCACTTGAAGACTGTTAATATATACACATTATGAATATAATTTAAGGACTATCCCAGAATTTCCTTTCAAGAACTGAGGAAAACCACTAAAAACCTCAGTGAGGTCAGTCAGTGTCCCAGCTGAGATTTTAACAAGATACCTCCCAAATGCAGGTAAGATAAACCCACTGCTTGGCCCTGAGTAACATCATGGAGCAACAGTCTTCTCACTTGATTACTTCAACTGCTCATGAACAACTAACCTGTAAAATATGTAGTCTACAGTTACCCAGCCTTCTTGGTTTGTGGTGACCTCAGACTCATGATAATTGCCCATCTCCCCATGCTTATACACAGACTGAAGGTTCAGATTGTGTGTTACCTGACCAGTTCCATACCTGCCAACACAAAACATTTAAACTTAGTATAACAATGTCACCAGTTTTGATACTCTTATGGTTAACCAGTTAAACTACACATCTTTCAAAATATCCACTTCTTACTGTGGCTTTCATAGATTTATATAATTTTGTAAAATCACTGTTTGAGGCAGTTGTTTCATTTTAGTGGACATTTTACTATACTTTTAAAAATGGAAAACTAAGATTCAACACTTTGCAAGGTACAGACTCACTATTTAATTATGTTATTTCAGTGAAAGGAGAACAATATGCATGCAAATGGTGCTGCAAACTCAGAAGAACGCACTGTTGAAGATGTGGTGATAGATTCAGAACAATCAAGCTGATGCAGAAGTTCTGACATCAAAACTCTGTAGTGATGTCTCCATCAGGGCTAAATACCATCAATCAATATTTGATTCCTATTATGCACTTAAACTGAAATGGGAAGTCTAGACCTGGAGTTATCAAGCAAATTTAACTTTGGTCCTTACAGACCTAGCATTAACCCCAGTCCACTTAATCACATTGTAATGGATTTGATCAACGCTTTGCCAGGTAACAGTTCTGTAAACATGGTTCAACATACAGCAATAGGAAGCTGTGTTTTCTGTAGATCCGACTGATGCACCAATACACTCTCTGGAAAGCGATCATGTGATATGTGTTTACTGTAGGTCCACGTTCGTTCTGCGGCTATATAACGAGAGCTGTGAGCTGTAAGTTCAGAGTGAATTGGAACTAGGAGTACAGAAGAGTACAACAAGTCAGCCTGTGAAGATTTTACATGTGATCTGAAGACTTCATGTGTGCAGTAGTACAGTGATATTGGGAGTGTGTGATTAATGAGACTTTTATAGTTACTGTGTTATAAATCCACTGCCGCGAAACAGACAGTGAAGACTAGTGGAAATAGACTGAGAAGATTAGTGTGGAGTGATTGTAAATTGCATAAATCAGCAATAGTGTAATAATTATTTGTAGTTATGACTGTAGGCAGTTAATAAATGAAATTACTAAACCAAACATGTGTCTTAGTTACTGTGACACATGAAAATATATATTAAACTTTTTAAAAACACCTCATCAGACAAAACCTGCTACATGACACAGAATACATATCCAGTTTAGGCCTGTGACTTCTATTTGAAATATATTACAATATGAATTACAGTGTAACCATGCTACAATAACTATGGCTTCTAACAAGAGCTGCATTACAGTGAGAACAATCATTAGCATCATGTTATAAATATGGGAAAATTCTCAATAAAATGAAGGTCTTTTTGCCAGAAATTTCATCTTAATTAGCAACTCCTGATCATCAGTGACTTCTTTACCGAAACTTTTGCACTAAGTACATTTGCACTGTAGCTTCCCAAGCTATTTATAGCTAGTAGTCCATAACGGTACCATTAAACTAAACCCTGCACTCCTCCCTTGTCTGGGGGAGGGAAGTCCACATTCTGAAATCTGAATACTGTATGTCTGAATAGAAAAATCTACTCAACTACCGAGACATAAGTGTTAAGTGCACACACAGAGCCACTCTAATAAATAATCGAAAAACAGTGGCCAATTCCACAAAATGTTACAATTTCAGAGCAGGGGACCGCATTTAGTGTGACTTGAGAAGCCTGATCGAAATTTTAGGCAATGAGAAATGTCTTTCACATTACATCGCCTGAATTCTTTGGTCCAAGAGCATGTTTCTTTGTATATTTTGTTGCTGGTTACTGAACAGCAATTGGAAATTCTTCTGTGACTGCTGTGCATTGAGTTAAATGCTACTCAGGCCCAACGTTTGCAATGAAACTGATGTGCTTAGACTTGAATATTAAGCTTGAAGAAATATGTCTCTCTGCAGATGGCAACTTGTGAGAAAGCAAAACAATCGGAGAGTACTGACTGACATTTCTAACATTAAATATGACAGACCAGTAACACAAAGACAAATACTGAATGCAGGGAACGGAGAGATGGAACTCACAGTATTGCAAGGAAAGACTCGTTGCCATACTAGCTGATAGACAAATGATGTTGACAAAAGCCAACACTTTCACAGTACACTTATTGATCAAGAACTTGCAGTGCTCCAAAGGATGGCCCATAATTTAAAGGCAAGGAAAGGCATTAGTGTGCAAAGAGTCTAGCAACAGTTGTGTTTGGAATCGACCCATGACACAATGTACATATGAGTAGGTTTGAATTTAACTTTGTACGTTGTGGGTGCAAAACAAAACAAAATACTTAAACTCTTTGAAGGATACAACCATCACAGTTGTAACACTGAACAGTCAAATAGAAGTTGACTGATATTGCTCCAAGATATCAGTAAACTTCTACTGGACTATCCTACACAGCGTTACATCCCAGAAGATAGTAGTCTTCATAAATATTGCTGTACAAACCTTAAATCCAACATATTTAATCCTTTGTCATGCCCTGCCACTGAAGTACCTACTAAAAATGCCAATGGTGGATGGTGGTTAATGTAGCTGCACAGACAAATCCACAATACTTTCCCCATTTGACCTTCAAAAGAAATCTCTCTTTTGAAAGCATATTCTTTCCCTTAAAAATCAGTACATCACACTCAGCACCATATATTGATAAAAATGCCATACTAATAGAGTAAGAATGGGTCAATCTCTTTGGCTGTGACAATTTCAACATAAGCATACTATGCTGAACTGTTCAGTATCTGACATACAAAACGTAAAGTAACTTTGAATCAGGGGCAGAGGGCATGACATCCGTAAATATTATTGAGACTGCACAATCACTAACAAAATTGTGATTATGACAAAACAGGATTCAATTGAAGTTCCCAGGACCATACTGGTTTGTAAAAACACACTGTCTTTATAAATTTCTAGTATATTCACCCAGCTTCAGGCAATGGAGGAATAGTGTTGGGCTGAAATGTTACAGAGTTGTTGCCAAGTCCGGACATACTAGCATCCTGCACGAGGCCTTCAGAGGACTTGTGTTTTTCACTTTTCATTTGTTTTTTTTTTAGCTTCTTTATGATCTTCTGGTGATCCGTATTATAAATCTGAAACATTAACACACTGGAACATTCTTGATTAATTTTAAAGTATAAATACAGAGTGACCACAGAATAATTTACAATCTTGAATGCATGTACAAATTTAATGTGATTATATTTAACTATATCAGCACAAATATGCCCAGTACCTAGCACAAAAATATTTATCTACAGCGTAATATGAGTCACTGGGTAAATAGATTTTTAGTGACTAGGACAGGCATGTCAAACTCTGTATTGCATAACAGCCACACTGAGATAATAAACGTTTCAGGTGGGCTGCAATTATTGTCATGTAACTAGTAACGTCTCCCACCAACATTTTGAAACAGGCTTGTAGCAATAGTTGATAAATATCCTACATTCACACACTACAACAAATATGGCTTTCTGAAATGAATATTTTTAACAATTTTAATACTGAATGCTACAGGTGAATGATGCACACTCTTACTTCATACTCACAAGGTGCCTGGTTCAAGTCTCAGTCTAAAGCCAGGCTACTATGACTGTGATTTGTCAAGGTTTTCTTCAGGCCCTTCAAAAATATACTGAGATAGAATTCCAAATCAGGCCATGACCACTTCCTTCCGCACTGTTTCCAATTCACTAATCACCCTACTACTCAACACTCTTAATCTGAAGCAGCAGAATTAAATAATCAATAATGAATTAATAAGTAAAATAAATCATTTTTGATGTTACTATTTGATCAAACAAGCAAAAGTTTAGGTTAATATTCTTAATTACTTCAGTTATTCTATTACTCAAGTAGTTTTCCCAGACATTTTACAGCTTTACTTGCCTCAGCTAATAGATATGAAATTTGAATTTTTGAGTCTACACTACCATAATTAATGATGACAAAAGTATATATCTTGATTTCTTGAGATTTGTTTCCTTCCGAGAGTGACGCACTAAGTAATGGAAAGCGTCACATATATTTTGGAAGACAACTTCATAATTTGGGGGAATTGAGCAGAATAAAAGTTTCCACACCAAAAACAGCAACATTCAGTTTTAAAATCAAGCTGTACTACAGTTCAACCAATTTCAATTGTAGACATTTATGTGATATTTCAACACAAAAATTAAATGGTATAACAAACATTGGATCCAGTATTTTACACATAGTTGTTAACAACGCATGTAAGCCATTCAGATTTAGGATTTGCTAGTTTAAAATTCCCCAAATTAATGTGAGTCTCCCAGAGCTGAAGATTCGTTTTGAGAATTGTTAATACTGCCATACAAGGACATTACAGTTTGTTCTTCCGTGAAGATCTATGTTATGCTCATACAATTGCCTTTTGATAGTTAGAGGCTGAGTCAAACCCAGGGCCATAGTGCCGCTGGAGGGATTAGGTCAACTGAAAAAAAAAATCCAATGACCTCATCAGGACTTGAACCCGCAACCATCCATCTTGTAGCATAGCCCCTGAACCAACTACACTACTGTGCCCCCCCTTAATCATCAAGTGCCACCTCAAAATGAAACAGAATATGTTATAACAGACAAAACTGCAGCTGACAACCAGTGCTTTCATGCCTTGAATAAGATGCTCAGTAAGAGGTGTGTGTGTATATAAGTAAAAGCAGTAAACTTGGACACTCACAGGAAAAATGTCATCCATTCTGATGACTTGTAAAAGAAGGATTTTAAGGAAAATTTAAGGACAAACGTGTGAACAAGGAGTGTGGGTAATAAGAAGTGATCTGGAACTACAAATTGCATGTAAGTCACAAGTTATTGTGACTGAAATCAAAATTAGAAGACTAGAATGGCTGGGGCACGTCATCACAGTGAAAGACACATGTATAACAAAAATTATACTCATCACTACATCAGGAGGCAGATGTGGAGTTGGAAGACCCAAGTTTGAGATGGTTAGATGACAAGAGTCTGACACAAAAACTCTAGGTATAAAAAGATGGAGACTAAACGCTCAAAACAGAAAAGAGCAGATGGCAATTCTAAGGAAGGCTAAGGCTAAACTAAAAGGGCCATCAAGCCAGGAAAAGAAGAAGAGTCCTCACACACACACAAAGCCAACAACTGATACTACTCATTTTAAAATTGTACTTCACAATAATTTCTGGCGAATTATGCAATTAAAACTGAAAATTTTACAGCTAAGTTTTTCATCCAGTTTTCCCAAAACACCACCCTTGGAACCAGTCACTGCAACAGAATCACTGATCACTGAGGACAAAATTTTGTTAAGTGGCAGTTCATATTTTTCAAGTATTTCCTCCAATTCATAGAAAATGTCTTCACCAACAGCAGTACCGTGCACTTGAATCACTACTGAGAAGGCTTGAAATAACTTACTTGATCTCTTAAATCATTCCTACACTCATCCACTGCATTTCAGGTGAGGCTGATGTTTATAAAATCCTGCAAATTTCAGGGAACATAATCTTCACAGTACCAATGAGATATCCTTCAATAAACTAGCCATTTGTACCAAAGGTTAAGAGTGCAATGCAATTAATGAGGTATTTACTTGATAGCGCTACTGCTTCCCTTGTTTACTAACTGCACGCAGTTGGGTGAATGTGCTGATTTTTTACATCCTTTTATTTGGAGTTGTGTATCTGGTCTGATGCAATTTCATGATGGATCCGACAAAGGAAAGGTGAGTGTGCATCAAATTTTGTGGAAATATCAGAAAAAGTGTGATGGAGACAATAGCAATTATTAGACAAGTGTTCAGGGAAGAAAGCATGAGCCGCACACAGGTAGGCCCATCAGCTGCACAATGTCTGACACTGTTGTCAAACCTCAACAGCTTGTTCATGCGGATTGATTTTGAACTATTCGAGACCTTGCCGATGAGATGGGAACTGGTTATGGGACATGCCAATTGATTCTGACTGCTGAACTGGGCATTCATCATGTCACCACTAAATCTGTGCACAGGGTTGTGACAGTTGATCAGAAGCAGCGATGTGTCAACATCTTCATAGAGCTTCGTCAGATCGCCTCTGATGATGCAACCTTCTTGTCCAGGGTTATCACTGGTGATGAGGTTTACGATTATGACTGTGAGACAAAGCAACAATCCTCCCAAAGGAAAAGCCCAAACTCAATGAGACCAAAAAAGGTGAGACAAGTGAAGAGCAAAGTCAAGAGCATGCTCATCATTTTCTTTGACATCAAGGGGATTGTTCACAAAGAATTCGTGCAGGCATGCCAAACAGTCAATTCCACATGCTACTGTGACGTTTTATGGTGACTGCGTGAAAATGTGTGAAGATTTCGCCTCGAACTCTGGTGACAAAAGAACTAGCTGTTGCATCACGACAACGCACTGTCTCACGCTTCCTTTTTCACCAGGAAATTTTTGACTAAAAACAACGTGACTCCCATCCCCCACCCACCCTACTCGCCCGACTTGGCCCGCTGCATCTTTTCTCAGTTCCCCCAAATGAAGAAAACTGAAAGGCTGCCGTTTTGACACAGCTGAGATGATCGAGGCAGAATCGCAGGCGGTGCTGAAATCCTGACAGAACACATCTTCCAGAAAGCATTTAAAAAATGGCAGAAGTGCGGGGAATTGTGCATACATGCGGAAGGGGACTACTTCGAGGGTGACGGTGGCCAGTAGGCCCAAAGTTAGTTTTTGATCAGATGACAGCACCAGTCCCAGAAATTATGGATACCACATTGTACAACTATTTTTCTTGATTATTCCTGTTATAGACAGTGAATTTTCTTTTTGTCAGATACTGTAGATTAATATGAAATCTTGTTACACCTACAGGTCAATTCCTGATACACCTCAAAGTATTGTGATTAGAAATGAAGAAGAATGGTCAAACAAGGACTTATTGACACTTTCATTACCATTAATTATTATGCAAGTCATCAACACTGTGACCATATATTGGACATTTACCATATACCTTCAAGAACTTCAGTTCAGCCTTGTGACTCAGTTGCTCTACTTGACGCTTAGTGAGAATCCCCCAGTGCTGACAAGTGTCCAATATATTCAGACTCCTGGGAAGAATTATTTTATTCAGGGTCCATCCACGAAAGTCATAGGTGAGGGTTCTATTGGAAAGTCCTTCATACCGGAACATCCCCTCTGTCAACAGTCGATATACGCCTGTATAGGGCTGAAAGTTCATATCACCAGTGATTATCACAGGCCAGTATGTGGGAATTCCAGACCTGCAAGGAGTTCGTTCACACAGTAGCATAATCCTCACAGCAAATGAAATCACATCCACTTACCTGTCCAGTATTAAAGATAAATTAAAGGACCTACAGGTGGTAGTTTATGTGGTGACACCAATTCAGGATAATATTAAAACACAATGAGGACTAGCATCAGATGTGTCAGCTTCCTATCATTTTTTAAATTACTAAAAGCAACAGATACCAATTATTTTATTGACTGGGCTTCTGTACATGAACTCTTTAATAGTTAGTTCATACTTAGATGTATGACACAAATATCAAAATTAAGTAAAGTTGAGTGACTATAAGTGACACTGTGTATGTGGTAAGTTAATAAGTTAAGCTATATGCTCCCAAATCTGACCAGTGGTTGGGTAAGTGTTCCCATATGCAGATTACTGTATCTGACTTAAGTCAAAAATAAATGCAAACAGTTTGCTACCTCTCACAGTTTACAAGTATCGCATTTCCAGGTTTTACTTTAACGTTTAAAAACTCTGGGCTGAGCATTTAAATTGCCTGCTGAGATGGTGGTAGCAAACCGGTTAATAAGAAACTATTTCTAGACAATTACTCTGATCTGAACTGAGATGACTGTGATGACAGGAGTAGTGTATCTGTAATTAGAAATGACAATACAAATTGTTTCAGTAGGAAAAGAATACATATTTGAAACCCATACACTGGATATATTGAGAAATGACAGGTTATATTCTAGTGACAATGACAAGGAACTGGTTATTATGCAAATGTAAATAATAATGAATGTTCCCTGGACATTCTTGTACATTACAGTCTTTAATTACAAAAGAATGAGAATTAGGTTATAAAAATATGACTTATTTTGTAAAACATAATCTTAAAACAAAGACAAAACAACTCTGCCCAGCATGACTATTTAAGTTTTTCTACTTGAAAATTTAGGGTGCTAAATGTTCAAGTAGTAAAAACTTAAATAGTCACACTGGACAGAGTTGTTTTGTCTTTGTAATTGTTAGTGTGACGGACCAGAATGAAACAAAGCAAAATAATCTTAAAACTTAAGAAGTTACTATGAATGACAGGCCCATCAGCAATCTTTTGATATGACCCATGGTTAAGGTTCTGAGAATGGCAGGTGGATGACAAATGTTGCAGGATCTGAGAGTATGTACCTGAAGCTTTCAAATGCAAACCTCTCCACTTCTGCAAGCAGCATCATGGTCTGTGCCAGCTTGACGTCATGACGATTTCTATTGAACAGCAAATGAGTTGTCGCTACGACCAAGTGTTTCCTAGGGTTTGCTTTCATGGCTAGCTTGGCTATTAAACCCACATTGTGACGATCAAGAACATCAATGCCAGGTTGAAAGTATTCAACAGATGTGTGGTCTGCCAGTTGAAACACATCTGTTTTATAGTAAATGGCAACACCATCAATGTTGTTTCCAGTTCGCCGTTTATAAATGCCTTTATAGCCTGCCAACAGACAAGACCATCAGCACTTCATGTTGTGTGTTACTACTTTGCTACAAGGCTGATAAACCTCAAATTGTTATGGTTTCAAAGAACCATTCTCCCCTTTTGGAACCTTACTACATGATGCCCTATACTTCCTGAGGGGAATGTAAGGAAGTACACTACAAGACAAAGTGTAACAGTTGGGGGGAGATGTGGAGGGGGTCAATTTATGGGACTTCTTTCTGTGGCCTCAGTATAGTCAGTTGTGGAGTTTACTGACTCCTTTTTTTTTATTGCTAGTGGGGTGGGACTAAGTCCCTTGCACTGCGGCCACTTCTGGCCTATTGTACCAGCCCCAGATGATAGGTGAGGGTGATTGTGGAGCAATCGGTGGAATGAAGATTGGCAGGGGAAACCGAAGTATTCAGAGAAAACCTGCCCCTGCGCCACTTTGTCCACCACAAATCCCACTTGACCACACCTGGGATCGAACCTGAGCTGCCACAGTGGGAAGCCAGTGACTAACGGTTTGAGTTATGGCATGGCCTTTTACTGACTCCTTAGTCCATCAGCTTGCTATTTCAATTTAAGACATCAATATTATAGGCACTAAGAGACAGTTGTGAAACAGACATCAGACACCAAACCATCTTGATAGATTTCAGTTCCTCATCACTAGAACCAACATCATGACAACCGCATGAACTTCTAAGGTGAGAACAATAATATCAATATTCAACAGTGTTCTTAGAGCCACCGTTATTTGGCATGTCTGAACTAAAATCTCCAGTGGAAACATCACCCACATCATGTTAGGGGTTGGGATTTAAATCCTTCCACGTGGAAGGGCTAATGATACATATACATTTTCCAAAGTACATATTACTTCTGTAACATGATGATGATATATACAGTAAACTCATTCACAAAAGCACAGACTTTCATTATCCTGAACAAGTTCCGTGAGGTAATAAGTGTAACTCTTACCTAAACCCGTAAGCTTATGGGAAAGTGTACGTAACTGGTTCGCTTGTACCTCTTGAAGGCACAAAATCTGAAAAATTAATGCATAAAATATTACATGCAGAACACACAAATGTAATCTTGAGGATGACATAGACTTGTAACTTACACACAATGCTGATCTCCTATTTAAGGTGGCAGACAGAATGATTGTCCATGTAAATGCTGCACAGATATTGTAATCATCACATAATGGTACAAATCTGCTATGTACACAAGCATCAAGGCATGATGATTTATCCGTTTAGCAAAGTTAAGAGGCAATGCTTCTGTGGTTTCTTTCAACAGTTTAAAAAAATGATTGTGACTGTCAGAGATAAAAACAGAGGTAAAACGGGCACCAATTATGGTGAAGATGAAGTGCAGCTGTACCCACCTGACATGAGCCACATTTTTTCCAGACAACACTATAATGCATACACTGCGAGAGACTAGAAACACAGGTGTCCCATTTTGTGTGCTTGGCTTCATGCTTAACCATGGCGCAGAGGTGCTTGAATGTAATCAAACTCTCCATTATAGAGTGAATATTAAAGAACTTGAGAGTGTGCTCGCAGGCATGGATTGCATCACGACATTCATCTGCCCACTAAGGCACAGGTATGCGCCAAGGTCTGGTACATGACCTTGGGATGGAACTTGATGTAGAATGGTGCAGAGTGCTCGTAAAATGTTCCCCCATGGAATCAACAGACAGGAATTTTCAGTCCTCAAAACTCACTAACCGTGAGAAAGCTTCCTAGTCAGCACTTTCCATTACCCAGTTAGGGTGACAGGATTCAAGTGGCATTTTCTGGAAATGTGCAGACTTATGGGGTAGTGGCTACTTCCGTGCCAGTCTTCAAGGGTGGACCACTCAAGTTTAACTGTCATCCCAGGGCTACAGAAAGCGAGATCCAGAGCCAATGAGCTTCCTGACCTCAAGCACAGGCATGTGAGAGCTCCCACGTTTAGATTAATTAGATTAAACCTGGCATATACATCGGAAACTGTTCTGCCTCTATTGCCTGTAATGGCTGATCCCACAGGATATTGTGGGCGCTAAAATCGCCAAAAGAATTGTGGGGGCAATTCTGAAATTGGAATCACCAGTTCTGCAAGAGAGACTGGAACTGCTGGAGAGAGATAAATGTTGCAAACTGTTAGTGAAAGAGTAGGTAGGTGGATACGGGAGGTGACTTGCAGTGGGGTCTGGATGTTGCCTGGAACAGAAAATATGTAGTCCTTAACTAGCAGCTCTTCCATTGGCTCTATCACCATTGAAGTAGTCATGATGGTGGGTCATGTAACCATAGAGGTTACTGAATGGGATGGGTATAAATGTGTTTCATGAAAACAGATGATGCCTTGATCATGACTAAGGAGAAAAGATGTAGACATTTATAATCTATGGAGCCATGACAGGGAGCCTTCCTTACCTTCCTCTTTTCTTTATTTTTGGGGTTCCAGAGAGTCTGATGTGTTTGGCTAAGACCCTCTACAGTCAAATCTGATTATCGGGCCAGTTCGGTTTAGTGGCCAAATCGAACATGACTTGGGCCAAGGACACTGTTTTCTAAATGACAACTTTTGAAACAGAGTCCATGGGGTTCATGTAATGTTCAAAAGTCCAGAGCACGAGCACATCTTTGCACTAAGCGCAGTGAGGTTAGAGGGATTGTCAGTCTGGGTGGATACTTCAGTCTGACAGGATATTATTTGGAATAGGATTGTAGGTGACTGCTTGGTCTTGGGAAGGGATCACTTCTGCAGAGTAATAATGGCATTAACTCCCTGCAGGCATTGAAGTGCTGATGCATAAGACTGAGTCCCGGTCTTAGGTTTGGTTCTGAGGAACTTCAGAGGCATCTAGAAACGAAAGACCTTCCCAGATCCGCAGTTTCTGAATGCTCTTTTGTCCCGATATACAGAACAATTTGTGTTGCTGGATGCACGCACTCTGGAGAAGTTCACACAGTCTGGCAGGCAGGAAAATGGTGCATCTCCATGCCCATGTTCATCACAGTCGCCACAGACTAGACTTGAAGCACACCTCTGCCAGGTGTGTCCAAACCTCTGGCACCGGAAGCACCACACAGGGTTTGATATGTATGGGCAAATGGATGCTCTGTCATATCCGACAAGTACTGAGGTGGGCAGGGCAGGAACTAGATTAGAAATATGGTTTGAAAAGGGAATGGTTTGCCACTCCTCTTTCCTATCAACCTATATGCTTTAGAAACAAACTGGTAAGCAAGACATATTTGGATCTCCTAGTCTGACATGCCATCTAGGATGTCTGTTCTTACAACTCCCAGTGATGAATTGAGAGACATGTGTCTCAGCATGAACAAGATGAGAACCATGCAAAAATGGCATTGTGCAAGGGAACTGTCACTGGGGCAAAACTGGACCAGGGACAATGTGGTACGAGGAACCTTGAAAGGATGAACCCTTGGGAGGAGACAATGGGCACAACAGGAGTGTAACAAAGGAATAAGGAAACAAGACCCAAAAAGCTATGACACAGGAGGGAATTCATGAAGATCTAGAGGAAAACAATTGGACTGGAGACTGTGAAGCGAATTACCAGATCTACTGTTGGGCTGTGAAAGATCAAGTACTGGAACTTGTGGAGGGTTCAACCCCCTCATCCAAGAAACCCAATCATCAAATCTAGAACCCACAGTTATTAGTCACGCAATCCCTTATACGTGACATTATTCTACATATACATTACTTTTGTCAGCCACACATACTCGCTGCCATCTGGTGAGAAAAGTATTAATGCAGTATGTTTAAATTTCCCACCAAAATATGGTGAGAATGGAATCTAATAACTTTCTACTGATGACATTATGGCAGCCTTCAATAACTGACAACACCCCAGTTCATGGACTGGTCCAGGAACATAAAGTTGGAATTAAAATTATACATAACAGCCTCCAAAACAACAACTGATTGTAAAACCAATATTAAAATGTTTAATACTGGTTATTTTACTTATATCCCACCATTTGTTTCAATCTGCAGAGATCATCAAACAGTTTACGAATACATTTCTGTTGCAATTGCACCATCTATTAAAACAGATCCATTTTTATATTTACCATTTACATTGCAATCTAAATTTTAATTTTAAGCTCTACGTATGGGTCATGTCTTGAATAGCATGTGGTGCAATCCGCTAAAGGTTAAATGTGCTAAAAGTTTAGATCTACTAGTTCAGTTGAATTATATAACATCTTTTTATTGCTAGTGGGGTTGGACTAAGTCCCTTGTACTGTGGCCACTTCTGGCCTATTGTACTAGCCCCAGATGATAGGTGAGGGTGATTGTGGAGCAATTGGTGGAATGAAGATTGTCAGGGGAAACTGAAGTACTTGGAGAAAACCTTCCCCAGCGGCACTTTGTCCACCACAAATCCCACTTGACCAGACCTGGGATTGAACCCAGGCAGCCACAATGGGAAGCCAGCGACTAGCCGCTTCAGCTATGGCGCAGCCCTATATAACAATTAGAATTTTAATATAGGAAGGAGAAGGGTGGTGTGCTTAAGGTACCAATTGTTAAATGAGCTTCCATAGTTTTCAATGTTTTGGGGGCGCAAAATGTTTTAGCATGTGAGGGTGATTCATCAGCATATGTGGTTGGCAATATTGTAGGTGACTATGTGGTCTTTGTGTCTTGTAGAGTTGCTGTACGTAATCAGATATACACTGATGNTGCCGTGATTCACCCTAGCCGTACGTATGTAGTTGGCTTATACTAGAACACGCAGTCAGCACGTTACGTCAGCGCTTGCCATTCATGTGTCATGTATAGTGCTTGGAAACCCTAAGGACAATTATGACATGGCGAGCGAGTATTTTGTACTTCAATTTTATGGCTTCATGTCACTCACAAGTTAGTTTTATGTTACGTACATTATTAACATTACAGAATCCACATATTCCTGCCAGTTTTAATATGTATTTTGTAATCAACAAGTGTGCAACGCCGGTCAAAGTTTCACACTTCTCTGGCCATTATCTCCGTAACCGTTCAACTTTGGACATAGGTGTTTTGGGTTATATCGGCCTACTTTAACATAAGGAACACCCTCCCGAAGTTTGGTCCATTCCTCCTGGGACACCCTGTATACACAAAAGCTTTCCATCTGGGTTTCTAAGCTTTAGCATGGGCTGCCAGGATGGTTTTTACAATGTACCTTGTGTGTGGTTGAGGTTCTTAGACACCCACAGTCAAGTGGTATGTAGGATGGCTGGTGCCTTAGGAGGTAACAGCCAGGACTACAGTGAACAGCAGCCATATATTACTGAGTCATAAGAAAGAAAACAGCAAGTCTGCATGTGTGTGGTCAATACATACATCAGCATTAGCTTCCTGGATCTCGCTAAGTAAGATCTGCTTACGGTGCCTCCACTTCAGTGCAGATGGTTCATGCCACTGGTACAGGTACTGATGGCTCTCTAGAAGCTCCTGGGCGAGAATGTTGTAAGACATGATTGTGAAGAGAAGCTGGTATGGAGTGGCATCTGCTGCACTTGCTGGATTTTCAATAACATGAGCATATTAACAGTATAAATTCCTATGCCAGCAGATACAGCTAAGATAACTTAAGTGACTGGAAACCTTTAGGAAGAGTCAAGACTGTGGAAACATCACTTTCTGCACATTGAAACTGAACTGTTTTCATACAAGTACATCCTATACATACAGTACACTTATATCAGCCACTTATCAGAAATACAGTTGCGAACCAAAGAGTAAAACGATCTTAAATGTCCAGACTTCATATACTGATTCTGAGCATCCCTTGCAATGTGCTTACATGAAGGGCACCTTGATTCCATCTGTTTATGAATGTATCCTTTATTCTTATTCCCTCCCTACTATCATCCTCTGCCTACATAACACATGATGAAGAGTCTTTTCCAAATCATTCTGGTTCTTATTTCCAAAATACAGAGAGGATTTTAATCGGGCTGACAAGTTCACGGCTCCGCGCTTTGCAGCGACTGGTGTGCTACATGCCGCATGAGAGGTTTGCTCATGACTCAGTGTGCTTGAGTGAAGATAACATTTGGAACGAAGGAAAATAATTAACTTGTAGAACTCTATATGCATGAGAGTTTGTTTATCTTTTGTCAGCAGTAGGCAACAGTTATCAACACCATAAGCCATTTGTTCCTAGTTAACAGTTAGTCAGCAGTGTGGCACGACATGTGTCACGACGCTTGTCGGGCAATGTGTATTTCTGTATGACATCTATGTGAAATACGGATCTGCTAGAAAGTGTCGAAGAAAATTTCAGCATAAATTTCGTGACGAGTTCCTAGCAGACAAACAATTCATAATTTAGTGAATAAACTTAGAACAACGGGACTCTTTAACAGAAAAGGAAAAAACATAAGCACCGAGTGCTTACTGAGGAAAAATTAGATGACATAGGAACCAGACTTAAACATACACCTAGAAAATCACTGAAATGTCTAGCTCAGGAAACTGGAGTGTCAGAGTCTGGTCCTTGGGCTCCTAACTTAGTCAGAACCCCAAATGCTAAGCCACTGTATGACATCACCATGTACCTAATACTATGGATTAAAAGCTCTTAGTTTGTCCATTTTGTGCCCATGCACTTAGACCTTTGTTAACTGGAGACATAAGTAGCTGCTGCCATCAGAACTAAATTAAAGAAGAGTGGAATATGAAACTGTCATGTCTTCTGCAATAACAGCAGGTACAGCTATATATGACATTTAGAATCCTGGAGTTAAAAAAAAAAGAGTAAAACATGTAGTTAGACTAAGCATCCCCAACCCTCATATAATCATTGTGCCATCCAAAGATAATCAAATCAGTTGCTGAGAGAAATTCCATGAAATCCTTATCTTATCTCAGATAGGCATGTGCAGAATCAGTTAAGACAAACAGAAAAATGTAAAAACTCTTAAGGTAGAAGGGAATATGTAAAAGATATGTACAGTACATGAGTGATGAAAGTCATTCCCTCTACCTCCAGAGTCCTTTTAAAAATTCTGGACAGATAACATCTAGCAAATTCCACTGTCCACGTTGCTGTTTTTTAATTTGAACATCTAGAACCCTTATTATGGGGGCACATGTTAGCATAGTTGGTTGAGGCACTATGCTACAAGCCAGAAGTCACAGGTTCAATTCCCGATGAGGTCACTGGATTTTTAAATTAACCTAATCCTTCCAGCCATACTATATCCCTGGAGTTGACTTAGCCTCTAACAGAAATGAGCACCGGGAATCTTCCTGGGGGTAAAGGCAGCCAGTATGTAAGGCTGACAACCTCACCACCATCTTTGAGCTCACTGTCTAGAAAATGTGGGAGCCTCAATATCTCACAACCCTATGGGCCTCCATGGCCTGCTACAGGGGTAGGTTTACCTTTCTGGAAATCTTATTACTTGTATTAATATAAAGTGAAACTTCACTGATCCTAAACTATTTAAATCCAGTAACAAATCTGTCTCACCACTGTTGCTATAGGTTGCCTCCCAATCAAGTATAGTGAAATCACCTGACAGCACAATCCTGAAATGAGTTTAATGCATCATGGGGAGCACCACAGTTCTCTCTCTCTCTCTCTCTCTCTCTCTCGACTCATGTTGCTTGAATTCCTGCCATGTAATGGAAAACACCAATTCAATGGCCTCTTCAAGTGATCTCCCCATTAAGGGCATTAAATAGGTTTATCAAGCAACACTCAAGGAGAAAAATTAAACAGCATGGAACAAAATTGTAACATTCTGTTATCTGTCACTACAGTAATGAACTCACCTCGCAGAGTTGATCCAAACTGTGTGTACTGCCATTGTCTCTTTTCCTTCAATCGATTTCTTTCTGACAAACCTGAAAAAGACAGACATAAAAGAAAAATCATTACTGAAATTGAGATCAAGGACTTTTGTTATGATAATGTTTCCCCAGATGTGATATAAAGGTCACACACTTGATTTGCATGCACTGAGTAAGTCTGTCAGCTGTCACTACAAATTATCTGTCCCCAAAACTGCTTGAGCAACACAGTTGGTTTATGACATAATGTAAGTCCCATGACAAATCTCAATGTAATCAAGAATGTAGATTATAATTTAGTAGAAAGTTAAAAGCACAGAACTGACAACAACCCCAATGAGATGCATACATTTCCTGAAAATAATGTGCCTGGGAAACTATGTCAACCTAACAACAAAGTGGGCAATTTAAGATATTAACATAATGAGGCACTAAATTTATACAGGTCACCAAGTATTATTAGGACAGCGAAATATATGAGGCATCAATGGGTTGATCATTTAACTACAATGGAATAAATTAGGAATTACTGCAATATCTTGGTAAAGAGTCATCTAAAATACTGATAATCATATCACAATGGCAGATTTTGGGTCCAGTGTGCTGAACCTTCAGCTTCTACTAACAGAGTCAGCTGAAGTACTGACCCACATGAATCTTACTGCTTTTCTAAATTAATGTTCTGAGTTACAGGAATAAGTAACACCCTATACCAATAGAATCAAAGGTTTGATGTTAAAAACACTACTCTCCACCAGCCGTATATACTGCACAGTATTTGTCTGCCCATCACAATCTGTGTATAAGAAGCTGGTAACAACAGCAAACATGTGTACGTACAAAAGTTGTTCATTGCTGTTACACACTGAAGCCCAAGCCAATTTCTTTCCTATTCTTTCGCCCACAAAAGAAAAATGACTGACAATGAACACTGTTATAGTAACTAGGCAACCATTCAGCTATATTCTAATACAGACTCTTTTACTCCACTATAAAGTACAGCTGTACGGAAACAAAGTATGAAATTCTATTGCTTAACACTGCCATGTAAGCTTCTGCAACACTTGATTTGCTCACTGAGAATGAGAGCAAGAGATGATAAATGATCATGAAGCAATGCTCAAATGATACAGAGGGCATCAGATGAGGAAGTAAAGGTAAGTACGAATTTCTACATCCAATAAACAATTGATAAATGGTCCTACAGACTACATAACATTCACAGTAACCATGATAACAAAACAGTGCTGCACAATATTGTTGGCAGACGGGTTGTCCCATCCCACTGTATTTGGTCCTTGGCGAGCGTGGTCCCATGGGTGCTCTAAACCTTATATACAGGGTCTGTTCCTGCCTTCCGGCCACATCTGGCCGACTGCTACTCGTTATCTGAACGTCCATCGTCTTCTTCATCGGAGTCATGAGGAAAGTTCATTGAAAAGTGGTGGGTGCTCCCACACCATCAGTACGCAAGCTGCCGTTCTCTCTTCATTCTGTTGGGGGGAGGTTGGATCATTCAGAAAGTCCTTCCTGTAGTTTGCCGGACCCTGGAGGGCTTTTTGGCTTCTGCGTCAGATTTCTCCAGTTCGAGGGCCTTGCTGAGTTTCTTCCTGCCCCCCCAAGAGTAACTGTCATCTTGGGTCTCGCTCCCTTATCCCATCGGCGAATGCACGGGCAGCTTCTTTAGTAATTAGGTGTTCACTTAGTTCAAAGTGGGCACGGTAAACCAAGTGGTAGATTGCAGCGACAAACTCCTGAAGATATTCCATGATGAGCTGGGTTCTTTTATTCAGCTGAGTGTGTAAAACTGCTTCCAGGTGGTCGCCACTGTAGCGATTATCAAGCACTCCCAGTAGGGGCGCCATATAAAATGTGGCTTTCTCGCGGGCCATCCAGTAATTGTGCACTTGTATGATCACAAACTACGGTCGGAATATGACCCTTGATGTCCATGTTTTTGAAATGGGGCTGGCCTCCTCTTCAATGAGAGGAGAGTGCTGACTACAATTTGTCACTCCCCTTCTAATGGGGGTCATTCAAGTGGGCAGTCACACACTAAGTGGGCTTCTCTGTCTCACATGCACACACTTTTATGCACGGTGGCTCTCAGTCTGAAGGTTCACGCCAGTAAATTGCTGCTGGACCTCACCAGCTCAGCTGTTCTTGGATTCAGGTCCCCTTAAGACCCATGGCCAAATTTATGTTTGTTCAACGGCACTGCTGTTGACAGATGGTTAAAGATTTGGTGGTCACAAATGGGTACAGGACATTCGTGGTGATAGATGAGTACAAGGCACTGACAGTGGGGGGCATTCAAGGGATGACTGGATGGAAAAAAACACATGAATTTGATGGAAAAAACATCAAGATACTTTTTACATTATATATTCTACATGGACTGCCATGACACTGAGCCTGGGTTTCTGTGTTGAGAAGCAAGGATCTAACTGCCTGAGCACAGATAAAGCTGAACTGGAACCACATCTATTAGACCCAACTAAAATTGACTAGCAAACAATTTCCGCATTTCCAGTTTACCATCAGTATAGTCAGGCACGCCACAAATTTACATACGGACACATACTGCAGCTGTGGAGTAACATGACTGATTCTGTGTTTAACTGACATGCTGGTTGATTCCAGGGTTACTAAAAACATTTTTCTAACTACATATTTCAGAGAGCATTGGACTTTCCATCATATCAGAAATTCCAGAGAGGGAATTATTACTCATTCTCATACAGTTAGACTTTATATATTTCTACATGAGAGGCTGAGAGCTACACTACAATACTTTTTTTTAATGCTAGTGTGGTGGGACTAAGACCCTTGCACTGCGGCCACTTCTGGTCTATTGTACCAGCCCCAGATGATGGGTGAGGGTGATTGTGGAGAATTGGTGGAATGAAGATTGGCAGGGGAAACCAAAGTACTCTGAGAAAACCTGCCCCAGCGCCACTTTGTCCACCACAAATCCCACTTGACCAGACCCTGGGATCGAACCCAGGCCACTGTGATGGGAAGCCAGCGACTAACCACTTGAGCTATGGCGAAGCCTCACTACAATACTTACAGAGGTTGCTGGGGTGATAGATTGGAGTTATGTTTTTATGTTGATGTCTGTTCGTATCACTGTGACTGTCTACTTTTACAAAATGGAAACAATTCATAACGTTATATTTCAGCATTCTCTTGCACTGTATAGATCTGACTTAGGAGCTTTTTGCATCTATGTACAACATTTTTTACTATTCTTTCTTCATATTCCTTTATTAGACACTAGAAGTTTCGGCCTAACTGGCCATCTTCAATACACAGGTTGTTATGGTTAAGCATTCTGCTACTCGCTGTAATGCAGTTTACTTTCCTTCTATTGTAGTTGCCTCTGGTTTTTTGGTTTTATGTGGGTGATAAAACTGGCTGTAGTAGTTATCCTGGGATATCACTGCTATCAACTTCATACAAAATTTTATCCAATATTCTTCTCTCAAGGTTAAGTCCATATATAGATGAAATTATTGCGGATCATCAGTGTGGGTTTCAACATAACAGATCAACTACTTATCAGACCTTCTGCATTAATCAGATACTGGAGAAAAAATGGGAGCACAATGAGACAGTATGTCAGCTATTTGTAGACCTCAAGAAAGTCTATGATTCAGTTAGGAGGGAAGTATTGTACAATATTCTGTTAAGAGTTTGGGATACCCATGAAACTAGTTAGGCTGATTAAAATGTGTTTAAGTATAACGTATAGTAAAGCCCACAGTGGTAAATATTTACATCATAGTTTTCCTGTCTTGAATGGTCCAAAACAAAGGGATACTTTATGGCCACTGCTCATCAACATTGCTTTAGAATATGCCATTAGTAAGGTCCAGGAAAACCAGACAGGACTGAAATTAAGTGGGACACATCAGCTGTTAGTCTATGCTGATGATATGAATCAACTGGGCGATAATATAGACACCACAAAGAAAAACACACAAACTTTAATTGATGCTAGCAAGGAGGTTGGTCTACAAGTAAACAGAGAAAACTAAGTATGTATTGCTGTTTCATTACCAGAATGCAGGGAAAAGTCATGACATAAAAATAGCTAACATGTGTTTTGAAAACTGAACACAGTTCAGATATAACAAATCAAAACCTGATTGAGGAGGAAATTAAGAGGCGATTGAACTCGGGTAATGCTTGCTACCATTCAATCCAGAACCTTTTGTCTTCTCGTCTGCTGTCCAATAACATAAAAATTAGAATATACAAAACTATAATTTTGCCTGTGGTTCTGTGGGGGTGTGAAACTTGGTCTCTGATATTAAGGGGGGAACAAAAACTGAGGTGTTTGAGAACAGGGTACTGAGGAGAATATTTTGACTGAAGAGAGACAAAATGTCGGGAGGTTGGAGAATACTACATAATGAGGAGCTTCTACCTTGTACTCTTCACCAGTATAATTAGAATGATCAAGTCAAGGACTTCCTCCTTGAGCACTATACTAGAGCTCCCAGTCATCCTACATTTTTACAGCAAAGGAATGATACTCACTTCACGCAACGCTTCCTATAGCCTCACAGCACTGATAACACCTATATCTATAAATTCAACATTCACTTACCTGTGTCATTATATACTGACATCTCTTTGCACAATTTCAGTACTAAGTTAGACCAGTTAGTACAATGATACAGTCCATGCAGTCCCTAAAACTCAAGTCTGACTTAATGGTATCCTAGTGGATTAAACTCATATACTTCCTCTAAATTAAGTCTAGGTTCAACAGTGTTCACTTCTCTTCACCTTAAAACATCTATAACAGCCAGCCTTAAGAAACTCTGACTTAAGTATTACGCTTGTAACTAAGTGAAATGAAGACACTGCTTCACAAAGAGGTCTCACTTGTATTTCTTGTCAACAGTCCTAATTTCAGTGATGGTGATAAGAGATTATTAACAAGTTTTCATTACAAGTGTCTTATCACATGAGGAGATAAGATTCAGTCAATCTGACAATAGCGCAACTTTCCTTTGGCAGTTTAAAATCTGTGATAAACTCGAATCAATGTTATCCTGAATTACCTTGAACTAATTTGGATATACTGTCACATGTTAAGCGACTATAGTTGGGATTAGGACTAATAATCAGATTTACTGGACTCGTTTAAACAACTCATGACTATACTTTACAAATCTCTATGACACATAGACTAGCGTTCACAGTAACGGTCTTCACTGTGCTGCTTCCAACAATGGATAATCCTCTGCTCCCACACTCACGTCCTTGCAGAGAAGCAGCCAGAGTCAGAGTCAGAGTCAGGGTGACTTTATGACTGGCAGTTCACCGCCAATCACTTTGTCTTGGTGCCATGCACCTTGAGGCTCACAGGTAACCTGCAGCTGGTCATTCTTATATAGCTGTGGCACAGACTGCACAGAAAACTCCTCTTCCCATAATTCCTCTATTGCTGTGCTGTCTCTGTCACTGGTGCAACCAGCTATCACATGATGTTTACGAGGCCATTCTCTAGCAACAAGCGTGTTTGCAGACCCGTTCCCTAGCAATGGTTATCTCTCTTGGCTTCACAATTCTGGCTTTCAGCAGACAAGCCATAATATATTTCCAGTACAATCACCATTTACATTTGTGAATTGGAACAGTTTGCATTAGGAACAAACTGTAAATAAAACCTAATTCAGTGGCAATTTAGCAGTGGTCAGACGGGTTAGAATGGTTTGTTAAGCCTTGAAACTGTAAATAAAGGTGAACTGAAGATGAGAAGAGTGCAGTATTCTTGGTTGTAGTACTGTGCAGTCTGGAGATGTTTCAGAGAATATCGCCTCCAACTTCTGAGTCATCAATTGCTCTGAGATCCATTTATTTCATCAATAAAATCACTGCCTTTTCATAAAAGAATGCTGAAGCTGATGGGAGCATTTACTGGACTGCTTGGACTAAACCAACACTACTTCATCAATGAGTTGAATTTCTTTTCATGCATCATTTTCCTTTCACTACTCCTGTTAGCTCAATATTCCATGAAATTTAAAAAATGTTTAAAATAATAACTAAGACACTCTTAATTTCTCACTCATTTCTCTTTGGGAGCAATAGCTCAACTTTTAACAAATCATACCCATCTACACAACAGCAAAACATTTTTTGTTGCATTCAGATCTGTTCTTTTCTTATTCATGGACACGTCTTACACAAATGGTTAAATGTAAAACAGTAAGCAAAGAAAACAAAGCATTAAGCAATGAGCACCAACACCAACAGAGTCAAGAGGTCTACTGCCTGAATAAAGCAAACAAGTGCAGGTATACTCCAGACAGTCATATTATGAATGCCAGCTCTAGCCTTACCTACAGAAAAGGTCCAAATAACAAATTTGTCTCTGTTACAGATAACAGAATTAAAAAGGCAGGATGGCAACACAGCACTGTAGAAAATGTGGGTAGGAGGTGAGGGGTACTTCACTCTTTGCATGCAATGCACTCACTAGGTCAACTTGGCATACCTGCGATAAAATTATGACAGCCAAAGACATTGGCTTGTTGCTACTTAACTAGTACAGCATTTTTATCAATGGATGACATAAAGTGTGACATCCAGGCACTTACAACAAGGAGTTCTGTGACAGGGTTTCCAGTCAAACAATCAAAAGGGATTAACTCCGTGGCCTGTAGTCCGAAAGCGAACTATACCAACTGAGTGACTGCCGCTTGTTGGCAAAGTTAGTGCCAACTTTTGCGGATAGATAGTATCACGTGGTCAGGGCAACAGTTCCCCACGGCCATTAATCTCAGTTTTCTAGACCAGATGAAAAGGCATTATAAGGAAGAATGACAAACATACTAAATCCTTGTAAAAATCAGTCCTCAAACATCACTAATTCCTTACTTTGTTAATCATATCACCATCTGGACTACAAACATAACAAGCAAAGGCTTGGAACTTAACATTACATAAACAGAATGCTAGACATAACCACTACGGTTCAAAAGGCATTACCTCCTCAAATAGTATATGCTGTATTAATATAAATTTTGATTCTTAAGTAATTTTTTTACTTACTTACTCTACATTCACTACAAGTTTCAATTGCATTTCCTCTGGTTTATGAGAGGACTGTGTAATAAAATATTTTTTTGCAATAAAAGCAGCTCTTTAAGTATGCAATAATGAGAGGTGTTACATATCCTCACTCTAGGTCATCACCAATCATTAAAAACAAGGCTGCTATATATCAGGCTTCTGTGAGGTATTGAATACACTTTGACAGAGATCTACCTGCTTGCCTTGAGGAACCAGCGGCACTTTCCAATTGTCCATCACCTGACTGCACACTGTTAAGGTTGTCTGGCTCATTCTGAAAGACTAGTTTTGAAGAGTAACTACCCTGAATGTCTGCATAACAAGTGCTACCACCTGCCCAATTGGCAACACTGCAATACCAGCTGCCTTGGTTATGCTGCACAGCACTATCACATACTAAACTGTTAGAGGCAGCCATATTGCTTACTGTGTCTTTATTCTCATCACTGGCAACAGTTATCAGTACTGGCTCTTTATTCTTTTCAATTTTAGAGTCAAACACAATGTCTATGCCTGAGTCCTTGCTTCCTGCAGACTCTGGTACAGAGCACGATGCTTCAGGTTTAAGGCAATCTGGACTGTTCTCGGTTCTTTGCTTCTTTCTTTCAGAATTAATCTTCTTAAATAATTTGTTCCAATTCACCTTTCTTCTCTTTGTTTTTGGCATTATCACATTTTCATTTTGTAATGTATCAGATGAAGGGTTCGGAAGATGCGACTTGATTAATGAGCTGGACAAATGAGCTGCATTTCTCACGTTACAAGGAAGGAATTCTGAAATATCATAAATTATTTTCTTTGTAGAACATAATATGTCAAAAACAGACTGTAAAGTGGTATGGAATCTGAACATTCCCCCAAAGAGATATCAGCTCAGTCTAATGAGAACGAAACATGGTACAGTAATCAGCAACAAGGGTCACCTGGAAAAGACAAAAAAAAACTGTCACAGCATTAAAAAACAGGGCAGCTAAAAAGTATGAATGTAGCAAGACCTTACAGTTATCCATAGCACATTTCATTTGCAAAGCATTTCAAAGTTTTGTGAATTTTCAGCCAAATCAACACATTATTTTCTCATCTCTTATATTCTTTTATGCTGTTCTTATAATTTTTGTCAACCATGATGCAACAAAATGACATTTCATTAGTGATCAACAGTTTATTTTCATTTAAATAAAGTCACTGTCAGTATAACAATGGGCTACAGGCTTGACAACAAGAGTTCGATCCCTGGCAGGGGAGAGAGATTTTTCTCTATTCCATAGTATCCAGGCCAGCTCTGTGGGGGCCACCCAGCCTTGATCATATTAATCATATTTGGTGAAGAGAATATATAATTCAAAATGCAATCTAAACCTTCATGTACGTCTGAAAACACGTGTGGTAAAACATAATTAGACAATTAATAATCTTCTTTAATTTTGTAGCAGCAATGTACGTTTCTTGGTAGTTCCTTGGCCAACTAACTTCAGATTTTGCATTATTATGGTCTCGAAATAGAATAAATATTGATATACTCTCCAACCACACTTATTCAGAAAATCAGTGGTTAATATTTATACCTATTCAGTAATTGCATGAAATTTCACAAACCTTACTTAACCTCCACATTTCACATTCTCACACATTGTAAGAATAAACTTTTTCACATAGATAGATTATTTGGTATCATTATTGTACCAGTACGAGCATTCACGTAAAATTTTTGGAACAAATGCCGCGTACTTCCAAGAGACAAATTATTTGCAACCATCACGAACATCACGGAACATACAATAACGAGACGGAGCATCCGTGCATTTTATGTACCTTGCTCTTCCACAATATTTGACACATTCTGACACGATTATGAGACCCGTGACAGCAAACTCGTATGGGCTCGTATGGTGCATGAGAAACACATTGTAATAAAGCATTAGCGGTATCTAATAGTGTTACATCTCCAAAACAATTTCCGCCTTATTTATAATGGAGAAAATATTTATTGTCAACACGAAACCCATCATGGCAAGAACTCACGTATAGATTTATTATTTCTGCCACAGGAGCCATGTTGAAGTTTACTAAATTGTATCAACAGTATTCATAACTGTTACTTGTCTTGATACATAAATTCTTATGCATTCATCAACATTTTCACAACTTGCAAGTTTCCCACACCAAAGATAAAAAATGTAAAGTAAGTAAAGCTATCCCTGTACCAGGCCGTGAACGCCGTGAAGGCCCATAGGGTTAAGAGACGTTGAGGGTCCCACACTATCTATACAATCGCTCAAAGATGGCGGTAAGGTTGTCAGCCTTCCGCACCGGCCGCGCTTTACTCCCCAGGAAAATTATTTAATTAATTCATGGTACTCATTTCTGTTAAGAGGCTCAGTAAACCTCAGGGCCTGGTGTGGAATGGAGGATTAGGTCAACTGAAAGAAATCCAATGACCTTATCGGGACTTGAACCCGCGACCTTCCGGCTTGTAGCATAGGCCCTCAACCAAGCTACTGCGCGCCAAAATAAAAAATGTGAACGGTCAAAACTTGACACATTTACTTTGTCCTCTCTTTTGAAATTGTATAATCTTCATTCTGTGTATATGTTGTAGCTATTTATCATCTTATTAATGACTAGAGTTTTTACTCAATAGAGCTTATATTGTTACAATCGTTCAGGTTCTTGTGAACAATGTAATAAACAAATATTAACCATCTTCTGAGATATGACACTTTGTAGTCTACCCTTCTGCCAGATAGTAATATTCATATTCACCAGTGTGAAAACCTCGGTCTTATACAGTAATGAACCTTGGATGCCATAAAATGCAGGGAATTATTTTATTAGCAGAGCAGTCTTAAGGAGTGTACTCCATGGCATTGTGTTGCAACTGCTTCCTGCTTTTATGAAGAGTGAGCATCCTCTCTACACTTTCCTGCTACATTTTATGTTCACTGGTTTCCTTTTTTATTTCCATACAGTCTACATGGTCTCCAAAGGTTATTCATATGACTGCTTGCAAGAGAACAAACAAGACCCGCAGAGTAGCTCCTTGCCCTTTCACTGTAGATGCAAGCCAGATTTGTTATTATTATACAAGGCAAGACACTAAAATATTTTAAAAGTTCCTACTTCAAAAGAACCATTTTTAAGTTTCTGGCATGTAGACCTGTATACTGACTGATAGGTTCCATTATTTTGTACTGACTGCATCAAACATTAGCTATCAATGCTTTGTTTACCCTTTTAAACAGTTTTCCTTTCATTTATTCATATGTGCATCACTTGTCCCTGTAAGACTCATCTGACTCGATCTATTGCACTGTACACATCAATTGTGCTGAGAAGAAAGTACATTGGGGAATGATTAACAAGTTGTACAACACAGCTGGGATACATTTTTACTTTCAAAACTGTTACAGTCACATTCCTGAACAAGTTATGTAATCTGTATAACTAACAACAGTTGCTCAAACAAAGATGATAATACCTGAATAATGTTTATACTGAAAATTAAGTTATTACTTGGGTACTCATCGGTGTTTTCATAAGCTGGAGCAACTGGACAAGACTTCCCCTTAATTGAAAATAAGGACGGTTCTTGTAAGCCAAAGATGTTGAACAAGAATCACAATGTGACCACAACCATGAAGCACATTAGATAAAACATATATTACAGCTCATATAAATTGATTTACACTTGATTTTACAGGGAGTATCAGTTGAAACAATTAGCAACTTAATCCGATTCAAAATATGAGCAATGTGATTAACTAAGAGACTTCTCTTAGGCAGAATCAAAGGACATGTGATTTCACAGAGTTTAACTATAAGACTTCAACCCCCACTTTAAATTCAGATACTCCACGATTGTACAAATTTTATCTGCAAATCTCAACCCTCCCAAAGTCTACGAATGCAACTTCAAAACTGGTAAAACCCACTTCAGTTCTGCAGTACAATAAAATCTCCAGGTTTACACATGTTTTATTTCATTTTCGCTGTTTTAGTGTTTGGAGATTGATATGCACTGGTATTCTTGAAGTTCATTTACAGTTAATGAAAAGTGAATTCCCAGAGGATATAACTGCAGTACTAACACAGTATGCCTGTTAAGTAACTGAAAGGAAATAACATTATTGTGTGTGTGTACGTAGGCATGTAGCAACATCTACTTCTGAGGGGTAAGATAGTTGGTGTTGTGATAGTGAATGACTCAACATACATTCTATAACAGAGAATATGATTCTCAACACTTATCACTTTCTTGCTAAGTGTTCAAAATTCTTGGCATTCTGCAGCAATTCATTGCATTTATTGAACTATATTAAATAAATGATTTAGTTCACCATACTACTGTTCCCCAATAGGTTCAATATGGACAGTGTGGAGCAGTTTCAACTTTGAAGCAGCGCAATGCATCTCATAGCAATGATGTGGTTTCTGTATATTCACCTGTTAGTCTTACTGTAATAAGATTATTTAGAATTACACAAGAACTTGATTTTTAAACATATGGGCCCAAACACAACAATTTTGTCTTATCCTGTGTTCAGAAGGCAGAAGAGGAAACTGATACTTTGGAACATAAAAGTTACATTTTTGGTAGAACAGCAGAAGGGCTGAAATGAAGTGGCAGGAAATTAACACAGCTCTTAATGAATGTTGGGGTTGAGTTGTTAGCACTCCTGAATTGATCTAGATCGCAGATCTCACCATCACCAAGAAACCTGCTATCCTAGAGGACTTTCATAGTTTTCCTCAGTTCCTCTGGGCAAAGAGGAAAAGATCTTAAATTAGGCCATGACTGTTTCCTCCTACATCCATTCTAATTCACTATTCACTAATAATCCTATCTTTGACATTATAAAATCGGGGCACTTGACTAAATCAGTCTACAAACCAAGTTTAAATAGGGTTCTTAAGAATGGAATGACTTACTGCACCAATATCATGGTCCGTGAACAGCTATCAAATAAAGTATTTAACTGTGCAATGGAAAAGATGGAAAGCTCTGATACATAGTACCAGTGAAATACTTGGCACAATATAAATCACAAATGATGTAAACAGAAATATGAATACAAACAAATCAGGAGTCTATATTGGGAATTTTGTGACAGCAGAGCATATAGGCAAACACAACTGAAGAACCTCCCCAGCCCTAGAAGGAGAAGATTATCATTCTGTGAACCTGGGAAGATTTAATGCTTGAAGTATTTCTACAGAATTGTCTTTCAATGCCATATGACTGCACACAGAAGTGGCCAGCAAAGCTGTGTCACTACAAATCCTTAAGTTCCTTCTTGATTCCATGTGAAAGGGTGACTTGCATGAAAAGCTGAGTGTTTTCATTACTATCGTCTAGCAAAAGTCATAACATTTCAAAAATAACCCAAAAAGCAGAACATGATGTAACCACTGCCCTAATAAGTTTTGACAATATTAAGTAAAAGACTTACACAGAGGGCACGTGTGTGCACACACACCCAACACACAGTTTTATCACCTGAGTATTCTGTACAGCATGGCCAACAGATCTAAAACGCCAGAAAACAGGCAAACTACAAGCAGATTCCACTTCAACCCCTGCTTTGGGTGAAGAATCTCTTTCCCATCTGCCAAGCCATCTTCTACTGGCCACCATCTTGCAGTTTACACTCCTGCTAAACTGAACATGACTGAGTGACTGATATGAAAGGCAGTGTATTAACATGTCAAACAGAGCTGCTCACAATGGGCAAAGATACAATATTTTGAAGTGGTATCATTTTGCAATCAATAGTCACACAATTTGCAATCAAAAGANACCACAGGCTTTAGATCTGTTGGTTCTATTTTTTTGATTCAAATGTATTTTAAAATTAGGGCATACTACATAAGAAATATCAATACAATGTTTAAATATATATATAAATTATATTTTGAATAAGTCAACAAAACATTCTGCAGTCTTAAAAAAACAAGAGCAAGTGATGGCAAAAATAAATAAATAACCAACAATATGAATATGACATGGCTGTGGTCAGTGCTTATCACAGTCTCTGACTGGTGGTTCCCACTTCACTACATAAACAAAAAAGTGACAAGCAAATACTGATAAAAAGCTTACTTGCCAATAAAAACACTCCTAAATATTCAGAGCTCTATGACACACAGCCAACTTGATTACTGATCCATACTCTTAAAATATGTTTCAACCTTTTTAAAGAATATCTGTAATCATTTTAGTCTGCAATGGCATAAAAATGATTTATTATTATCTCATAATGTTTAAATATTAGATTCAGTCTGATAGTTGTTAAGGCATCCTGTGAAATCATCTACCTGTATAAAAGCTCTGTACAGTACACAATAACAACCTGCTTCTCTACTGTGGATAATAAATATAACAACATAACATGCTTCCACCATTCCCCACAGACATGCCAGCTGGCAATAAAAACTGTCTTCAGTTACTTATAAAAACATCATGCCACAAATGATTTGGTGGTCATGCTTGAACCGTTGAAAGAATAGGGGAGAAAATGCAGGATAAGCTGGGAGAATATAAGAATGACCATCATTCCATCTGTGGTCTTGTAATACTTGATTTACACTCAAAGTTAATTCATATGCTGCATCCCTGAATACACTAAAATGACACACCTTTGTATTATCTGGTATAGATCTCACCTTTGCAATATTGCTGCTCTCACTGTTTAGTAAGCAACAAGATACGCATCAGATACTGCTATGTACCTTTAAGGAATACGGTAGCATTATGTCATTTGTTGTGCACATAGGAACACATGACCATTTAAGTAGCAGACAACGTATAGGAATGTTTCACTTTCACACGTGAGACAGCCTGGACCTATGTCTGTGCCTGCGGCACGAGGTCTTGTGCTATACTTCCGCACCCAAATCCTGTGTTCCACTTTCAGCAATTGGAACATATTTGTCATCAATTTTTACCAGAAGAATCGTTCGATCCACGTGAGACCTGCAATTGGGATCTCGGTGAGATGGAACCCATCGATGTACAACCTACAAAAACAGGTAAACATGAAGATTATCTTTAACATTTATTACAAAGCTCTCAAGTGCACAATATTATGTCTGTGCTCACCTGTCCCTCCATGCCCTTTTCTGGTAACCAGTCCCGCCAGCTGGAACGTCCACCACGAGCCCTCATCTTCTCATCAGGCCAAACTACATCAATCCGACGACCAAGGTTGATTGCATCATAAACCTGGTTAGGGTCCTGGATCTGTAAGCACAATATCATAATATTACTATTCAGTATCTATAATATCTATCAGGGTGTCACCATCAGATATCACTGCCATCACCACTGCCACAGAGTAGGGTAGGCATTTTCTTTGATGATGGTCAACATGTGATGGGGGGCCTTAATGTATATGCCAGCATCAGCCATTCTCCAATGGCCTCTGCTCATTTCCCAACAGTTGGCCACCCCTCCTGTTCATTTCTTCGTCATCATTTGGTCTCCAGACCTTCTTGGTGATTCCCATGTGTCTCTTCTTGGCCTATCTTTCAGCTGCTAGTGCTCAATATATTCTGAAGAGAAGTAGTTGAAGTCCCTTAACTCACCCGCACTCTCTGAAACACTGGCTCCTTGTCTGCAGCAAGGTTGCTTTCTGCAGGATCAGCCTCTCTATCTTCCCTCTTGTAGACACCTTGACTGAAAGAACTCTCTGCTTTGGTTCCTGACTCTGTCGCAGACAGAAGTCCTGCAAGGCTGGCCAAAGTTGAGGATGATGGCTTCCCTGCAGAGGCTATACTGCCTCGGTTGCCTCCTCGTCCCAGGGTGCCTCCTCTACCCAAGCTGCCTCCAATCTGACTACTGTCCATGGACTGACTGCCTGAAGTGTTATGCCCACTGGAAGGGTGGGCTGTGTACCCTTGGGACCAATAAAAGAGAATGAGTCACTCTGGTAACAGAAACTGAAAGATGAGAGAAGCTGTTATGAGGTGTGACTTTTACTGATTTGGTGAGATGTCTGTAATGAACCTCTGGGCTCCAAACCCATAAGGAACTTTTTTGATCAACTACATAATTATAAGATGCTCAAGGAAGAACTTGCAGATGATTCCCTTTTACAGTAAAAGTTCTGTCACTGTTACTGAAACTGCAAATACACAAATTAACCAAATTATCAAATTAAATTAATATGATTTTCCCTACCTGAATGTCAAGTGTGGTCATTTCAATTTCAATCTAAGAAGTTTGATGGTGAAATGAGAAAACCTTTATGAGAGATGGAGCACAAGCTGTGACACAAAAGATTAATATCTGATCAAATGAAAAGTAGCATTTGAGGTTTTCATACCGGTGGTTATGAAGAGTGCTGTCTTCTGGGATATAATGCAGTTTAGTCTGTTGAAATTCAATCAGCATTTTGGAGGAACATGCCACCTCCATCTTCAGACTCAAAGAATAAGCCGAGCAAGAAACGACAATGAAGCAGGTAACAAGCGGGGCTACTCAGTATATCAGATGGAAGCTTGCACACAGTGTAAAAAACCATGTAAATAATGTAAAGTACATTGCATTAAGAACTTATCCTGGACCTACAAACCAAGCCATGATAAAGGGAGTCTATTTGGTGTGCTAAGTAATGTAATTATCAGTTAAGGGCCCAGTTAGCCCTTCTTTTCCATGCACTTCCCCTCCTGAGAGGTCCCCAGTCAACAATGAACCTCCTGGAAGGAGAGCTCTAACAACAGAGAAGTGACAGGCAATAAACACCTCCTCCTTCGCAGAGCTCTGCTTGCTAGCTGCTTCATGCAGGTTTCTTCCTTGGCTTACGCTTTGACCTTGAAGACAGAGGTGCTATGTTCCTCCAAAACATCAGTTGGCTCTCAGTGGACTACATGGTATATCACAGAACACAGAACTCTTCAAATTACAAAGGGAGTGATTTTTCTATAGTTCTGTAACATATCCACTGTCATGCCCTTGTACTGGGATTTTACCTGCTGGGCCAACCATTTTTCCATTAAGACTGGATATTAGCCCATTTGCAACAGGAATGAAAGCCAACAAGAGAAACGGTTGTGTATGTTGGCTCTTTTAAGATTAAGTGAGCTATCCGTAAGTTTCTCTGGATATGTATGACATCTGTAACACGAAGCAACATTTACACTAATGGGGGAAATAGCCTGTCATTTGACATGATCAGCACTGGTACATGGTAAACTTCAGTCCTTCAGGTGACAGAATTGGCAGTAAATGAATACAGAAAACCTTCATTTAAGATTTCTCTAGGGAGCAGTGGATTAGAGCATTAATCTGAGAAAAATCTTAAATGGATGTAATTTAATGTCAAAATTATGGTCCTGCGATCACTAAAATTTAGCACTAAACAAGGAAAAGTCTTAAACTGAGAAATATTAAATGGGGTGGGCTGTATTAAGAGTACAGTCAACTTCCCAGGTTCTAGAAAGGGTACCATTAGATAAAAGTGACTACAGAGCAGCCATGTGGCAGGTTGGCTGGAGCCTACTTGGACATGTCATGATAAGTATACCTCTCACACACAAACTAAGAGCTGCCATTAGACCAGTGGGTGTAAGGAAGTCCCACAGAACATGGTGCATGGAAATTTTAAGTGGAAAAATGGATTGCTCCTGAGCAGGAGGTTGACATCAAATTGGTGGCAGAAATGTTGCATATGCATAAGCCTGTAATAGTGATGAATAAATGATGCCCCAATCCCAGATGTTTGAGTGGCTTGCTTGGCCAGGAAATGGAAGAATTGAGATTCAATTACCATGGGCAATTTTGCCATCAATTAAATGTTAAATGAACTGGCAAAGAATCACTTCATAACAACATTCTGAGGAGACAGTTTCAGTGAAGAATACAGGGTCGATTATCCAATTTTGTGATATGGAGCACCATACACCAACCTTCTGATTATATAATGGTGTATCCTTGATCGCGTGCAGATTAGCCGCTGAACAAACAAAGCAGTTTTGGCTGTTGATTTATATGGATAAATGAAACAATGCCTCATCAGCAAAATCCGTGATGTACTAAATATCCTCTCCATTGGCAGTAATTACATCTCTAAACGATCAGCAATATTCAATGCACTTGACGTTGTCCCTTTCTTTCAATTCATGCACTGATTATAATCAGTGCATAGAACACATAGAACATATAGAACGCTGAAGAAGCCTTTGCACTTGCATCCCAACAATATAATAATTATTATATTGTTGGGATGCAAGTGCAAATGCTTATTCAGCATTCTATGTGTGCTGGAACATGAGATACCCATCTGCTGTACCAATTTAGGAATATTAATACTAAGAATGAGGTTTATCATTTGTAGTGTAGTTGCACAGTGGCTTTTGGCTCCCGATGTATTGTGTACTGTTTACAGTGTGACAAATGAAACCTCCTAACTTCATTGCTTACCTGAATGAATGTTACAGGTGGTCATAGCATACACTCCATCATTGCCAAAACCTCCATCATCTTGCGGTAGAGATCCCCCACTGGAACAGCCCTCGCCACACCGCTGCCGAGCCCTGCCAACACAGTTCACAAAGGTCACACCATACATAACATTCTTGCCCGTAAATGATCTAATCATGGTTAAATATGATGGTACCCACCTCCTCCACAATCTAATGGCTGTCTTTTTAATGACCTCAAAACTCAGTGAGCCTCCAACAATGCTACAGAGCTGCTCATTGGTGTCAGCATAAGACGTGGTGAGAGGGGACACGTAGATTGGGTAGCCTATTGGTTGATCACAAGATGAATTGATGATGTTGCGGAGAGCCTGTCAAAATAGACAGTGTGAGAGACTGACTGAAAATGCATGAATCCCAATTTAAGGCTTCTTAAGGGAATGTGAGGAAACCATTAAATCAGGGAAATTCATCAATAAATTAATGGGGTAGGACTGTGAAAACTAACACTAAATGATTGAACAGAAACATTAAATGTGGAACACATGGTATGTAACATTATAATAAAATCACACCCAACTGTTCACATTATTTAAACTGTATGATCACAGAGGATATCAAGTATTACATATTTAAAGGCCCCGTATGATTAGATTCTTCCTGCAACATTTGCTTAATGCAATCTCCTTGCTGCGCAACAAGGCCTCACAGATGATGCAATCATACTGCATCAAACTTCATTTGCTGAGTGTTCTTCAAAGTATCAATTATTTCCTTCAACTCTCACTTTTAAAGCTTCTGTTTTTACATAAAGCGCTTTTCGTCTTCCAAAGTTCAGGTCCACTCTTGCATATTTCAATGAACTCCATCCAGAACCTTTGTTAGCAGATGCTAACACTACCACAGCATTGGCAAGACTGAACACAAAACTGTGCAAGCAGCACAATTCCCAGTACAACATGCCTTGTCGCACTAAGAATATGTATACTTTTATGAAAGAGCTGCATAACAGGTCAATCAGCTTCCCTCCCTGTCAAACTGACTGCACAGCAGTGAAATGTTCTATAAAATGATTGATCTTGTATGGATTTCTTTGGATCCCTTTCTTTTCTGCTTCTAGGCACACAGACAGATATCTCTGATACCTATAAATTGTCTTTTAATAGTAGGATTTGAAGATCAAGAGACCACTGGGAAGACCAAGGCATAGGTGGGTGGACAATATTAAAATGGATCTTAGAGAGATAGGATGGGATGGTATGGATTGGATTTATCTGGCTCAGAATAGGGACCTGTGGAGGGCTGTTATGAACATGGTAATGAACCTTTGGGTTCCATAAAATGCTGGGAAATTCTTGAGTAGCTGCAGAATTGGCGCCTGCTCCAGAATGGCTCAGCTCCACGAGTAAGGAAGGATTGAAGATCTCTTGGTGAATACATGCACTAGAATCTTCTTGGGCAATCAGTCACATAAAAGATGAATTAAAAATCAACATTTTTTAAAACCTACTCCTCCTCCTTTATCAAGGTTATCAACTCTGATTATGAAGACAGCATAGGTATCTGAAATGTTGATTTTTAACTAAACTTTGGCATGGCTAAGGTTTCAGTATTTGCTAGCAGGTTTCTTAAAAGAAAACTTTGCCAACAGTAAATGAGAGCATGACAATGATATAGAAAAGGTGTGGAAAGGACTGATTTTGACTATTTTATGACACCTACTGAGGTTTTCATGAAAGGACTCAGAAAAACCATAGTTGGTCTGGGCTTCCCACGCATGGAGCAAGAGTGCTGACCACCATGCATGATGTTAGCTAAATTATGCTAGCTAGATAATTAACTAAATGACTGACTGACTGACTACATGGAGCTGAAACCTTCTTCAGAAGTCAACAGTTGCTCAGGTACTCAAGAATTTCCCAATGTCTTATGGAACCTGAAGGTTCATTAGTATGTTCAAAAGAGCCCTCCACAGGACCTTATCCTCAGCCAGATCAATCCAGTCCATAACACAACATCCATATTAATATTATTCTCCCATCTATGTCTAAGTCTTCCAAGTGGTTTATTTCCTTCTGGCTTTCCCACCATAAACCTTTATGCATTCCTCTTCTCCCCATGTATGCTACATGCCCTGCCCATCTCAACCTCCTTGAATTGATCACTCTAATTATATTTAGCAAAGAGAATAAGTTATGAAGCTCCTCGTTATGCAGTTTTCTCCACCTTCCTATCACTTCATCCCTCTTCAATCCAAATATTCTTGTCAGCACTCTGTTCTCCAACACCCTCAGCCTATGTTCCTCCCTTAATGTCCGAGACCAAGTTTCACACCCATACAAAACTGCAGGTAAAATTATAGTTTTGTATATTCTGATTTTATGTTTTTAGACAGCAGATGGAAAGACAAAAGGTTTCTGGACTCAATGGTATTGTGACATGTTGCGCTAAGGAGAACCACCCCCCACCAGCAGTGACGCGGCGGGTGAGTCAGCGCTCCCCTCCCCCTCCTCCGCACGGTAACGAAGCCCGCCCCGCCACTCCCCTCCGCGGTGACATCACGCGGTGACGTCGCGCGGTGACGCGGAACTGCTTCCTACTGTGACGTGGAACGTAACAGGCAATCCTGCGGCTATATAAGTTGACGGCAGAACGGCTACCAGAGAGTTCTAATGTGGCTACCAGCGAGTTCTACTGTAGCAGTCGCCTAACACAGTTGTATGGTGACAGCCGCCGAGTTATAAAGTAACAGCCAGCCGACTACAAGTTGGAGTATAGCAGCCGTCGCGGAAAGAAGATCTGGACGTGTGTGTAATTGTGTAATTGGGAGCGTGTGATACAGTGATACGAAGCTCCCCTACTGTCAACGTGTTACTACTGAACACAGAGTGAACTGATTTGCGCATAGGGTCATAAATCGTGAAACCCCGCAACAGTGTCGACAGATTAATGCGATTAGGGTTATAAAGTGTGAAACCCCGCAACTGTGTGATAATTAATTGTAGCCGTTATTTGTAGATTGTTAAATAAACAAATTAACCATCTCTACGGCGTCTTTGGTAACGTAAACACGTTACAGTATCAAGCATTACTCAAATTCAACCTCCTCTTAATTTCCTCTTGAATCAAATTTCGATTTATTACTACTGTTCCCAAATATTTGAACTGTGTTACATTTTCAAAACATCTATTAGCTATATTTATGTTATGATTTTGCCCTGCATTCTGGTGATGAGACAGCAACATATACTTAGTTTTCTTTGCGTTTACGTCTAGACCAACCTCCTCACTAGCATCAATTAAAGTTTCTGTGCTTTCCTTATCTCCCAGTAGGTTCACATCACTAGCACAGACCAGCAGCTGATATGTCCCAGTTAATTTTCGTCCCATATTCTAATGCAAAGTTGAAAAGCAATGGTCTTACAGCATCTCCTTGGTTTAGACCATTTTGGACAGTAAACATATCAGAAAAATGTTTATCTATATGGACTTTACTATAGATTTAATTTAAACACATTTTAATCAGCCTAACCACTTTCATGGGTAAATTATGATAAACATTAAATTGCTCTACCATTATTAACATTTGTTTTAATAAATACATGTTAGATGTAGTGCTAAAGTGTTCAGCTGCACACAGTTACATACAAGACCACAAAAGTACGAATACAGAGTGCACAATCAACAGGTGCACCTGGCAGAACGAATTATAACTTAAATAATTAATACTATCATGAAATTTTCCCTCATAATAAACATACATTAAATTCACATCCAACTATTCACTGTTAGGTTATGGTACACAAAACTGGTGGGAAGAATTATATAGGCCTATTATAAGAATAAACAATCAGTATGAATGTTTCAATGTGCAGTGTCATTACATGCTCTAAAAGAAAATTAAATATATATTAAAATTACATATCTTTTATCCATAGGGTCTAGAAGGACTCTGAGGACCAACCAGCCTGTCCCCATACGTCTTCATAGCAAGTGCTAAATTAATTAAGCACATATATAATGTGACATGACACCTGAAAGCTGGACTATAAGACGTCCATCACTAGTCAACGGCTAGCAATTCCTAGGCAGCGAAGCCTAGGATCGTTGCCCCAGAAATGAAAGCCTAACAGTGGGGTTTCCACTGTTGCAAACAAATTGTTTGAGGCAGACACGTATTTCTGTGTTCATTGCATATCAGTGGGTGAAATTAACCTTCAACAAGGTGTTCCCTATTCAGTCTGACTGCAAAATATGAGTTCTTACACAACTAGAACAGAAGAGTTTGTATTTGACTTTAGCAGGAGTGAGTTCATATCCAACAAGGGACCAAGGACAGTTGAACTCTGAGCAGAGCAGAAGAAACTTCACCAAGATCAGTGGTGCAAGTAATTGTAATAATGAAGAGGAAACGTCTGAAGATGTTATAAGTGTGAATAATTGTACTTGTGAGTGTAAAGAGCGAGTGTCCAATAAAAATATTCATTCAAATCCGAGACCCACAAAATTTCTTGTTGCATTTCCTAGCAAACACGTGACAACTGGTGTCAGAAGTGGGATAGGCTCGGATTCTGTTAGAGATTATTGGACCAAGATAGCAAGTACAACACCACACTACTACTACAAAAAAATAAAAATTAAAAAGCGTCTGCAACAAGTAATGGAATGCCTGCTGGCCAGGATGAACACCAACCAGGCAAAAACGGATGCCAAATTGGAAGATTTTCTGGAGAAAATAGAGGCCAATGTGGAAGCCACTCAATAATGAATGATAGCCAAAATGGCCGCCAATAGGAAGGCCTGGCAAGAAGAGGTGGCCACAAGAACAAAAGTCATGTGAGACAAGAGAACTGAAGTGGAGAGAGAAACCATGTGGGAAGAAATCGAAGCCTTAAGAGACAAAGAGACGATGGCCTGCCAAAAAACGATGGAGGCGCATCTTGAATGGGAGAAGCCGGCCTCAGCGGACATGAAACCTGAGGCAGAACAACAACACGAGGTCCACAAAGAAGACACCAAAATGATGCCTGTCAGAGGACTGGAGAAGAGGATAAGGACCAGACGTTAGCTACAGAGTGGCAGGGAAAGCCGAAGGAATGGGCCCAGGACAAGGATGGGTGCTGAAAGAAATGTGCCGTTGCCCGCAGGGAGACGAGATGAGAAAATTGTGAATCCCAGAAGAGATGAGCTGTCACCAGCAGATGAACGACCTGCCATGCAAAAGCGGCATAGCGCAAGGAAAATGCCATAGGGAAAGTTCGGGCCAGGGACAATGTGGTACAAGGAGCCCCAAAAGAACAGATGCTTGGGAGGAGACATAAGCTGAGACCAGAAAAAGAAAAGGACAACCACAATCAGTATCAGAGGGTGGAGCTCAAGACAGCTATCACCTCTGGGAAGAAGAGGGTCGACCTACAAGACTCTCAGGAAGACCCTAGAGCTGGAATTCGTAAAGAGAGCAGCTGGTATGTTTGGAGTGTTGTGGAAGGTGAGAAACTCAATGCTGTAGAGGTATCAGCACCCTCTGGAGAAACAAAACAAGGATTACACTTTGTGGAGGGGTCGATCCCTTCCAAAACGGGGGGGGGGNNNGAAGAAGAAAACATTGGAGAGAACAGAAGAGTGTGTTCGACTTTAGCAGGAGTGAGTTCATATCTGCCCAGGGACCAAGGACAATTGAGTTCTGATCAGAGCATAAGGTGGCCCATACATGTACGACTCTGGCTTGCAAGTCCGGCACAGTGAGAAGCCAGGCTCGGATTAATTTCACCACACACGTATGAGCGTGGCAACCCACACATGGATGAGTTTGGCTCATTGGAACCCGAGCCAAGTCGGACTCACGAGCCAGACTCATACATGTAGGGGCCCCCTAAGACACTTCACCAAGATCAGCGGTGTAAGTAATTGTAACAGAGAAGAGAAAACATCTGAAGATGTCATAAGTGTGAATAATTTTACTTGTGAGTGTCCAATAAAAATATTCGTTCATATCCGAGACACACAAAATTTCTTGTTGCACTCCCTAGCAAAGACATGACAATATATATATATATATGCTATACAGGTCAAAGGGTAGATACAAATAAAAGATAGCCCCTGGACCTCCAGGTTAGGGTTTGAGTGTGAGGTAAACAACCTCAACAATCTACATTACGAATATAAGAATGGGCTAAAAAAAAAAAGAGGCAAAGTTGTCCATGTATAACTAATTTAAGCACTATGCCATGAAGGTGTATGGGGGAGTGGATGTATAAATCCACATTTTCTTCACCTCGGCACTAGTCAGAGGTGAGGAATGGGTACTTGTCATAAAGGAGGCCACAGATCTCAGAATACTGTACAGCCACCAAGTGCTGTTGGGGGCCTAAATGTGAATAGGTGAAAACATGAATAGCAAATATGGAGGCAAAGACTGTACAAGTTGTTGCAGAAAAATTTAGTGTCCCACCATGCACTTCAATTTACTAAGCATATGCACAGCAATTTCAACAGCAAATGTCTGAAATGTACTATGCTAGAAAATAATGCTTTTTATTCATATAGTTCTTCTCTGTGGTGAATTATGTCAAAGAAATCTGGGTTACACCTTTCCTTTGCAACATCAAGTACGTCTTAACAAAGAGTGAAGGTGATGCATATGGAAGTACACATGTTGAAACACACACAAGTGGCTAGGCCAGTTATGTAGAATTTAATAACATTTAACAAAAACTGTAGACTTAATACAGACTGCAGCTAAACAGACCTGTTTAGCATTCTGAATGGAGCCACGCTCAGGATTTCGGTTGCGAAGGTATACGAGTTCCTGCTGCTGGCCTGCCCACAGGCCTCTTACACACTCTCGATTCATCTTGATCACTCGGAAACTCAGGTAACGTTTGTTCAACATGATTATCTTGTATTCATCTGTGCCATCATCAAGGACATGCCTGCATTAAAGTGCCTTCGTTAATACCTTCCTTAAAAGTATAAATTCTACAAACATGCATGACATCATAATTGCACAGCATATCAATTGTTGGCACCTGCAGCTGAAATGGAATCCCCCACCTCATTTTCCTTTTCTTGAGAATTAATTTCAATAATTTATCAGTGTTAAAATATTTTACATTTTAATATGTCCACAGTTCAGCATCCAAATTGAGGGCCTCATAGAGAAACATCATATCAGAGTTTCATGACATTTCAAACAATTTATTTTGGCTCTGTCCATCATTCCACATCTTTATATATAAAACAAAATATGGTTTTATTTCCATCTCTGAGTGGAAAAGATATGAAGACATTCAAACTGTAGGTACTATTTCCATACCATGGCCGACAAGAGCATTCTACCTAGAAGTCCAGGAGAGTAAGGATTTCTTCATACCCTTTCTATCTTAAGATGGAAGCAGAACCTCGCTCAAAACCTTTGTGGTCTGTGCATGCATGACTTGAATGACATCTAGATAAATGTCTTAAAACACTGTGTCACACCACTTTCAAATACGTCTAAACTCAGGACATCACTATTGGAAAGTTCCCAGACTGATACTGTTGTAACTGCCTTGGTGAAAGAAGATCAGAGGGGAGCCAAAGTCACACATCCGCAAGCCTATTGTATCAGTCTGCCACATGACATTGCGCTGTGAACACGCACTGTTCTTATAAGGGTTTCACTGTATACTGAAAAATATCATAAAATAAAAGAAAGAAAAATATATTTTGACTTTGGTTCTAAACTTTTCAGATATCCTGCATAATTCAGACCTTCAACACCAGTAACACCATGAGATGACAGCACTAATTTCAGTGATCCAGACACCCTGCAGAATCCAAATCTTCAACACTACAAGATCACACCATCAATTTCAATAAGTCATATATCCTGCATAATCCAAAACCTTCAGCACCAATAAGACTATTTTTTATTGCTAGTGGGGTGGGACTAAGTCCCTTGTACTATGGCCACTTCTGACCTATTGTACCAGCCCCAGATGATAGGTGAGGGTGATTGTGGGGCAATTGGTGGGATGAAGATTGGCAGGGGAAACCAAAGTACTCGGAGAAAACCTGCCCCAGGGCCACTTTGTCCACCACAAACCCCATTTGACCAGACCCGGGATCGAACCCGGGCCGCCGCAGTGGGAAGCCAGAGACTAACTGCTTGAACTATGGCACAACCCACCAATAAGACTAACTGCAATGACCTCTTAACTTTGTCATGAACTCAAGTTCATTAAGTTCTGAGAAATATACTTACATGTAAGTGGTTTCACTTCAAATTACACACACTGCAACTCTCAGAACCTGCCCTTGAGTGTAATGGCTAAATGGAAAGTGTGCCTGATGACTTCCATTTCCAAAGTTTTGAACAACTGGCTAGGAACAATATGTTTAATTTTTGCACAATTTCGTACCTGAGAGCAAGCAGAGATGGTGTGCCTGACAACACTGCATTCCTCCATACTGGATCACCTTCATGTGATATAACCAGTTTCTCCTCATGTAAAGATATGGCATCATAGAGGGCTGATGGCTCTTCATATTCGTCTGGAGACATGAAGTGGTCCTGCAGAACAGAATTATGGTTTCTTTAGATGATGCCTATTTTTTCACATTACAGTGAATGCAACATTACATGACGAAAGAGATGAATGATGCATGAATCTAGAAGCAAGCCTCTTTTTTTTTTAGATGACAGGATGCATGTTTTAGCAGTCATATTAACGTTTTTGCTCCTATTTCTTTAGTTACCTCAAAACATTCAGACTGTTGCAAAAAATATATTTGGTGCACAATATGTACCTCTTTTATCCGTATAAATTTTATTCGCAACGGTTCTGAGTCTGGTAAATACTTAGTGAGTTATCCCTGAGATGAGGAACTAGTATATTAAGCTTTGAAGTTTTTAATCGCTTTTGAATTGCTTTAGTATTTGCTGGCCAGTTTATTTAAAGCATCACATTTTTTTTGTTTGTTCTTAAAATACTTCACCACAGATCCCAATATTGTTTACATCTTTCATAGAACTCTCCAATACTTCACTTGACTTCACTCCACTGGCAATTAACTATTCTGATTCGGCATAAGGTCTACAAACAATTAGCTGTGATAAAAAGTAAAAAACAGAAACCCATCTAGTCTTTCCATTTTCTCAGAAAAGACGCATGTAGTGACATGTGCCCATTCTTGCACCAGCAGACACTAAAAGGACTTTATCTAAACTGTTCTTTAATGTTCTTGCATTCCAGTGTTTTAATTACAAGAGGCTCACATTAGTGCTAAGAAATGGCATACCTGGTGCAGTTTCAATGACATGCGAACCCCTGGGGCCACCACCTTGCGTAACAACTCCATATCAGAGAATATCCACTCATCTCGAACAGAGGTGATACGGAAATCTCCTTTAAAGAGGGCGTGTAATCCATATAGGAAGAATTCAACACTGCAACAGTTACAACAACAAACAGTTCACGTGCAGAACCAGAAACAAACAGAAAGAGCATACTCTATTCCAAATTGCACACACACTTGCAGAAATGTTTTAAATCATCTTCAAGTGGCCAGGCAGAGGATCAGAAAGTTAAAATGGGTAGCAGACAACATAAATTGTGCAAGTCTCTGTGAAGTCATACCAGCTGACATGTGATATGTTATAAACACATCTGTATATCAGTAAGCCTTGTGCAGCAGGTGATGCATTCACAAAGCAGGGAGTTTGACAGTACACCTGGAAAACATGTGATTGTTGGAATAGGCTGTTTTGAGGCACACAACACTATCAGAATGGATCATAAAATCACAATGGTACTACAGTGACACTGAAACCTGAAAAGTCTAATCCTTTAATACCCTGAAATTACGAGATCACAATACACTCATGATACAGTATGAACATATACACTGTTTAGGGTTATTCTCACCTCGAAACAGTATTGTGTTGTGAAGCAGCTCCAAGAGTACGCCGCCCAAGCAAACTGAGTGCAAAGCATAGAGACACCAGGACAGAATCCTTCCCATTATTCACTGGCTGAAACAAAATGAAAATTAGATTTCAGGTTCTAATAGCAGTGACTATGGGTAGTGTTATCTGCTGGCATATGACACTGTGTAGTCTGGTAGAAGTTCATTTGCATTTTAGAGGAATATATTGCCTCCATCTTCATGGTATTGTACACCAATCAACACAATGACTTATAGATTGTACAATCTGATTGTCAATAAAGGAGAGAATAAAAAAAATCTTCATGGTAAAAGAGTAAGCCAAGCAATAAACCAACAAGAAGCAGAAGGCTTGACTTATTGTGTAAACTTTTTTTAAAAAATACTTTTTTCTCCCGTAAGTATTGCATTTAGCAAGTTATAAGGTGATCATTAAAACTGTATAATATAACTGAAAACTGAAATGGCTTGATAATTCTCCAGTATCAAATTTCACGAAAATCCATCCAGTGGTTCATGAAGTGTTTCATGCATAGACAGGCAGACTGACTGAATGGACTCAAAGAGGGACTCTTAAGAACGTACCTAAAAACGTGCACAAATAAGCCGGAAACAGCATAATCCACGCATGTATAAATGGAAGTATACTGTATTCCTTAATTGTTCGCTGATGACTACAAAGCATACGGAAAGTTGTGCTCTTTCTACAGAATCGCTATCCAGTGCTATGGAGTTCTAAATGTTTATATTCTCACCAGATATTACATTCATCCATTCATTCATTCCATAAATCCATATACATAGATATAGAACCAGTCACATAGTTAATATAGTACAACACAATTATAAATATATATGTACAGCTTATAATCATTATAATAGATAAAAAAAAACATGTGTTACATTTACAGGCTTACATCACTATACATAAAATTATGCAATATTAAAATTGTTTATGTTATTATCCTTATTTCTAGGCAAATTTGTTACTAAAGAATTCATCACATGTATAAAAAGAGTTTTGCAATAAAAATGTTAACTGAATTTTAAAAATTTTCAAGTCATTAGACATAGATTTGATTTTTGGTGGCAAATGATTAAAGATCTTTACCCCCATGTAACATATTCCTTTTTGGAACTGTGTTAGACTAGTTTGCAGATAATGCAGATCACAGATAGATCTGGTACTACAATTATGCTTTTGTGAGTTGAATGTGAATAATTCCTTATTTACTATAACAAACAGGGAAATCGACAATATATATTGAGCTTGTAGGGGGAGGATATCCAATTCTTGAAACAAACTACGACATGATGTTCTCTTTGTTGTATTTGTTATAATCCTAATTATCCTTTTCTGCATCCTAAACACTTTTATACTATGCGGGGAGTTACCCCAGAATATTAATCCATACGTTATTATATTAAGGTGTGTAGATGTAAATAATTGTGACATTTTCTAAGAAAATGGGTTGTTATTATTATTTAGGTATTTAGGTCCTTCCTTATATAGTTATATGCCACAGCAATGTTTTGGAAAATGTTAATATAAGGACACAAAATTCAAAGATAATTGTAATCTTGATTATTCCAATTCACATGTTTCTTTCTGAAAAATAAATATAGTGCCCACTACAAATTATAGGCTCCTCCTGGTTGCCATTACCCACAAAAGTTGCTGACCACTGCCTTTCCCCTTCGTTCATACAATAAGTGAGGGTTTACACTATTTAAAAAGAGTGTATTAATAACTTCTGAACAAAGTACATGCCGGTCTGCACATCACCACGCTACATCACTCAGGCTGTCCGAAGCCAGTGTTTGATGGATTCTGCACAAAGATCTCCACTTCTATCCCTATAAAATTCAAATTACTCATGCACTACATGAACACGACTATGAAAATAGAGTTGATTTCCGCCAGACTTTTTTGCAATTAATTAATCAAACCAAGATGTCATTAACAACTTTCTGATGAGCGATGAAGCTCATTTCCATTTATCGGGATTTGTTACAAACCAAAAATTTCTGCTATTGGTCAGCCACAAACCCCAAAGAAATTTGCAAGAGATTACTTCAGAGTTCCAAAGTCACAGTATGGTGCACGATACCTTTGTTTGGAATTATTCGCCTGTATTTCTTTGAAGATGAGTGAGAAAGGGTTGTAACTGTGACTGGACAACATTATGTTCAGATGTTGGAGAGCTTCTTAGTTCCTGCACTTGCTCATCTTCCAGTAAAGGAAGAAACGTTTTTCCAGCAAGATGGGGCTACATGCCACACCGTACAAGCTTCCATGGCAATTGTGAATAACCTGTTTCCTAACCATGTTATCTCCAGATATGAAGACACAATACCGCCAGCCAGGTCACGCGATCTTTCCACATGTGATTGTTTTCTCTGGGAGTATCTGAAATCCCAAGGTTTCAAAGCTCCAGCACCCCACACAGTTCAGGAGTTGAAACATCAAATTCAGGAAGTTAAACGAATTCCCATAGAGATGCTACAAAGAGTAACGATTGACTTTGACCGAGTGCCTACAGTGGAATGGTGGTCATTTGCCAGATGTTATTTTTGGGAAACAGACTTATGTTTTCAGTGACTTAATTGAGAAAAGCAAATGCTTTTATGTTTACACTGTATTCACATGTGTTAAAACTAAAACGCTTTGAAGTAGGCTGCTGGGTGGCAGTAGTGGCATCCTCCCCACTCCAACCAACCCAGGAAAAAACACTACTGCCAAATCGCCCATTTCATTAATGCACCCTGTATAAATATTACGTTCCTGGACATTATCCATTGTCCAGTTTTTATTTCAAACACCTCTCAGAGATAGGGACTAGCTCTATTGATTGCCAACTGTGTAGGTTTGGATGGAGACAGAATCCAGTCTTCAAATCACTGTGTTTTAAATAAAAACATGACAGCATTTTAAATAAAAACAGGATGATGGATAATGTCCAGAAATATGATATTTGTCTACGTTAAATATGTCTGTGCTTTTCATTTTAAGCTAAAAATCGAGAGACCCCAGCATGGGTAATAAGAGGAATACTGCTTACACTTGTCAAATGATCACCAGCCAACTTCTCAGCAATAAGATGTGTAAGCTTCTCCCTGCCTCGGCCGTACCACAGCTCAAGTGGTTAGTCGCTGGCTTCCCACCGCGGCAGCCCGGGTTCGATCCCAGGTCTGGTCAAGTGGGATTTGTTGTGGACAAAATGGCGCTGGGGCAGGTTTTCTCTGAGTACTTCGGTTTCCCCTGCCAATCTTGATTCCACCAAATTCACCATCATCATAATCACCCAGGGCAGGCTACAATATACCAATCAGTGGCCGCCGTGCCAAGTGGACCCAGTTGGACTCCACGCCCCACCAAGCAAATTCTCCTTGCCTCAAGAATTAAAATGCAGGACATGCATCATGTAATCATCCATTGCGACACCAATGTGACACATTTCATGTCTTAGCAGAAACTGATTAAGACATAGATTCATGCTCCCAGCCCTCCCATTCATCCAGAGATTGTCATGCCTCTTGATGAGTTTGACATGTCCCACATTTGTGTTAGCTGCTCTCTCTGCAATGAAGCTGACATCATTTTCAATTGAACAATAATAGTTTCTATCCACACCGCTTCCTGGCCCCTAGTAAGGCCTTTACCAAGCTTGCCCAGGCCCTGCACAACCTTTCCAGCAGGAGCTTCTGCTTTCATTACACTACAAATGTCAAACTAAGTGCCCAAATTTTCTTGATGCATGGAGCCAATTAACTACCATGACTGCTTCCCAGTAATAAGAATTTTCACTCACAATCAAATATTTGAAACGTTATGCTGCTTTACACCAGCAGGAGCATACACCCAAAATGAACCTACAAAAGCTTCCATACAACATAATATCCACAGCCTCCAACCATAAATGAATGACTACCACACGTAAGTACATACGTTACCGTATGCACTTCCTTTCTAGGAGAGTACCAAAAATTAATATTAACATTAACAATATCATTATACACTCAAGATTACTAAAGCAAGAAGAAAAAACTGGGAAAGAATAACACACCCTGAGTAGCCATAATGTGCATAAATTTCTCCAACTTCTAAGCGATTAAAACTTAAGAATGTGTACCTGCTCATGGCCAATATCAAGATGGCACCTGATGATGGTCACAATGTTCAGTGAATCATGCTGTACTAAGAGTGCTAATAGATGAATGTGAATAAAAACACACAGCTTCTGAACATTTTGAACTGCCTCAGGATCTCTTGTTTGCAGTACAGTAAAACCATTTTAATCAAACATAAGTTGATTCCTAACATTTGCCAATTCAAAGTAAATGAAATTCCCCAGCTAAAAGTATACAATCTTTAACGTTTTTTAAAGTGGTTAGTACAAAATGTGGTCACTTTATAATTTGAAACTACATTAAAGCCCAGCAATGGCTGAAAATTTTAATTATTTTGGAGTAAATCCTGCTAATTTACTCCCACCCCCAAAAATAGTATTTTATACACCCCACAAATTCTTCCAGCTGCCAAAGAATGTAGGTGACACTGATCATTTTGGCTGGGGTTGAGTAGCAAGTCTTTGTGTGTATCAACCATTCACAACCACAAAAGAACACTACTGCTGTTTAGTATACGTCAGAAAGTTTGAAAAACGACGATGCCTGAAAGGCTTAAAGCACTATCCTTGTAACTACAAATCTTGTAAGAGTGGCTGGTCTCTTTCAAAAGGAAAACTGCTAGCCAGAATAGGTATGTCCTTTTAATACTGGATCAGTATTCTGCTCAAAGCAAAAAGGATCTTAATCTGAAGCATATATGCCTGTTGCATTTGCCATTGAACATCACCAGCTATATGCAACCACATGACCAGGGGATCATCTACTGCATGAAATGAGAACATGAAAAGGGTCCTGTGCACTTTTTGCTATGATAAATCAACAAAAATATTCCTGAAGCAGACATGACGAAATGGAACATTCTGAATGCCATGGTGTGTCATGGGAATCCACCATGCCTACAGTCATTCAGAAATACTTCTCAAAATGTGGTTTCAGTATTCTATGTGAAGTCAGTGCCAAAAAAGAAGAAAATGATTGGGTAGAATTTCAAAGTCACACTAACTGTTCCAGTAATTTCAACAAGTTTCTCAACGTCCACAAATCGATGCCAGACGCTGATGCTCAGAAGACAAGCGTGGATGGCCCTAGCTGTGACCATGTGGCAACGTCAGTGGCAAGTGAGGAAGAAGAGAAGATGGAAGAAATGTATATCCAGCTTGCAAAGGCATGCCCATGGCTTTGTCAAGACTTCACTGTAAGTTCAAGCAATGCCTACAAGAGAATTGTTACAGCTATGGATTCTGTACCAGAAGTATGTAGCAACACTCTGAAACAAAGGTCAATGAGTCATATTTCAAGAAACAGTAAACTAAGATCAAATTTTAACAAATGTAAATTATTGTTCACAAGCTCCCATTTTAATGCAAAGTGTGTAGTTATATAGTATGTTGAAATAAGTACATAAAACAAAAAGGAGATTGTCTATCAAAAAAATCACAGCTTATAAATTAACATTATGACTCCAACTACTAAAAACAGGTTCGTCGTTCAGAAAACTGTGTAATCTGAAACTGAGTAATTTGAAGTTCAATATTTTGGTCCTGAGCACTTAAAATTAATGGGGTTTTAGTGTAAGGGTTTTGAAATAACGAACTTTCAGATCTGTAAGAAACAGGGAATTTCTCATGCACACGAATACCTGCCAAGTTTCCTGAGCAGTGGAGTTAATCCTCAAGACATACACATGCGCGTTGTTTCATTTACCTTGCTGCGCTTCGTAGCACAGTACTGGATCCAGTCCATGTACACGTTGCAGAAACTGTTGCGGGTGATTCCAGAAGCACGAAAGTCATAGTCTTCATCAATATTCATGTTGAACACAGGGTCAAGATCAATAAAGTTCTTGTCCAGCATTGGCTGCAGTGCCTCAAGGATGGTAGGGGAACTCAGCCACTCATCGAGGCGTGGAGAACGTACAGCATAAAATATTATACTCTGTAAGGAAGAATGACAGCACAGTAAAACTCTGCATGTATGCCTTTATGTCAGCATGTGAGCCATCATAAGACATGAAACACACACAAACATGATAAGGCTTCAAATGCTGGACAAAAATTGATTTATATCAGCACAATTACAGCTTCGGGACACGCAGTAGCGTAGTTGGTTGAGGCACTATGTTACAAGCTGGAAGGTCTCTGGTTCAAGTCCCGATGAGGTCATTGGATTTTTTTCAATTCACCTAATCCTTCCAGCTGCACTATGGCCCTGGGGTCGACTCAGCCTCTAACAGAAATGAGTACCAGGAATTAATAAAATAATTTTCCTGAGGAGTAAAGTGCAGCCAGCACATAAGGCTGACAACCTTATCGCCATCTTTTGCCGATTGTCTAGATAATGTGGGACCCTCAACATCTCACAACCATATGGGCCTTCATGGTCTGTTACAGGGATAGCTTTACTTTACTTACTTCCAGAATTGGCCGCAGTACAAGGGACTTAGTCCCACCCCACTAGCAATAAAAAAAATACTTTACTTACTTCATTACAGCTTCGCTGTTGCAAAATTCTACACTTCTATGTAAAAACATATAAATTCTCATGGCACAGTGTGACCAGTACCTTAACATAGTAGGTGATGAGAACCTTGCGAAAGTCAAACACTTGCAGCATTGAGATGGCACTATTGTCCGAGATGCTGTATCCCTCAAGCACATACTTGGTAGCTGTCACCTCCCATGCAAGCCAGCGTTGGCTGAATGCAGCATTAATACTGAGCATGTGAGGCAAATGCCCTGGTTCACAGCAGCAGCATCCTGTGGATAACAAAAATTAAATTCATGTCACTTTGTTAGACAAAGTGAAATTTTACACACTCTCAAGCTTTCACAGTCTGTACACAAGGAAGTTTTCTCAGGTGATCAGCTGTGTCAGAATAGGCTTAGTATCATCCACTGTCTTGGAAACTTTCTCTGCCTCAGTTTCAGACATCTTACGAGACAACAGGAGGTAACTAACTATGAAAAACCTAAAACACTTAGTAATTGTGAACTGCAACAGAAGAAACGTTGAAAGCCTGGAAAGCTAAATGCAAGTACCATTGCTATTTTTTTAACTTGTAATGAAAAAACGGTGTATTTTTGCATGATTTGTATTTAAGTATAGCTTTTCATTGCAAGTGAATCATTCAATGATTACATAAAATTAACTTAAATGTTGATTTGTTGCTCTTAAAATAATGTAAAATCAATTTTAATATTTGGAATGAACTCTTTATGTCCATATTTTGGAAGTTTTTCATGCATAAATGCTTACATATTATGTGAGAAATTCAAAACAGAGACATATGAATGGTCCAGCCATAAGAAATGAATGAAGGAAGGCTGAGACCACAGCAGAAATTCAGGTGAGGATATATGTGAAGAAGAAATACAGGACATAGCAGTGACAGATGTGAACCTGTGAGAGGTCAGGAATGAACAATTCAGTTTCCCACCCATGACTCTGGAGAAAAGAAGAAGGAAAACAAACTGTCTTGTGTCTACCCTCAAACAGATGTTACTGACCATCATTTTCCTCAATGCCCTCAGAGATGGCTTCAACTTCTCGTTGTTGACAGTAGGTTCCTCTGAACTCAAGGCCTCGCATTTGAAAAGTTACCAGTCCATTGCCAAGCTCAATGATGTGGACCAGACAGTTGAGGTAGTCAGATGCCAGTACAAAGCAGTCCCCTTGTGTCACTGGACCCCAGCGTCCTATGGCCACAACAAGAACAATGTACCAACTAATAAAATATAACTAGCACACAAGTATCCCTCATGAGCCACTGGCTCTCTGCAACCTGTGAAGGCGATAAGAACAATGCACTGGTTAATGAAACACAAGCATTAGCACAAATATCCTTTGTGAGTCACTGGCTTCCTGCAACCTGTGAAGGTGACAAGAACAATGCACTGGCTAATAAAATACAAGTACTAGCACAAGTATCCTTTGTGAGCCACTGGCAGCCAGAATACTGTGAAGAACAAGAACATCCCTTAGTTACAACAGAGTTCCATTGTGGGTCATAGAAAAATGAAGAGTCCTATCTTCTGAGCTATAACATAAAGTAGTCGACCGAAAGTCAACCAAGGTTTCAGAGGAACATGTCACCACTCCTGCTTGCTCCTTTCTTCATGTTACTTTCTTGCTTGGATTACTCTTTGGGCATGAAGGAGGAGGCAACATTTTCCTCCAAAACATCAGATGACTTTCAACAGATCGCATGGTATTATATCCCAGAAGATATAACTCTTCATACCCACCACTGTAAGAACCACAAAACCTACATTACAGGATAATCACTTCCATCTAACTGAGGTATGTAAATATACAGTAAAACCCAAATTTAAGGGATATCTGGGAAGCAGTGGATCTGAACACTAAACTGAGGAAGATCTTCAATGGAGGTAATTTAACACTGAGATTACTGTCTTTGAATCGCTGACATTAATGTTAAATAAGGAGAAATACTAAATCAAAGAATATTAAATAGGGGTGCCATAGAAATTAACATTGCCAAGAACAAGAAAAAATGGAGAGTTATGTGTTCATGCTGTACTGTTTGGACACAGCAAGAATTTTAACTTTAATTTGCATAACACTTTAAAAGCAATTAGATTTTACATCGTTAAAATAATATCATGCAGATGTAGCTGGGTGAATTTTTCATTTGTGGGCGGGTGAATGGATCTTAGTAAATTAATGTAAGACCACTTTGTTGGCTCCTTCTAAAATTTGGACTCACCCAGAATCAGGTCTCCACAGAGGGAGTGCTGCAGTGAACGGGTTAGATGTTCATAGAAGATAGAATTTAGATTGTTGTCATCTGCTCCCAGATTGCGTTCTAAGTGTGAGGACAGCCGAGTGTTGGAGTGGTCCACTCGTCTTGTGTTGTAATCTCTCTCCCAGAACTTGACGGGTCGAACATATGATGTCAAAAAAATAGCACTGCCCAAGAAAGGGTTGAGAGGTGTCGAAAGGGCTGCTGATATGGCTGCTTGCAGGAACAGCATGGCTGAGTGCGGTACGCTGAATGGCTGAGCAAATGCATGGAATGCTGAACCCCATGTGATCTGCCACGGAGCGATGTACGTCACCACAAACTGCACCTACAATTGAACGTGCTACAGAGATCATAAAGTAAAGAGAAAACGTTTTAAAGTGAATGTAATTTAAACGGTAAGTGAACATGACATTTTTTGACCACTAGTACCTAAGTCATCAACTGAACTCAATCATGAGACCAATTCCCATTACATCCTCTTAGCTAATTTTTCTATCTAGGTGAACTGCCCAGTGAAATTCTAAAACACTTTCACTATCCAAGCTACATGTCCAGTCTATAACTATCTTGATTATGCTTCCATGATAGGTGAAGATCTTAAATTAAGAAGTTCCTTGATATGAATGACTTCGACTTTGTCCCAAATGTTTTCTTTACCATCAGTCCTTAGACCAATAAGTTTAGCTCAAACATAAAATTTCATGAAGATTACTATCTTCTGCGATATGGCACTGTGTAGTCTCACAGAAGTTAACCTGTGTTTTGGAAAAATTTACTGCATCCATCTTTGGGGTTGAAGAGTGATTCTGAGATAAAGACAATCAATTCTTCCAAGTCAGCAAACTACAAAACTACATCTCACATTCCAGAAGAGAATATATTGCATCACCACAGCTGTGAGAACCTAAAATTTTGCATGAAACTCAGCGTTTAAACCTTTATAACAATGGCGTGATACACTGTTGAGAATTTCTTTTTTCTTTTTTTCTTTTTTTAATTTTGTCCATCGCCCAAGTTCATTAAAATCATTATGTTTCTGGAATTCACTCCATTTCCTTCTTCAGGTGAATGAGACACAAGAGAAAACTTATTCTACTGGGCCCCTCAATAGAGTTGCACTCAAAACATGAAGTGCCTTGCCGACACAAAGCCTGTTCACATACCTTAAGCAGAAACTCATAGGTTTTGCTGAAGATGATTCCCATGAAGAAGTAATCAATGAGAAATGTCTCTGATGTACTACTGTAGTCCATCTGGAAGAAGAGAACAGCAAACACCAACACCAGGTACTGGGTTGATGGATCCGAAAATGATCCACGCAGGCACTTCAGCCCACACACCACCACCACCAATGATCCACTCAATGGGCCAAATTTCTGCACGACTTTTGGAGAATCACTTGTTAAAGCACCAAGGAACAAGACTGGATACAATATGTTTCGCTCCAGGAAGCAAAGGCAAACATACACCTGAAAGAAACATATGATGTCAGTTACTGCCACTGAAGTTCACATGCCAGTGGCTAAAAATATTACTGTCTTATGAGACCTGAGGTTGTGTAAGCTCACAGGACATTACTAACATTTAGGGAATCATGCTGCCTCCTACAATGAGACAGCAAGTAAAGTAAAAAATAAAGTAAAGATATCCCTGTACCAGGCTGTGAAGGCCCATAGGGTTGTGAGACGTTGAGGGTCCCACATTATCTAGACAATCAGCTCAAAGATGGCAGTAAGGTTGTCAGCCTTACGCGTCAGCCGCGCTTTACTCCCCAGGAAAATTATTTAATTAATTCCTGGTACTCATTTCTGTTAGAGGCTGAGTAAACCCCAGGGCCTAGTGCGGCTGGAAGGATTAGGACAACTGAAAAAATCCACTGACCTCATCGGGATTTGAACCTGCGAACTTCCGGCTTGTAGCATAGCACCTCAACCACTACGCCACCGCATAGTAGTTGCCTTAAATTTTGTTAGAAACAGTTATGCAGCAAGGCAACTGAATGACATGTCAGTACATGGAAGAATTGGGTAACAATGGCTGCTTGCACAACTGAAAATTCTGTAATCCCAATGTTACACAGCAAAGTTTGCTTACCTTCTCAAACCACATGACTTTTGCTGCATCCCTGACTTCAAACTGGCTGTGTTCATGAGAGCGGAACACAGGTCTTGCCAAACATAGCCATGGCAACTGTTTCCTGAGCTGGGGAAACACGTAATGCAGGATGAAGCCAAGGAATCCGACCACAGCCCATAGTACAGGGTTCAGTTCCGGCTGCAGAGCAACAAACACTGTGCTGCAATGGATTCCAAACACAAACACTGCTACCAATGTGCAGACAATCACATCTGATTTCAGTCTGGCATGCACTGTATGCTGCAGCTTCAGTGGCAATGGATCCACAAGCTCCTTCTCTTTTTCTGCCATGGCTGATGGCTGCTCTTCTGAAGATGCTGTGTTTTGTTTTGGTTTCTTGTTACTTCTGTTTGATGGACAGTCTGTTCTGTTAGTGGCTGTTGTTTTCATTCCAGCTCCATCAGCTTTCTTTTTTTCGTCCGACACATTCTGCTTCTGCTTCTGGCTACGATGGTGGTGGTGATGGTGATGATGTTGGCGATGGTGTTTATTTGGAGGTTTTCCTGGTTTAGGTGAGGAAGAAGGTTCATGGAAGAAGTCGTGTGGAGGCCACAAGTGTCTCTTCATTATATTCCAGATACCGGAGGGATCACTTGCACTTCGGCTTAAATGGTAGGTTGAGGCGACAAGCAGGCCACAAAATATTGAGAAGAGAATGTGCTGGGAATTCTTGGGTTCACTGAGTGCGCCAAAAGCAAACCCATACAGGAAGCACACCAGAAGGATGCTGCGGCAGACACAGTAAGCTGCAGCCAGCAAACTGGAAGTTGCGTTGCCACCAAACACATGTATATCAATTTGCTCCAAGAGGTACATGAGAAATGTGTTTATCTGAGGGAATAGCCCTAGACTGAAGACAATCGGGAAGCAAAGGAGGAATACAGCAAGAGCATCACGGGACATCTGCACCAAATTCTGGTTTGTGAAGTATGCTCCATAAAGGGTAAAGTTGGTCTGATTGTAAATTTCATTGTTTGAAAGAGTTGCCTGGTGCAAGATAAGAACTAGGGCACTAACTATACAGAAGTACACAGGCCGGCTGAATGCTACAATGCGATTGAATCCATGTGTAGGAGATGAGGCATCAGGTTGGACACTCTTGATAAGTGAATACTGGCACCCAGCCATCACAAAACAAAACATGAACGCAAAGATATCTCGAAACAAGCCCAACTGGAGAAGAAGTGAGCCAAATGCTGCTACTAAAATTGCCAAGCAAAGGGAGAGAAGTGTCTCATCCCACGTGAGGTTGCGATCCAAGAGAGCAAGGAGAGCCAGGCGATCAAAACGGATCTTCACGTGAGTGCACGGTGTAATCCAGTACTTGTAGTAGTGCCGTGGTCTACTGGGACCCAGGTCACTAGGAGTGTCTACTGCATCCATGTACCGGAAGTGGTTTCGAGTAAGTGTGATGTCTGCATCAGTCTCCCCTTGCGAGCTAGAGGCAGGTGGCGCAGCAACGGCCGTGGAGTTTGGCTCATTCAGCATGGCACCAGGGTTGGTATGATGATGCTGGTGATGTCTTGCCTGCCTGCTATGAAATCAATATACACAATGTTATCTGTATTATAAAAAAAAACATCATCAAATCCTGCACATTTCATGGGTTTTACTTCCATAAACAATGAACATTTACAGTGTGGAAATCTAATACCAGAGGTTTTCCACTTTTATTACACTCTTGTAAGTAAAGTATACTCCTGATTATCTGGTTTGTGGCTTACCCATGTGCATTTAAGGAGTATCTGCAACCCTGTGGAGCACCTACCAATTTCATTCAATCAGTATGTACACATCAAACAATATGACAACCATTGGTTAGGTTCTTGTAGGATTTCATACTGGAGAATTTTATCAAGAGCTGTAATGCTCTGTCTAGTCATGTGAACTCCAGAATCACTCAATGGATTCCCATAAGATTTGATAAAAGGGAGTTTTACTAACATTTATTTATACATTCCAATTTTGGTTAAAATCAAACAACAATAACGGACATTTCACAGGATGACCTAATTGTGTATCTGTACGCATCTCTGGTATAAGTTCCTCATATTTGTTCAAGGAAAAAGCACTTCAAACAAAAGTTTAAAAAAAAACATAAAACTCTTATCCCTAAGAAACCGTGCTGGCAAGGGCCAGCAGCATAAGCAAAAGACAGACCCGTCCTCTCGTCAGAGAGGGAGCCCCACAAAAATTAGACCATAACTGTCAAACAGTAATAATTAATATCTGGTCATGAGCCCCAGATGGGGCTCGACACCAAGACTTACTGAATGACCGACTGACTGATTGACCGTCAGTCGCAATGTAACTTTGACTTTGACTTATCCCTACGACTTATGGATTTTGAGATAAATAAACAAAAGTCAGTGAGGGCACCAGAATTGTTTTGTTAACCATACATATCCTCATTTGTACAATAAAACAAGCAATGGACAGTAGTAACTTTGAGCTACATGCCCTTAGAAAGAGCTAGCCGCCCCCTTAAAAAAAAAAGGTCCAGTGATTGAGGCTAGCTCTTTCTATGGGACCCAACAGAATAGGTGTTTTTCCCTCACCTGAGGACGGAAACAGATCCAGTTTCCGAAACGTCGTGTTTTTCTTAGTTATCTTAAAAAAAACCAGGTCAATGGATAAAGTCCAAAAACCCAATATCTCTGTGTGTTATACACCATCATCAGAATCCTATAGTAACTACCTCTAAGAACAGCATAACCCTCTCCATTAGGGACAGGGAAAGAATTAACAAAATGTGGATAGACTCACCTATTCCTCTCAGTGGCTGAGTGCATGTCAGCCAGGATGTGGAATGGATTGCGCAGCTGGTTGCTGGCTGAGGATGAATGGATAACAGCCTCCAGGATACATATGCCACCAGAGTGATGCTGCGAAGATGCTGGAGTGGACGGAAGAGTGGAGAAAAGGGGAACTGGGGTAACGTCTTTGAGACAGGATCCCTGACCAGTGGCAGAGGACGAATGATGATGGCAGCATGCCGCAGCAGGAGTGACACTCCCTGCATTAATCTGGCGATCCAAAATCACTGTGAGTCCAGACGAGTTTATGGACATGGAAGAGTTTGACAGAGACTCTTGCCCACCACCAGCGATACAGGAATCCCACACTGCTGGCTCTGTGCCACTCCCGCTAAGACGACACTGCTTTTGTCTGGAAACAAGAAAATTCATATTGTCACACTGGTGATGTAACATTATAGTGAAACTTCAATCTGCCATTTATCCCATGTCTGATACTTCATACTGCAAAAGTGAGCAGGTTTCTGACTTCTGACTACCAAGAATGGGAGTCAATGTTCGCATACAGTACCTGAAAAGCACTGGAATGCAAATCGTGCTTGTCCCCTGTGCACCACCATGCAAAGACCTCAGACTGTCAATTTCCTTGGGTTATTTTATGACACTGTCAAATGGTAGGATCACAAATGAACTGGAAAGGATATGAAAGGAAGTTTCCACATCATGTGCCTTGGTGTGATTCCAATCCAACCACTTCTGAAGCCAGCTGTCATGTGTATGAATGACTATAGATGGGGCTTGGATTGGAGATTAGATCTCATCTCAGCACTTTACAAATCACTACAGCACATGCTAAGCCTTCTCAGTCTGCTTACACTAGTTGCTTCCTCTTAATGGGTCTTAACAATATGCTTCAACTAATACAGATGATGTTGGGGTACCCAAAACTAGTCCATCTGTTTATAATATTTACGTTCAAATTGAAAATAATTTTGATCCATTACTCTTTTTAGTACAAGTATTATTTCATTTTGGATACTTCATTGACACCTGAGTTGATTTTAGTATGTTAGGAATTATATCCTCAGTGCATACTTTTGGTATGTTAGTGTACATACTCAGATTACTTACTGAGGTTTCTGCTTCTAAGCCAAGTGTTCCTACACATAGTTTTTTTTTTTTTGTTTATAATGCAGAATATATTGCGGCATGCAGACCCGTTGCCAGGCAATGGCTGTGAAATAAGTGACTATAGAACAGCGACTGCTAAGTAATGGTTGTGCAAACAAGTATGTTTCCACAGCAACAATTTCACTAAAACATGTACAAATATGCAAATTCCTGAAATAAACCCGAAAACCACACCAATGCAATGAAAATAATTAAATCAGAGAAGAATACCACTCTATTTCACACTGATAAAAACAGGTAACAGTTTGAACAAAACAGTTTCAATGCACACACATATAACAAGAATCAATCACTATGATGGTGCCAGAAAAAAAAAAATTGTTTTGTGTGAGTTCTTCCACACATCAAATGCTGAGTGCTTTCAGTGACCAATTTCACTTGCTTTAATGCAGTTCTCATTACAGACTGCACTCACTCTAACACAGCTGTTCTGTAATAAAGTGCTGTCAGAAATGTAATAGGTTTGTGTGACAGGACCCAGTATAATAAGAGTGCCATAAAATTAGTTGGAAGTACTGGTTTACTAACATTCATCAACATGACAATGAGAAATCAGGGCTTCCTTGTGAACTGCCCCTCAACAAATTTACTAACCAAGAATTCTGACAAATATATTCTACGTGTTCTAAAGAAACAATCAGACAATAGCATGAAGTTGCCATACCTGAGCAGTGTGCTAAGTAGCTTGCCATTGGCTGTGGCAGCAGCAGCAGCTGCTATTGGCATCACTCCTGTGTTGGCTGTCCCTGTTCCCTTCTCTGAGAAAGTGTAACTCAGCCAATTCCCATGTTCATCACGAAAACAATGAACGGCTCCTTCAGATGTGTCATTGTGACATGTAGCTATATGGGTTCCAGGACCTCCATCTGCCATGAGTGGTTCCAGGCCTGTGATCGATGCAGAGGGAGGTGCAACTGAAGTTTCACTACTGCGAATACCACCTCGAGACCTATAAAGCATAATAATAAGAGAATGGTTACAAGTGAAACACCCCACCCCTTCAAAATTATCTGATAATTCAATTGACAAATAAATATTTATGATGTATTTAATTATTCACCATTATAGCATACTACACTGTCAGGGAAAGACGATAGATTGTGAAATAGATGCAGTATATCCTGCAGGTAATGGAGTTCAGCAACGGTACTGACAAAATTACTGTTAAGTGACATCCAGCAATAAAATTTACTTCAAACACAACACTGTTTTAATTATGATTTTAATTCCACTGCCTTGCATTGGTGGGTGATAGGCCAATAATGGCAATATCCAGCACTTCTTAATGCTGCATTCATTTCTACGAAGGGCGTTCTGTATATAATGCCTCCTATTTTTTTGTGTTAATATATAACGTCTGAGCTGGTTGTTGGTGGTGTTGTAGTAAAGGTTGAACCTTCCCGCCAATATACTGTTAGTTTGGTTGTCGTGCGACAGATAGCGACAGCAGAGCAGTCTACCAAAATGGCGTCTGACATAGAAGTGCGTACGAAACAGAGATGTGTTATTGAATTTCTCACTGCCGAACAAATTGCACCCATTGACATCCATCGACACTTGCTAAAGGTGTACGAAGATGATATAGTGGATGTCAGCATAGTGAGGCGGTGGGTAGTGCGTTTCAACAGTGGCGAAAGTGAAGTGCATGACAAGCCACGCCCTGGGCATCCCTGCTCATCTGCCACTCCTCACAATGAACAAGAGCCTCATCCATACAGATCGGCAGATAATGACCAGGGAACTGTGTGCACGGCTTAATATCGGCTGTAATGCATTGGAAACGATGTTGGGGAAGCTGGATTATCACAAAGTTTGTTCCAGGTGGGTCCCGCAGATGGTTACACAGGACCACAAAACTCATCGAATGGAAGTCTGTCAGGACCTGTTGCACAAGTCTGAGGCTGAAGGTGACAAGTTTCTGGACAGCATCATCACCGAAGATGAGATGTGGTGTCACCTCTATGAGCCAGAATCCAAAAGACAGTCCATGGATTGGGGACATCCGGATTCCCCAAGAAAAAAGAAGTTCAAGACACAGCCATCGGCAGGGAAAGTGATATGCATGGTCTTTTGCGATAGACGGGGTGTGATTTTGTTGGATTTCCTGGAGCCTGGTGAGACTGTCAATTCTGAACGCTACAAGATGACGCTGACTAAGCTGAAAGCCCACATTTCCCGAGTCAGGCAAGAGAAGCAGTCAACCTTTCACTTGCAACACGATAACGCTAGACCCCATACCAGTTTGGCGACCACCGTGCACATTGCAAAGTTTGGCTGGACTCTCCTATCACATCCACTTTATAACCCTGATTTAGCACCTTAAAGACTTCCATCTCTTTGGGCCTATGAAAGATGGGCTATGTGGGCAACACTTTCCAGACAATGATGCTGTCATTGCAGCTGTAAGCAAGTGGCTAGCCTCTGCTGGTGCAGATTTTTACGGGCACAGCATACAGGCTCTTGTTCATCGCTAGCAAAAGTGAATAACGAATGGTGGTGATTATGTGGAAAAATAACTGTAAGTAGCTGAAATCTTGCTCTATTTAACTGCGTTATTATGTTTTCTGTATCTGTTGTAGTTTTCATTAAAAAAATAGGAGGCATTATATATGGAACGCTCCTCGTAGTAACTGTGTCCACCATGCTCCTTGCTCTCGTCTACCAGATGCTAAGTATTCATTCAAAGCATAATGGATGCACTGTATGTTATTTGCAGATATTGTATCAACTGCAGTCTTTACTTAAAGCAAAATATAATGAAGATGACCACATTCTGTGAATCTGACAGGAAATCAGAAGGAAACAGTATGAAACCAGCTTGTAAGGATGGAACTGATTTGGTATTAAAAGTGATGAACAGAAGGCCATGTCATCAACAGCCTACCTGCGTGTTCGAAAAGCCCTCCTAAGCCTCTGATGCCGTGTGCGGACATTTGTCCATAGGTCCACTCTATTAACACTGTGGAATACAGGCTCAAAAGCTATGGCAGGAGGTCCATAGACAGATTCTGGGGGTAATTCTCTCCTGGTGGCAAGAAATGTTGCAAGGAGAGGCATAGCAGGAGGTGGCAGCAAGGAACTCAACTCCGTCGCTGAGCCAGATGAACCACTTGCTCCTTCACCCACTGGATTTGATCCACTGCTCGTCTTGGTCACCAGTTCAGACTTCTGCTGTGTTGGAACATGATCTTGTGGTGTGGATAATGTTACAGCTGGAAGCATGCACAAACATTCTATTCAATAAGTGATACTGTCACATCTTACTGACCAGACATGGTGTTTGGATTGGTAACTGGATTTATTTAACACCTATAAATTTCAACTACAAGTAATTACAGCGCTCTCAACTTCTAACTACAGCACCCATCAAGTCTTCTCACTCTGTCTCCACCAGCTGTTGCCAGGTTACAGCTCCCAGTGATCTAAGATTCCTCAGCTTGTGATCAGGTCCTTACTGCCTATCGACCAACTCATAACTAATGCATTACTCCAACTGTTGATTCTCAGTTAACTCATGGCATCAATAGCAATCACTGACTGCTCACTGACCCCCAGCGGCCATCCATGGCTTTCATTGGCCATCATCTACAAATTTACAACTGCTGATGGCAACTCACTAAATAGCCTTTGGTTGGACCAACTAGAAAACACTGTTTCCAACAGTTCCTTTATTTAACTTCTTTATTAAGACCATCACAACACTTGATATAGTTGTGCTGTGACAGTCTTAATAAAGAAGTTATATATTTATTATAGGACAACAGGATGCATGAAATGAAAGTTCCTTTATTGTTGCGCATTTATTCTCTGTCATGAAGACTCATTTATTGAGTCATTACCAAGCAATGGCTGTCTTCATCAGTCAGCACGCCACAATATTAACCCCCTTACAAACAAGCATAATGCTGAAAATTGACTACGTATTACACACAATAAGCATCAGCCAGACAAGATGCTGACCTAAGAACTAGACCAAAGACTTATGGTCCTCATAATGTGGCAGAAATTTGTGACAGCTAATGCTACTACCTGCCAGACACACCCAATTATAGTCATTTATATCAAATACATAACCCACCCAGTTCTCGGGTCCAGTGGCTACTTCAGTGCATCAAAATCATCATTCACAAACTAAACATAGCACATGGCTAAACATGACTGAAGAGAAGTAACTTGGTGCATGGAGTAGTAAAGGTAGGGATGAACAACATGAGGAAAATATGTGGGACTGGGAGGGGTTTATACGGCAAAATACAGGCATATTTCCTGCTTCACAAGAAACATTTTGTGACGTGCATGGTCCCTAGTTTGACAATGCTAAATTGGATGTTGTGAGTACATGTGGAAACAATTTTCATGTATTTCTGGTTTAACTCATTGTAGATAAAACCAGCTGCCGGTCATGGTAGCCGAGCAGTCTAAGGCATGTACTGTCTTCGCTCGCTTGGAAACTGGGATCGTGGGTTCGAATCCCACTCAGGGCATGGATGTTTAGTTTGTGTGTGTGCGTTTTTCTGTGTTTGTGTACAGGTAGAGAACTTGCGACGAGCTGATCACCTGCCCAAGGAGTCCTACCGAATGTGTAAGATCCAGAAAAACCGAAGTGAACGGAGAAGTTCATGGAGGTAGGCCTAGGCCCACTGGGGCTGTAGTGCCAAGGGGGGGAAAAAAAGATAAAACCAGCAGATATGTTCAGCAAATTTCAAAAGTGTCAAGAATATCACATTTTGCTCTAAGATTACTAAGTGAGAAGATATTACAGTGGACAAAATGTGTGTGCTTTAGGCTCTATTTTTGTTTATAGGCATTGCACGAAAACCTTTATGATTAGATCGTACTATTCAACGGACTGGCAGCCATTCACCCTGTGTATTCTGAGACTTTACCTCTGGAAAGACAAGAGCTAATAATCGAATTTACATATTTTTCTGATAACAGTGGCAAAATGAATGTCTAGAACCTTCAAAACTTTTCAAAATTTATCTGGTCATTCAGTACATAAATAAAAAGTCCCAAAACCCGCATCTTCCAAACCAGAACACTGTGACAGATGAGTCCTTGACCTATGTGTCTCAGACAACACATACCCACATGGTTAGCAAATCTGGCATCAAAACGTACGAACACCTTGAGTCTAGCTCCAGCTATGTCTCGCTTTTCTCATTTACACTGGATGAGGCATGGCACTAATAAAACAGTTTGAGACTGCAGAAACAAATAAAATGCAACTGTAGTAAAACTGTTCGAACATCTTCTTGGTCATGGACACACTGTGTGGAAGGACAACTTCTACATTTCGCCACAGCTGGTTCAGTTCATGACATAAAATAAAACATGCTATGTTGGAACTTCACACATTAACAGGAAAAAAAAAAAGTTCCTCCTGTAATGAAGAATAAGACATTGAAGAGAGGAGAGCACTGTGGTGAGCACTCAGGAGATATAGGAGTGACTGACTATGAATAAAGCAAACAAAAGAAGGAAAGCAAGGTCTGTGATTATTCACAATTACAATGCCAAACCGTTTTGGGTGGATCTGAAGGATCAACCGCTACAGCCATACTTGCTGGAATGAAAGGAAGGTACTCAGTAGTATTTGAAAGTATTCAGCAGACTACTCAGTGTAGCAATACATAAGGCAATGGTCGTGTGATGGCCACTTCCAGAAGACAACACACAGGTTCACTAACATGAAGGCTTCCATTAACACAAGGCTTCATGAAAAAACACTGTTCCAGTGTTTCTCATCCTCTATACAGCTGCCTATCAACTGAACTGCTACCTATAAGGCCCCCCCATACACACACAGTTTGGCCTTCCGATCGACCTTACAGGCAAAACTGTGACAGTTTACCCCCTCCCTTTCCTCCCCATACACGCGCAGATACAGCGGCAGGCTTCATGCCACAATCACGGTCTTCCAGCCTATAATGTTGAGTCACACACGTCACGTGCTACAGTCCTGCAGGCAGAACTGACGGACTGACAGGTTTCCCACAGGCCAACAGTCCAAACGATTGGCCAGCCGGCCGCACCACTCACGTCAGTTTTGCCTTTCAGTCTTCAACTGTGCAGGCCGAACTGGAGGCCGAACTGTGTGTGTATGGGGGCCCTAAGATTCACAGAAGGTTATTTCCTGAATGTATTCCTGTCAAAGGAAAGAGCAAAACCTCATGTTGTGTACACACAACATGAGAAAAGGAGACAAACTATGTATTGGTGTAGTGACTGTAGGGCTGTGTTTAGATTATGTTTCAAGAGCTACCATAGAAACCTCAGCTTCTAATCCAGCTCCTTCCATCGCTCACATGCAGCACCCTCATGTAAGATAAGCTTATAAAGCAGTCTTTTCTAATGATTTCCATGAAAAAAATCATTATTATAGCTCATACAGATAAAAAATTATGGGAAAAAAATTATTTCACAGCAAAGTTAAATGTGAATTTGAAAATAATTACTGAAGGTCACTCACAAATGCACTATTTAAATGTCCGCACTGAAGGGTTAAAAGATGGGAAACAGCACTAAATTATGTAAAGCATCTGTTGAGACCAGAAAAAATTTCCCTTAAATGCAGGAACCTAGATATATTCACATAAATTACACAAAGCTACCCTTCAAAAAGAAATCTGAAGTCAATTAAATATTATATTATTACTAATTATACTAATTATATATTTTAACTAATTTTTGGATGAATACAAATGAATATAAGTAAGTTGTGCCCATATGCACTTCCCATCCTTGCTTCTATACAATCAAGCTGACCAATTGGGCGCTGGAGCTTCAGAAGTAAAACAAACAAGTGCTTATTCTTGATCATTTCTCAAAATATGGGCAGAAACCAGGTCACAGCCACTTACGGTAAAAAGGGAAAGAGGCACACAATATTGAAGGGCTTACAGTTCTTTACAAAAAGGTCGAAGAGTTGCTACAGACAGTCTGGAAACACAAAGTCACTACACACAGACTGGTGACTGTCACTACATGAAACTGGAGTCTAGCTGGTGTTGCAAACAGTGTGAAGATTAACAGTAACTACAGGCACATGATGTAGGGTAAAGTAACTCATATTCACAGAACGAATTTCAGATCACTGGTGACTCATATCTCACACTTCAACTTCTTCATAAGTTTCAACTCAGAGATTACACATAATAAAATGAAATGGAAGGTGATCATGAATTGTGTAGGAAGAGATGTGGAAGAAGGCAAATGAAGCACATACAAAGCAGCTATCCTGCTGTCTACCTGCAGGGAATGAAGAAAACATGAAAAGAAAACTTTGAAACAACAGTAAAGCGAAAATGAATCCTAGCATGCACTTCTCCTGTGCCACAGCAATCTATCACTAGAAGAGGATTTTTTATCCAAATTTTACAATTAAAACTTACGAGGATTTTCAATTCCTTCTGCAGGTATGGACGGAAGTTTCTCTTTCTCAGCTGCACCCCTCGATTCCCTGCGAAGCTGGCGAACTGGTTTTGCTGTACAAGCTGCTTTTCTGTTATATACACTGCAACTTGGTCTCTCTTTGCAACCTGCTTCACAACAAAATGTTTCATGCATCATGCAAAGAACATCATATCTCCAAAGGAATGATGAACTGAAGACACCACTCAAACTTGCATGCTTGTACTCAGTACTAAACAAAATCAAGATGCAGCCACTAGCTACACATTTTGTGGTGGTACCAAGCCACTACATAGAACTTCTGCATTAGTCACTGGTTACAATTTGAGACCTGGTCTTTATTTATAGGATATATAATATACGTGTATACAGTCTATACAACAAGATTTCCGAAAGAACAAAAGATACTACTGCATCTACAGTCTTTAGAGTATGCGTGCTGTTGCGTGTCATGTTGATACAGCAGTGTCTATTTTGTTTTTTCAGAAATATTGTTGTGTAGACTGCCTCCATTATATACAGGATGCTTCACGACTTTAGGGCATAACTGCAGGTGATTTCCTACGTCTTTGTGATCAAAAAAGTTCATATAAATATGTGTCCAATTTTGGACGGTTACGGAGTTATGACTGTTTTTTTCATTCCCATACACGCCCTCGTGTCAACCGCGGCTGTCAGCTGGCGGGTGNTTATGTTGGTTTATTATTTTGTTCCGTTTATCGTCAGTAATTGTTACCTTCTATTCTGAGTTTAAAACGGTCATAACTCCGTAACTGTCCAAAATCGGACACATGTTTGTATGAACATTTTTGATCACAAAGACCTAGGAAATCACCTCCTGCAGTTATGCCGTAAAGTCGTGAAACACCCTGTATATTATATAACCTATATATGACACACAACAGGATGCATACCATAAAGATTAGACTTTATTTTAAATGTCTGTGTTTTTCTGTGATTACCATTTGAGATCCAGCCACTGTTTATAATTTCCCCATCACTACCTGGCTATTGTTTCAGACTTGGCCACAAATTATAATAGCCTTCCAGTACCTGGCCACAATCTGAGATCCATCCACTATTTACAATTTCTGTGCTAATTACCAGCTACTATTTGAAATTTTTCTACAAGTGCCATCTACCACTTGAGACCTGGCCACTATTTGCAGCTTCTGTGCCATTATATAATTTCATGGATACTGCTTTAATACTGCGCATGACTACTACTTCAATAGTTTTTTCCACTTGTATATAATATCCACTTTTATCTCAATCAGCTTTAAATAATCTCTGCAGGTTACTTACGAACTGTAACAGTTTTAGCACCTCGGTCTCTTGCCAGCCTTCTGGCCTGTCTCCTTTGTTCCGTTTCACTAGCCACTGAAGTCTGCTGTTTGGATGCTGATCCGTTACAAACATCTGTTAATGTAAGGCAGACAATATCATAACAGGCTTAACAGGTCCAATTGCTTTCTTTGGTGGTATCATTTCCCCACATGCATCATCCAAAATATCTCTAAAAAGCGATCTCTGGACATTATGTCAACAAAAAATTTTATACCCACTTTTCAATCCAGAGGGCCAAGGTTCGGTTAAAAGTAAAAGGATGCTGATAACATGTGACACACCGTAATATATAAATGGCACTCGTTCCTCAAGAAGTTCAAATTATGACTTCCAGATGGCAGAAGAAGGCAGATAAAACATTCATCAATGTGTTGGCACAGGATACAGTGGCCAGTAGCGACATATGATTGACATATGACCGGAGAAACATGAAAGAAATTTTGTTGATCATATATCAACATTTGTCCATGGAAGCATTGTCACCGTGCAGATTAGACATATGTATATCGACATACGACTGGAAAGTGTTAACAGTGCTGTCCATAATTCAGATTACATAGCATGTGACTGGAAGACAGTGAATAATGAATTGGAAAGGATGTGGAAGGAAGCAGTAATGACCTAATCTTAGGTACTACCCCAACGGGCTGGGGGGACTGGGGAAAACTATGAAAAAGCTCAGTCAGGACTGTCGGTATCCTGGCCTAGATTCCAACCAAGCACCTACCAAATAAAAGTCATAAATGTTACCACTTGAGTTCATTTGCTTTGTATCTAGCTAGGTCTCAAACCCTCAGACATTTAGCACAGAGTTCAGCACCTTACCCAAGACAAACAAGACTATGTGAGATATAAAATGCAATAACTGATTAAGGTACTGATCAAGTCTACTGTTTAAACTGCAGTGAATATGTACTATCAAAGAAGATACAAAAATAGTCATTAATGACAAGGTGATAAGGTTCAGGGAGAAAGCTATCAAGGCCTATATTAATTCTATATTCCTGGGGAGACTGAGCAAAATGGTAACAGCTAGTAGCCTACCTGACATTACATCCAAATACTTCCTAAATAACACCTGGTGCCACACAAGAAGTTTGTCCTTCTATTTGTCCAGTGAAGTAAATTGTATGAACATAACACCACCTAGGCTGTGCCACAGCTCAGGCAGTTAGTATCTGGCTTCAAAACACAGTGGCCCATGTTCGATCCAAGGTGAGGTCAAGTGGGATTTGTTGTGGACAAAGTGGTTCCAGTAGTACTTCACTTTCCCCTGCCAATTCTCATTTCACCAAATGTTCCATACCCACTTGTCGTCTGGGACTGGTACAATAAGCCTATTAGTGGCTGATGTACCAAGTGGACTCAGTCTCACCCCCACCCCACATAAAATGCACCATTTGGCTGCAGCAATCACAAAATTTACTGTGAATTTCATTTCCCTTTCCAGTGCTGCAGCACTTCTTCTTATTCTTCAGCATTAAGGAAACTGTTTGAATTCTCAAACAGCCTGTAAATGTAAATTTCCCTCAGTGCCCAAGCCACATTATGAAGTCATACAGTGTTCCACACTTGTTGAATCTGACAGGGAGAAAAATGCCTACCCCTGCTTGGAAGCAAACACATCTTTTCCAGCCACACATATGCACTGTACAAACCTGTAACAAGTGTTCCAACCAGTGTTCTCTGCTTTGGGATAGCTCCTTGGTTCTTGGAACCAGACACCACCTCACCAACTGGACCTTGCAGAAGCTTTGTAACCTCGTGACTATGTTCCAAGCTTAACGTAGTGGTACTTGAACTTCCTCCAGACTCAGCATCTGTCTCCTTGCTGCTATGTATATCATCTGCATAATTATACTATCATTAACATACAATGCGTTCAATGATAGAGGAAACCTAGCAGCAGTATAGAGAGGACACAACATTTCTCACAGGTTGCTGCTGTAACTGCCAATAGCAAAATGAGTCATTAGTGCTGATAAACATGCACCATCATGTGGTCTGATCTCCTCACTGCAGTAAGTCACATTAATAGTCTTTGTTAGAGGTGTCGATAGGCAGTCAACATTTACACTGAAATGAAGTTCACTACTGAACAGCGTATGTTTACTGTCAAAACTTTTGTAAGGAAAAAAACTTGCAATGTATCCGTAAGTTTCATAGTAAATATCCTGACTCACCAGTTCCCACAAAGTTGTGTGTATCTAAGTGAAAAAGTGGCGGGCCATGGGTTCAGTGTATGACATAAAGAAGCAATCGAAGAGGACTGTGCTGACTGAAGAAAAGGTTCGGGATATTGGGGCACACTACAGATCAGTCCTCGAAATTCGTTAAGACTCTTAAACCAAAGAAGTGGTTTCACTAGGATCTGCTTTCACAGCCTTTAAATTAATCAAATTTCGTCCAAATAAAATGACAGTTGCGTATGAGCTGAAGCAATAAGATATGCAGCAAGAATTCGTTTTTGCAATTGGTTGCTGCAAAATGTGCACGATGGAATCGAGGATCCACAGCTTCTGTTCTGTTTGATGAAGCGCAGTTTCACGTTAGTGGCCATGTCAATGCACAAAATGTAAAAATATGGAGCTATGAAAATCCTCACGCTATACAACAAGTGCCATGACATAGTGAAAAGGTGGGGGTGTGGTGTGCTGTAAGTCAGCAGCGAATCACTGGCCCCTTATTTTTCCACGAAACCGTGAACTCTGACCGCTACGTTAATGATATACTGAGTCTGTTCTTCAATCAGCTGACTGCTGAAGAAAGACACCCTGGGTATTTTCAGCATGACAATGCTACAGCATGGCTAATGCAACCATGGTCACAATATGGGAAGTGTTCAAAGACAGAATAATCAGAAGAAGACTGTGGCATCGCAGATCTCAGTTTTTGCAGTTTATCTTTGGGGAAACCTAAGGGGAAAAGTCTACAAGAATAATCCTCACACCACTGAAGCTCTGCAGAATGAAATAACATGCATAACTGGTTCAATTACAGTGGACCAACTTCACAGTGTCGCATAATTTATTTATGTGATGCGAGGCATGTTTGCAAGCAGAAGGGGGTCACTTTTAGCACCTGTTATAAAGAATGGTAAGTCTGTGTTATCTTTTTATAGTATTCTTATAAACGTGTGCATGTACAGAAAATGACGTGAGGGAATCAGTGACACAACTGCACTGTCGCTAGGGTGGAAGGGCACAGTAATCGCGGAGAAACGTTCCAGCCGCTCTACATTGCTGTCAGGTTTCCTCTACAGCTGAACACTCTTATGTAATTCCTAAACAGCACAAGCACTGTTATGTTCATAGTCTGCTCTGTTTTGTACTGAGCTCTGCAAACAGCTTACATTATAAACTGCAGCTAGACTAATATCCACAATCAGAAGATAACACAGACCTTCATTTGAACTCTGTAGTACTTCAAATTCTCTTCCACTTGATTTTAATCTGTTACTGTATACATGATTTGAATGGCTGAAATTTTCTTGGAAGACTAAAATTTTTATTCCTTTTATAAAACAAAACATCCAGTCATTTCTTCAAAGTTACAGCAAAAATACATGCTTTAAAGCTTCCACACTGAAAGACTGGAATGATGTGTACTACAGCAATCGGCCAGTATACGTACAGTGACACATTCATTCTGCTGCTGTGGTAATTCTTCCTTATTGCAAATGAAATGCAGAAGTAATACAAAGGGTGGTTTCAAACATGTCATAATGAAATGCAAATACCACATTATGTATCAAAATAGTCTATATTAAAGAGACTAAAGATTTTTGGTACACACTCTTACAGTAGCATTAAAAAATAAATGCAGAAATGGTAAGAAAGATACAGGAAGTAAACATTGTAACAGATCATTCAAAGACAGACACAGTAATTAAATTCTCGGATATGCATCACCTTATGGAGCAGAAGTTCAATGACACAAAATCTTCTCGAATACTAATTCGGTGCTTTGTTTCTAAGCTCAACTCCTTTTTAACAATAAGCTGCAGCAATGTTTCTCGATTCATTTACTATCCTCCTGTCAATGGCATGGTGCAATATGGGAAGAAACTGTTTATTATTAATGATAAACTGAGGAGGATGTAAACATAGTGATCATGGGCTGTTTTAAGGAACTACCTGTCTCAAGAGACTGAAGAATCCCATGAAAGTCTCCGCCATGATGGCCAGACTCTTGGACAAATATGAAGCAGTAGTGTAAACTGCGACACAGCAAAGTTTAGTAACAGCTGTGCTGTTTCAGGGATCACCTCAATGGACACAGTTTGATGAAGGCATGACAGTACTACAAGCAGATGGGAACGAGTAAACGATTAAACACAACACACGTGAGATCATACTCACTGTGCCCATATAAGTCTGTGGCAGAGTGAACAGCATCATCGCAGCTTTCTTCATCGTCATCATCATCATCATCATCATCATCATCAGAATGTGTGTAGTTCCAAAGTGTGGCATCTAGGTGGCAGGGCATGCAGCAAAACAAGAAAAGAGAAACACGGAAGCAGAGAGGGTGATATGAGAAAGAAGAAACAGTGAAAAAGGCTGTACAAAAAAGTGTATTATAGATAAATGACCGTTGTTAACATGCTTTGGTATTTGTTGGAATGAGGTAAGGAAGAAGAAAAGAGAACTGACTCTGAACAGAAACATTCCATATTGTGTTCATTAAATTTATTGCAGTGGTTTGGATTAAAAAGGAGATCACTACACATAGGTCTACTGGTGCTCTACATGTATACAAACACATGCTGGTTAGAGAGAGGTTATAACACTTTTACACATTATGATGATAGGAAACAGGCTGTCATAAGGCCAACTAGTGAGGTGAGAGATTCAAAACAGTCTCCATGGCTCAAGTCTAATAATGTGGGGTTATGTATCTCAATGTTGGTATCCTGCACACGTATGTTAACAGCCCATCTCAAGATACACACCTTGGCCAAATCAGTCCAACCCACACTTTGCTAGGCCTCTAAAAAAGAGTCACTTTCAGGCACATTCGCATACTTGTTAAGCACTTACTAAAAATGCCTATTCCACCCAGCTTGCGAACCATAAAATGAATTTTCATGAAATTTTTCTGTATAACTTTACTACAATTTGTCTGCAGTACCGATTCTGGATAAAATCAGACACTTCACACAGGGACTTACACGCACCGTCTTGCACAGATCAAGTGCAACTTACTATATATTTAATGGAACAAAACACTTTTTGAACAGAGTTGTAGGGATATATGAAACAGTCTTTATGCCCAACATATTTTTTTCCATTAGCAATTGTGGTTTTGAGGATAACAAAAAGAAAGGGAGCAAACATGCCTGAACTATATGTATTCTATAATCTTTCATTTTCTTCACTTACAGAAATCAGAAAAATGAGAATAAGGAATTGTTTTCAGAATGCTGCACCTATTATTCTGTGCCATTTCATGTAACACGCCTCACACTGCCACATATCCACCTGCATTTTCAACATATTGTCGCGTACTGTGCGTATATCGCGACAAATAAATTCACGCCGTATTTTATATAGCGAATTTTATTTCACATTCGCACTTACAATCACCCAAATTACAGATTTACGATTACTGCTATCTGCAGTATCACAAATAGTACACTCCAAAGGCCAGAATACAACTGACTAGTTGCTGGCTAACTCGGAACTAACTCGGAGGTAGCTCGAGGACTGACTCGTAGGTAGCTCGAGGACTGACTCGGAGGTAGCTCCAGGACTAACGGTGAATAGCCTTCGCTGCTCCTCATGTAGCCTCGATCGGACAATACAGAAAACGGCCACGTAATAAGCACCCTTGTTGCCTGGCGCTGTGTTGCTAGTAACGCTAGCGGTAGTACCACTGTTACCACCGTCGTCTCTCGCAATCCTGTTTAGCCGTACTGCCCTTGGTGACGTCATCGCTGTTGACTCGCTTTGCATAGCGACCAGAATGCTAGGACTCGGCTAACTTCAGCTCACTTCGGCTTCGCTCGGCGCATCACGGCTGGCGGGGCTGGGGGAGGGGCGTCATCCATAGCTCAACATGTCACAATATTTATGCAGTCAAACTTCAATACTGTTTCCTAGTGAGTGGGTCAGCATATTTTCAATCCTCATACATATTCAGGCAGTGCTAGGTTTGAATCTTGGCTCGGACTGAGGAGGTTCATGTTTTTCTTCAGTCCCATGTGGCAAACACTGGTTTACTACCTTGATTAGGCTGTGAACACACCATATAGCAACTCTGAGACAGCCCTGTTTTCTCAATGCTATGGTTGCATCACTGGTTTCATTCCAGTAATATGTGTGTTACATCTGTTGGTGAAGCCACCGATGTGAAAGACAGCCTCACCACAACATAATAATGTCATATGGGGGGGGGGTATGTGTGACAAAATAACTGTGGATTCTAGATTTGATGATTGGGTTTACTGAACACTTCTTCACAATTACAATTACTATCACTAATCTTCACAATTTGTACAGCATGCTCCATTCTCATCCTTGTACTCTCAACTACTCTCGGTTCAAAGTCAAAGTCACATTGCAACTGACAGTCGGTCGGTCAGTCAGTCAGTCAGTCAGTCAGTCAGTCAGTCAGTCAGTCAGTCAGTCCTGGTGTCGAGCTCAGTCTGGGGCTTATGGCCAGATATTTATTACTGTTTGACAGTTTCGGACTTGTTTTTGTGGGGCGCCCTCTCTGACAAGAGGATGGTTCTGTCTTTTGTCAGTCATAGCCTGTAGTAGTATGTCATTTGTCGTAATGTAAAGGATATTTATATTTTACATGTTAAACATGTTAATAAATGTATATAAAATATATACAGGGCCTCTGTAAGTCCAGGCTCAGTACAGCAGATTATGCCCTATTTCTAGTAGCTTCCGCTACAACGGCAGTCTAGTCACTTGAACGGTCATACGCTTGACCACCACCAAGATTAAGCCTCTTATATGTTTACTCTAAGTTATTGTGGGAATTTCGTAATATACTTGAGGCACGGACCACATAGAAAACACGACCTCTATTGTTGATTGTTTACCGCTTGGTTGTTTAGAAATAGACACCCAATTGTTGCGTGCTAGTGTGTTGCAGGGATGTGTTTACACACACAATGCGATTTCCAGCCATGATGTCTGACAATGGCTAGATGAAAATTTCCCTGGCAGGTAAGCTTGGGGGACAGGATCCAGGAATGGCCTGCAAGACCTGACCTTAAACCCTGCAACTTCTTCTTAGGGGAGGGGAGAAAACACGTTTACAAGAAGACATTTTGGATGAACTGGAACAAGTTGAGAGTTTTCCAGCAGGCTTCACAAGATTTCTTTCAGACAGCAGCAGAGAGTGTTGGAGTCTGACTGCGTAACTGTGCTGCAAATTTATGTTAACATGTGAAATTAAGGCATGTCACATGAAATGGCACAAAATAAATATTCTGAAAACTGATTCTTATTCACATCATATACATGAAACAAAAGATGGTTTTACTCTTCAAAACCATGTGTATTGCTTACAGACAATCCAAACTTTTATACTCTGATATAATTTGTTACAGTACTTGCCACAAGAAGAGACATATAAATGATGCCTAAAATTTCAAATATTTTCTAATTATGGTCTGTTATACATGCCTGTACTTCCAATCACTGTAATTTAATCTCCTACTACAAAACAATGTATACAGCAGCATGACAGTGGCAGTAATGTGCACTATACCAAGTTACTTCCAACTGACAAACATCCCTCAGATTACAATACTCAGTACAGACTGAGTATGCCTGACCACAAACACTGCACTTTTCATTCTCATGATTCCATTGTATTAAACAACTCACCAGGATTGGAGTGTGGGGTATCATCAGGTTCACTGTCAGTGTGCTCAAACAGCCAATCTAGACCCACAAGGCTTGACACCTCAGCAGGAGGAAGAGGGTCTACACCGCCTGTGGATGACTGGTGCCAAACATCTTCACATTTCACTACTGCTCCTATTGCCAATTGTGATAAGTTAGCAAAGATGTGAGGAGCCAGTTAACTAAAGAGTACTGGCTATACTGTAGACCACCTTATTAGGGGTGGTCACGGGAAAAATATATAATTTCTTAATCCATTAAAAATACATCATTTATGGGGTGCTGCATGAAATGATCCATTATTGACTTCGTATTAATTATTCTAACATGCAATTAACAGTGTTTTGTAACATGGTAACACTTACAGTGCACCATGGAGATTAGTTCTTACTCCTCCCGAGCGTGCCAGTATCGCAATGTTCTTGCTCATGCACCAGTTTACACAAAATGACTGCATAAAAACAGTGTTGTTCTTTACTGACACAAGAAGTGTCGTTGTCACACAGAGGTGGTTTTGTGCCCATTTTCAAACACAACGGGCACCTTCATTCAAAACAATTCATAAACTTTATAACCAGTTTAATAATGATAGTTCAGTGTTGGAGAGGAAATGTCACTGGCCTTAATCTGTGCATTCTCAGAGAATATTGGCACTATCAGAGTGCTACTGCAAAGAAGCCCCAGTAAATCAACAAGGAAGCCTGCAGCACAACTAGGAATATCCTGATGATTGATGCAACAAATATTGAAAAGTGATTTGATTTCTATCCATACAAAATTACAGTACTGCCTAAACGTAAAGTTCAAAACAAACATCAAAGAATGACGTTTGCTGAATGGGCTCAAAATAACGAGGTATCATACAGCAAAGCTTGGTTTTCTGATGAGGCACACTTCCACTTGGATGATGTGGTTAATAAACAAAATGTGCAATTTTGGGGATCACAAAATTCATGATTGATTCATGAGAAGGTGCATCATGCACTGAGAATTACGGTGTGGGTTGCCATCTCAAGTCACGGACTGCTAGGGCCAATTTTCTTTGAAGAGACAGTGAAACAGTGATGGCTATTTAAGAATGCTGTAAAATACTTTTGTGCTTCACCTTCTTGCTGCAGGTTTGCCATTACAAACTCAGTGTTCATTCAGGATGTAGCCAGGTTGCACAGATCAAATACTGGTTTGGACTTTATGCATTGTACTTTTGACCCACATGTCATCTCAAACTGATTTCCTGATCGTTTTGCATGTGGACAGAACTGGCCCCCAAGGAGTCATAATTTAAACTCATGTGGCTACTTTCTTTGGGGATTCCCAAAGGAAAAGATTTTTCCAAAAAAGCTGCAAACATTAATGGAATTGAGAGCATTAATCATTCAGGCTAGCAACAAGATAACTGAGGATCTGTACTGTTGAGCAATCAATATCATCACAGATCACGTTGAAGATGATGCCAGAAGGAATGGTGTCCTTGCTGAACAACTGATTCACAGAGGATAAATCTCCATGCAATGGTCTTTCTTTTTATATGTTACTTTCTAGTATTGTAACTGAAACAAAGATTTTATTAATATATCAAATACTGGATCATTTCATGCACCACCCTCTATATTTGCTTTTCTGAGTATTGTTTAATTAGATTCTAATATCCTTTACTCTGTTTCTCTCTTTGTTACCTGCATGCACAAATCAGAGTACAGGCAACAGCTTCAAGTATTAGAATTAAACAAACAATAACTTTATCTGTTTTGAATTTTAGATGAATATGGACTTCTATGTTGCAATACCATGCAGTTTCAAGACAGCCTAAGGTTTTAGAGGAACATCGCCTAAGTTTTCATGGTCAAGAAGAAAGCCAAGAAAGAAACCAGCAGAAGCAGGCAGCGAGCTTCGAAGGACAGAGGAGATCATACCCTTCAATAATTATATGTGTTTTCTTTCAGCAACAAAATTTAATTTGAACTGTCACTGCTAAATCTTCTGTCTCAATGTCAATTAAACAAGCCAACATATATTGTATGTACTTAGACAATTTTCAATTATAAGGAACAAGGAATAATGACGAATTTTTAAGATTACATTTAGTGGTTGTTAGGCCATGATTTTAACCACACAAGACGATACCACAAAGCCCAAAAGCAATTTTTATCTAAATATTGACAAAAAGACATCAAGTCATATGACAACATGTAAGAGACCTTTAGTCCAGAGTTTAGGAGTGAACCAAACTATACACAATAGCTACTGACAAAAAACTCATCTTTAGCATTATCTAACTCAAGATTTTCTGATGCTTACATAATCCTTTGTACTTGCAACTGTAACTTCTGATCGTGAATTATAACTAAGTGGTAGAAAATCTTTATTCAGACACACAGTTCACAGGTTCTGTAATGTGGTATTTTGTCCCAAACAAGGGAGAAACAGAGTGTGATTTATTGATACCTTTATGGACAGCCAGCTAGAAGCATGGTGGGAAAGAAACCTGCAACTGCAGTTTGTAAAAGATATTGAAAGGAAATTTGTGGTTGTCTAGCAATCAATCATTATGAGGTAAGTGCTGCAAACATGCCTTGGTTTTATACTAAATTTTTCCATATATGTAACATTAACATATTCGTGGTGCCCATGTTTTTTTTTTAATCTTGTTATAATGAAGTCAGACCCATTACATCATGGTTCCACTGAACTATCTTCGAGGATGTGAGACCATATAGTCTGGTTGAAGTGTACCAATGTTTCGGAGCAATGCACTGCCTCCACCTTCAGGGTCAAGAAGAACCCATGCAAGCAGCAAGCCTTAACCCTAAAGGCAGAGGGAGAATATCCCCCTGATATTTTGGTGAACTTCTAACAGCCTATACATCATATGTATCTGAACCTGGCAAAGATTATCAGGATATCAATAGACTTCCTATGTCTCAACTACCAACTCACCTTCTTCTGCTAGCACTGCTTTCAAAGAATGCTGATGTCTCTGTCTACTACCATCACTCAGACTGTCAGCATTATCACACTCGCTGAGGCATCTGTCACTGTCTGAACCGCCTCTGCTGTCATGACCACCAGTCACATGCTCGCCATTAACCATATCAGGAGATTCAACAGACACAGAAATTTCTGTAGCCAGTAGGCCATCTTTTGAGGAAGCACTAGTCCGATCCACCAGACTATGTCCATCTAACCTCTCCTCACTGCTCACAACAGGAAAATGTTTTCGGAACACTGACTGATCCAAGGAGCCTGTGCTGAACGAATTTCCTGACTTACTAGAAACAACACACTTTTTTCTAGTGTTCCTAGATGAGTTGGATGATGAGAAACCAGGTTCTTTGTTTCCTCTCCTCTCTCCACTACCTATACCACCACCACCAGCACCACTATTTGAAGAACCTGCAATGTTCTTATTTTCAAAACTTTCATGACGAACCAGTAGTGGAGACCGTGAGCCAGCATTGTCCTCTTCATCATCATCATCATCATCATCATCATCATCAGAATCAGGAACAACAGTCGGACGAAGAGAGAAGGTGCTGCCTTCTGTGGCCGCTGCGTTGGGTCCACTGTGACTATGACCCAGTTCATCTGACTGCTCTGCAATAGGATATACAATCTCACTGCCATAGCCATAGTATGGTGAGAGAGAGAGACGGGCACGAAGCAGAGTGGACGGTGGAGGATCATGTCGCGCTCCACTTCCACTGGAGTGAGTTCCCCCACCATCAACAATCCCTGATTCAAGACTAGTTGGCGGGCAGCAGGAGTCGAGCATGCCACTTCGTATCCGTCGCACACCCCCACGTGAGTTCTGCTGTTTCCAGTAGATGAGACCTGAAAAAGATTACAGTAACATGAGTAAAATTCTAGTCACTGCATGGTTAGGCATGCTTAGCTGAGCATGAATACATTATTCAGTTAAGAATTCCCAACTCCAAGACACGGAGCAATATAATTGTCATAAATAAAGAGAACTGGCAAGATTTAGGGAAATGCACTTCCAAAACTTAAAGGGAATTCACCTAACAAAAGGTTTTAGCAATGTTAGCACTCTAAATCCAACAGTAATTATAAATTAGCATGCTAAACAAATATGTCGGGATTAACAATTTTTGCGATCAGTATAATACTATCACATGTTAGTGACTTGACATGGGTTGTGGATTGGTAACTGGATTTAACAGACTATTATAAACTGCAACTACAAATAATTACACTCCTAGTGCTACTGCTAATTCACACACTCTACAGTTCACTCCAGTATGCACTAAGTCTTCTCAGTCTGCTGTGACTTCACTGGTTGTCTGGTAACAACTCATAATGCCATTGATTCCTCAGCTTCCTGGATCTATAACTCCTCTCCTCATTGGCTGGTGCCTACCTCACAACTCAACTGGGTGTTGCCTGGTTAGTCTTCTAACAAGGGATATTCCTCATGTTCTCATGGTTCAAGGATTGCACTTCTAACTGCAAACTCAAAACTGTACTGCTCTGCCCATGGCCTTGTTATGCAGCATCAGTGTGGACCCCACAAAAAAAAAAATATTTTCTTGAGATCGCATGTTATAGTGTGATGAAGCCACTGAAGTGGATCACACAGAAAACACCAACTCCAACAGTTCCTCTATTATTGCATACATAAGAATGGCTGTTGTTGCATGACTTTCACTGAGCCACTGCCTAGCACCTGTTCCCTAGCAAATGGCTGTCTCTGCTGGCTTTCAGCAGACATGACAAAATATTTTGTGATTCTTATCCAGTTGCAAAAACGAATTCTTGCTGCATAATCTGGTGGTTTCAGCTAATGCACAACTGTTATCTTATACGGGGTGAAATTTGATTAATTTTGTGGCTGTGAAAGCAGCTAAGTGTCAATTTCAAGGACTGATCTGTAGTTGTGCCTCAGTATCCCAAACCTTTTCTTCAGTCAGCACAATTCTCTACAATTGCTTCTTTATGTCACACACTGAAACTGTGGCCCGCGACTTTTTCAAAACCTTGGATACATATGACTTTGTGGGAATTGGTGAGTCAGGATGTTTACAAGGAAACTTACAGATATATTTTCTGTAAGTTTTCCTTGCAAAAGTTTTGACAATAAACATACGCTGTTCAATAGTGAACTTCATTTCAGTATAAATGTTAACCGCCTATCAACACCCCTAACACAGACTGACTATTAATGTGACTTACTGCTGTGACAAGATCAGACCACCTAACAGCACGCGTTTATCAGCGCTAATTATTCATGATGCTATTGGCAGTTACAACAGCACTCTATTAGAAATGTTGTGTCTGCTCTACAGTGTTGCCAGGTTTTCTCGATCATTGAATGCATTGTATATGCAGATTCAAATAACATACTTCTTTTAAGGAAAAAAATCCACAAGAATTAATATACATGCTTCCTATGCTATTAGGAGTGTACATACCTCAATCATATAGTGACTAGGCAAGGGCTGGGTGAATGAGGAATTAGGATTCAATATCTGGCAGTGGCAAGTGATTTTTCTCTTTTCCATGACTTTCAGAACTGCACAGGGGTCCAAGAAGTCACAGCTATGAGTGCCAAAGTTTTTTCTAAAATATGGGTAAAGCAACCAAGGCATGAGGCTGTTAACCACCAACCAGCAGTGACATGAAAAATATATGGAGCTATACTTCTCCACAGACCCTCATGACATGGTGCTTAATTAAGCACAGGACTTTACCTTTATTTCCATTATTAGATGAAAAAAGCTACTGGCCACTAGCCAAGGGAATTGATCACTTTCTCTGGAACAGCACACTTAAAGAGGAAATACACAATGTGTGGGGTGAAGTTAATTTCTTCATGCAAAAGCACACGATAATCAAGGTACATAAACACAATTACCCGTACAGATTTCAATGAAAGAAGAGATGACTGTGAAGCAACTCTTATCAGATCTGTAGAGAAACCTGTTAACCCAGGATCAACATTTGAATGGCCTGACAAAGAAGATATATGCTTATTTTAAAAGAAGCAGAATGTTGGTGGACTATTTTATCATTTGCTCTGCTGTGGCCTTATCAAATTTAGTGCCAAATTTCATGAATGGTAATTGTTTCAATGTAGATTTCTGTATACTCTTTGATGGTTATTTACAATGGGTATTTGTAGACTTCTGAGACTGTACAAAGTAAAATTTAACTTTCCATTAATTTCCATTATTTATTTTTTGTTAAGATCTTAGTCCCTTTCCAATCCACATGAAGAACACGATTTACACTAAAAAATCATGAAGTGTCTCCAAACGCCCTAATGGTGTGGAAAAAAGAGATGTTGATTGAAATTTTAAATAAACATATGAAACAAAATAAAATATGTCTCTTTGTCTTAACAACAACTTCATAAGGATTGCCATAATAAGGTAGTTGGGTCATTAAGCTAGCTTCACAATTAATGAAACCACCCATTAAAACTTAATAAAGTGTCCCTACTGACGTCATACTACAGTACCTTATATCTTCTTCTAGTAACAACTAGGCAGCAGGTTTTCTGTCCAATTTGGGAAATGAACTGAAGTGAGAATGATGCACCAAGAAGCACTTGTGGCATATAAAAGCTAATAATTAGAGAGACAGACAGTATCTGGTCCCCCACACTCAGATATGATGCTAGAACCTCCTACATATAAAGATAACCACTATATGACAATCAGGGCATATAATAAAGACAACTACACATTAAAATAACCCTTTGACTGTTAAGTCTTGTCACAGAACTACCTGCTAGTAATGCCAAGACTGAGTGTGAAAAGAGTGACACAAGAAAAACCGCAATATTTCCTCAGATGACCTTCATGTGACAACACGTATATCATGTGAAAGCCTGTTCTTTTCTTTAAACATCAGTATGTTGCATATGGTGTCATTTAGTGGCAGAAATACTGTACTGACTGATTAACAACAAGCTGTTGTCTCTAGATGTAATGGTTTCAATACAAGAAACCCAAGTCCATCTAGTCTGTATATGGTGTGCAAATACAGTAAACTTCTGGTTATCTAGAGTCCAAGCATCCAGCACAAATTTCAAAAAAAAATAAAATTACTTACAAAATTAAGTTGTGATGCACATATGTTTACCTGCCATGTGGAAGTTCTCCCAGCCACCATTAGCAGCACTGCCCATCATCCTCCCTAATACAGGAGCCATTATGGTCACTACAATCATAGTGGTCCACGATTACAGAAGAGGTTAGCTGAATCTGTGATTGCCTTACAGTACATCCAAAATTTCTCAACCATCAATCCTCTGTCATCTAAGAAGACTTCAGCACAAGAATTGAAGTAAAAACACATTCTTGTGACTTTGAAGCAGAGTATGAAAATGTGTAAAGACTCATATGGGGTGAAAATTGGGTCTGTATTTGAGTTTGTCTTATGCAACTGGCAGACCCATTTAGCCCATACACCCCATTCCTCATACAGGCCCGATATCTGCGAGTTTACTGTAAACTGCTTGATGTACAGGGGATTTAAATCCCACAGTACAATACAGATTAACCCTTAGTCTTCTGCTTTAGTAATGATTTCTTTTTCATACTTCAGAGATTTCCACCACAGTTCAGACAATTTAAGAATATAACACTATCCTACAAACCGTCCAGGATAAATAAGGGCACTGGAGCTGGTGTCTACTGCTATGGCACGAGGCGGAAACTTACTTTCAGCCTTGGGCAGTACACGACAGTATTCCAGGCAGAAGTATATGCCATTAAGGCATGTACTATGGAGAATTTAGATAGGAACTACAGAAATAGGAACATCTACATTCTACCCGACAGCCAAGCTGCACTTAAAGCACTTGACAAACACCAGATCAACTCAAAATTGGTCTGGGATTGCCATCAAACCCTCATGGAACTGGCCAAATATAACAGGATACAACACATATGGGTGCCAGGCATGAGGGTATTGCTGGAAACGAAACAGCAGATCAATTGGCTAAGACTGCAGCTGAACATCCGTTCGTAGGACCTGACCCAGCCTGTGGCATCTCTATAGGAGTTGCCAGACAGGCAATCAGGGACTGGACAAACATGAAACACAAGAAATACTGGGGATCCTTGACGGGACTGAGGCAAGCAAAGGGACTCATACGAGGACCCTCTACTAAACGAGCGAAGGAACTGTTGAAGTTAAACAGAAACTAGCTACGATGGGTGGTGGGACTACTTACAGGACATTGTCACCTTAAAGGACACCTCTTCAAACTGGGACTAAGCGATAGTCCCACTTGTGAGAGTTGTCAAGAAGAAAATGAAACAGCCACATATATCCTGTGTGAACGTGAGGCCTTAGCTTATTTAAGATTATGGCACTTGGGTCAATACTTTATGGAACCAAGTGACTATTTTGATGCGCCCACATACAGAATCCTGCACTTCGAATGAAGTGCAGGATTGCTGAGGGGATAATCAAAAGGGGAAGCACAATAGACCACTGCAGGTTGCAGTGCAAGGGCCGAGAAGGCCCACCCCTTATACATTCATTCATTCATTCATTCATCCTACAAACCATGCCTTGCTAAACACAGCAATACAGAATCAACAGTAGCCAAGGTAACGCTCTTGTCCAAAAGCATCATATTGTAGCATGTAGACCTGCTGCTAAGTAATCACTGTAAACAATGCCCACTGCTAGGCGACACATTCCTAACAAGCACAAATGCACTAACTGGAAAGATGTGTCCTCTACACAGACCACGCGACAGCTGCATGACGCAACAATAGAATAAATGTTAGGCAATGTGTTTTCTATGCAGTTGGTGCCAAGGTGTTATAAGCAGGACAAGTCTAGAGTTCAGTTTGTTGGGAGACAGCCACCGGCCAGTAAGGGCGTGAACACAGAAGCTAAGGAATCTACAGCGCTGGAAGACGTTACCAGACAATGACTAGTGATGACACAGCAGACTGAAAAGACTTAGTGTACGCTGTAGTGAACTGTACAGTGTGCGAATCAGTGTCAGCGCTATAGTTACTTGTAGTTACATTCTTAAGAGTTCAATAAATCCAATTACCAATCCCTGTCTACAGTCACTCTAACACATAACAACATATATTTGAAATCACAAAACATAAATTTTGATTCAAGCCTTACACAGCTCTGATCCTGTCCTAAATTCTATTTCTTATTCATGTCATGTTTGTCACTTTTGCATGCAAATGGCACATATACACACTTCAACTGCAAGTGCTCACCCTTGTCTCTGGGGACAGAGCTGTCAGCTGTTGCATCCAGCATATACCCACCAAGTTCCAGTGACCCAGTTGGTTTGATAGCTGCTGGCAGAATGCAGTAACTGTGACTTGCAGCATTGGAATATCGTCGGGCTGGAGGAACAGAATTTGTGGAATTGGAAATTCCAGGTCCAGCTTCCTGCAACACACAATATTCTGCTCACAGATCTCATGGTCATGGCATATTTTATTCACATTACTTCATGTCTCAAAATCTTTTCCCACCAAATAAATACAGTAATTAATATATATGAGGACTCAAAACAAATGCTCAATTATACATAAAAGGCACGCACAAGACTGACTCTCAGGTCGAGATCGAGATGAGGTTCTTGATACATTTAGGGAACTGAGATAAAAATGAGAATTTCTTCCATCTTATTCAGCTTCACTAGTCTCACCCTGCTCACCATTCTCGTTGTTTGTTTCAGTTTCAATGCCTTCACAATTCCCTGCTTCTCTCTCATCTTCCAGTCCATCCATTTCAACAGCTATACGACACTTTTTTAGTCTTTTGGCTATGAATTTTGGGTAGATCTGTTACCATGGTCTTCATGTACTCACACAATGGTTCTACACAGGGCTCCTTTATTGTCCCAGTGATGTCAGAAGGCAATCCCTTACCAAATGTCATGCTGAATACAACTGTTTCAAATGACCATTAAAAGGTTTAATCACTAGAATGTGTAGCTGCTCTGCATCTGCTCATGAGAAGCAACTGCCTCCCTCAATGTTCTGTGTATGTTCTCAAAAGTTTCACAATATGGAATTCTGTGAACTGGATATCGTTGTTGGCATTCTACCACAGCATCCTTAATTACTTCCATTCCAGAAATCATGAACGGAATGCATGTTGGCTTATTCTTCATTTGTAAATGTGTTCGGCACTTTGACTAACACCCCACTGCAACACAGTAGTCACACTAGCCTAGACAATGCGCAAGCAGGAACTCAGCCAAACTACAGCAGTTCCAGCTGGTGCCACTAGTGCTTAACTCAAAGAACAATGCTGAATCAACATGCTGTTTACTGCATACTTTTGCTCCAAATGGCCTGCAGAACAAGCTCCTGACGTCTGGCCAAAACGTTGCAGAACACATTATATAATACTATACTAAGACAGATGAGCCGGTGACGGTAGCCGAGCAGTCTAAGGCATGTACTGTCTTCGCTCGCTTTGAAACCGGGATCGTGGGTTCGAATCCCACTCAGGGCATGGATGTTTAGTTTGTGTATGTGCGTTTTTCTGTGTTTGTGTACAGGTAGAGGCCTTGAGATGAGCTGATCACCCGCCCAAGGAGTCCTACCGATTGTGTAAGATCTAGAAAAACCAAAGTGAACGCAGAAGTTCATGGAGGTACGCCTAGGCCCACTGGGGCTGTAGTGCCAAGGAAAAAAAAAGACAGATGGAACCAATGAAGACAATAGTTAAGTGTGAAGTGAATCACATATCTGACTACCAATATTTCTTAGCTCTTGTTGGCCATGTTAGATTTGCATGAAAAGCAAAGCCTGTATATCTTACAAAACCCTCTGAAAACTTAAAACAACATGTAGGATATCATAAGACTTTTAAAACGAAATTCGGAGATCCCATGCTCCTTAACAGAATAGTGCACATATCACATAGCATTGCTGATAACATTCTTGTGAGCTCAAACTGTGATTATGGGTAAAGGGTAAAGACAAAATTGTCTATGCGCTTAATTAATTAAGGACACCATAAAAATGCATGGGGGAGTGGAGGTACACATTCCTCACCCCCAGCACTAGATGGAGATGAGTGGCTAGCTTCATGCCCCAGCCACAACCCTGAGGAAAGAGCCCTCATACCCACTGGCCAGAAGGTTGGGTGGGCCCCAGAGCTGGTCTGGACACTGTACAGAAGCTCCTACCAGAAACTGAATCAAAATTCCTTAGTTATCCATCACTACACTGAATGAGCTATCCTGGCTTTTAACCGTTCAGCGTGGTTTGACGTGTATGTTTCGTCAGGTATTTAAATCGTCTGGGGGGGTTCGACGTGTATGTTTCGTCCAGCTGCACACCTATGTTATAACGCCCATAATAATTGATGGTTTTGCCGTAGATTGTTAAGATTTTTCGCTGGCCTGTTGTCAGTAGTTCAGAGTATAATAATCCTCGAGTTTAGCTGCGCTAAATCATCGTTACATATGCCTGTCTTGCAGCAAAGTTCCTGTTGCTCTTGGGAGAAGTTTNCCAGAAGGTTGGGTGGGCCCCAGAGCTGGTCTGGACACTGTACAGAAGCTCCTACCAGAAACTGAATCAAAATTCCTTAGTTATCCATCACTACACTGAATGAGCTATCCTGGCTTTTAAACTATAGTTAAAATAGAGTTATTTTTAGTTCCTTATAATAGATGTTTATGTGCTCTTGGTGAAACAGGCCAGTTTTACAACACTACATGTATGAGCTTGGGGCATGTGGTAGCGTAGTTGGTTGAGGCACTATGCTACAAGCCGGAAGGTCGTGGGTTCAAGTCCCGATGAGGTCATTGGATTTTTTTTCAGTTGACCTAATCCTTCCAGCTGCACTATGGCACAACTCAGCCTCTAACAGAAATGAGTACCAGGAATTAATTAAACAATTTTCCTGGGGAGTAAAGCACAGCCAGCGCGTAAGGCTGACAACCTTACTGCCATCTTTGAGCTGATTGTCTAAATAATGTGGGACCCTCAACGTCTCACAAGCCTATGGGCCTTCACGGCCTGTTACAGGGATAGCTTTACTTTACTTTTACATGTATGAGCTTATGGGTGTGAATGGATTAAGTGGGGCTAGTGTTGCTTCCACCTACCATTAGGAGCTAAATTATAAAAGACGAGACGATCTCTCACGGCATAATTCTCATATAAAATTTTATGAAAAGCCATCAACTGGCTCTGAAGTTATCAGTGGGGAGGATGGGGACACTATGATGCCACAAAACTATTGTTCCTTACCACAGAAACAAGAGATGGCTGGGGCTCTGGTCCCTGGCTGCTGTTATCCTCCTGGGAGTCTGTGGATGAGGTTTGGTGGGACAGCTTCTGGAGACTAGGACACTTGCTTGTCCCTCCAGATGTTGCAGGCTTGGTCTCATCAACAATAGACACTGAGATGCTGATTTTGCGTGTTCTTTGGCGTTTTGATCTACTCTCTGCTAACAAAGTAGTGAAATTTAACTCTTATTGTGTTTTCTGCACATGTCTGATTTACTTACTGTGACTCTCTTTGTGGATCTGAACTTCTCACAGCAGTATTAAGACTGCCATCTTCTGGAATGTGATGCTATGAAGTATGGTAGTTAGCATCCTCTGAAACACTGAGTTCTAAATTCCAGACTATAGTGAGACATCCCAGAAGACTATAATCTAAAGAATTTATTTGCTCTTATTCAAGAGTACGTATACAAAAGGCAAAAAAAAAGCACTGTGTGATGCCCTTTTACACATGCCAACATAAAGAACAAACCCTAAAATCCTTGACAGAGTGTGGAGAGGATATTACAGCCAACGCTGGTACCGACAGAATAAAAGTTAAAAATATGAAGTACAGAACAAAAAAATTCAAGGAACTGGAAACTATTTAGGATTATTAGTTTCCTTGACTGGGTCCACAATCAAGTACTTCAAACAGATTACAAGACCATGGATGAAGTCCAGAAACTCAGTCATCCAAAGTGTAATATACCATTTTCAGAATCCTTCAGAATTCAGAGGGTCATGTTGGGCTAAAACTAAAACTCCCAAGCTGCAATGCAAAACATAAATTAGCCAGCAGAAATGTAGTAAACATATGGAAACAATGAATGTCAGCAATAACACATAATAAGTGAATTCCTACAAGTGACAGCTACCAAACAGGCATGGTTTCTGGTGTCACACAGTTTTGCACACATTCACAGTCACTGGCAGGTACAGAAAGCATGTAAAGTTGTCCCTGTACGTAAGCATGCACTGCACCAAAAAGTCATATGGGAGAGTGGAAGCACAGATCAACACATTCTTAATGTCAGCACTATCAGAGGTGAGTGGTCAGCGTCATATTCTGGATGTTTTATCCCTGTAGAAAGAGCCTCTGATACACATGGATAGGAGGATGGGTGCACCACAGAGTCAGAAGGGATGCTGTTGAGAAGAGAAGAATCTCTTGTCCCTGCCAGAAATCAAACAACTCCTTGGATGTCTGGCCCACAGCCTAGTATTTACAAATGACTGAACTACCCTAGTTAGATAGCATGCTGATGAACGATGTTTCTAGTCGAGAACATCAGGGGGGAACTGCATTCCTTCACCATTCATTCTTCTGTCAGCCATACTGTATCCCTCCTTATTATTAGCTTATAAATTCATTATCATAATTTTTTTTTGTATTCATCTCCAATAACATTTTATGTCTCAGGTGGAAGCAAGCAGTGAAATAAGTCAGACAAAAGTTTACAAATCTAATTCCATAAATAAGTACTATTAATATAAACTATGAATCAAATCTAGATGCCTTATATAATAAAGTTCTTGACGCACTCATGTGAGTGTAATGCATGTAACACTCCATAACATACATTACATAATCTGTAACTACACAGCACTAACTTTAAGCAGTTCATGGTTATTCAGTTAGTCAAGAAATTCAATGCATCTATAAAACCTGAAACTTCATTGATATATTCCCAAAAGCCCGCCACTTGATCTTGTTCTGAACCAGTTGATTTAGTTTCTGTCTTCATGACCTACTCTTATAAGATTAATTTCAATAATATCCTTCAACACACTCCTAAGACTGTTAAGAGGAACTGTCCTCCCAGTTTCCCAACCAAACCTTGTATGAATTTCAAATTTACCTCATATATGCTACACATGAGAAAAGTTCAAAAAGTTATCACAATTCATCAATAAAAACCTCATTTTAAGACGTACAGCTTAGTTATACTTATCCTCATCAAAATAATTTCCCTGAGCGGCAATGCACCACTCCCGTCTCCTTTCCACTGTCAGAAGCACAGTTCGAAGAATATCTGTTGATTTGCTCTCACTCCATCTGTCCTATTTGTGATGATGTCCTCTACCATTTGAAATCTCCTTTTTTTTCAGGGTCACTTCTATTTCAGGGGCTAGATATGTCAGGTGAATAAAGAGGCTGTGGAGAGACCGGAATTGTAAGCTTGGCCAAGAAATCTCACATCAATAATGCTGTGTGAGTTGGTGCACTGTCATGATGACAGTACCATTTTCCTGCAGTCCACATTTTCAGTTGTTTTCTTCACATTGCATCCCTGACACATCTGAGAACTTCAAGATAATAAACTTGATTAACCATCTGGTTCATTGGAATGAATCCACGATGCCCACTGTCACAACATTACACCCACAAACCTAAGTCTCATCTGCGGTGATGACACTCTTTAAAAAAACTGTCAGATTATCCCAAGTTGAAACATGCTGAATTCTCTAATCTCAGTCAACAGCCTTGGTAGAAATGTCTGCTGAGACCTGATGCATCCCTAAATTGTCTGTTAAAATTGCATCATGTGAGAAAATAATTATTCCAGTCTCTTCTCCTGCCTCCTGTACACTCAGTCAGTGATTTGTATGCATAATATCTTCATTTGGGCAATCAAAGAATTCTATCTCAAAGTTCAATGTCAGCCTGACCTCTCACTGTCAACTGAAGTTCTTTTGTTCTGGAAACATTTGTCCCACTTGAACATCTCTGTTCCTTTCACGTCACTACTGTAAGCTTCGCACCACATTCTATGGGTTTCCACAGATGTTTTACCCAGTGTGACACAAAATTTCACACAAGTTCTCTGCTTCTTTACAGATGCCATATCACAATGTGACAAAATCAAAATCGCAAGAATATTTATTCATAACAATGCAAAACACCAGCAGGGCTGTTTGGAATGAACTTCTGTGTGTAGGTCACAATCACAACTATCAGCAATTCCACAAGCATCCACAAGTGCACAACTAGTGACATTCCAGGCAGTCATTCTGGGAACTTTTAGAAGAGATCTTATACTCTGCCCTCCTCTTTTTCAAATTAATCACACACACAATAATATATAATGAAGCAAAACTGTGAAGCTCACTACACAATCTCCTTCATTCTATAGTTACATCATCTTGCTTCTATTTAAATATTTTCCATATGCCCTCATTTAGTGTTCTTCCCTTAGAGTGAGTGACCAAGCAACAACAGGTTGACACTAATGTGAGGACAGCCTGAACTATTAGCACGGTTGAATTGTGGATTACTATCTGAATCTGTGCAAATACCCTTTGTGTCTATCAAACATGGCAAAAACGCTCAGAATTACAGCAAAACCTTCACTAATCCAATTACAGTTAATCCAAATGTTGGATAATCTGATCTAAATATGAAAAATGAAAAATACTGTTCAGAAATAAGTATACAGTGGCATTTGGGAAGGAATTCATTACACTTGCCTGTTGTTGTTGTTGTTGTTGTTGTTGTTCTTGTTATTATTATTATTATTATTATTACATTCAAAAACAAGTACAACTTCTGGGTCTTCTATCAATGAATGAAAGCTTCTATAGCGATATTTTTTATTTATTTTCATCAGCATTATTTACATCATTAAATATCCTATTTATTTGTCCTATTTTTTTTTTTCATTACTATGTTCACAAGAGTCCTCCACTGGTCCCTATTATGAGCCAGATCAATCCAATCCATACCATCCCCTCCTATCTCTCTAAGATCCATTTTAATACTGTCCACCCACCTACAACTTAGTCCTCCCAGTGGTCTCTTTCCTTCTGGCTTTTCCACCAATATTCTATATGCATTCCTCTTCTCCCCCATTCATGCTACATGTCCTGCCCATCTCATCCTCCTTGACTTCATCATTCTAATTATACTTGGAGAAGAGTAAAGTTATGAAGCTCCTCATTATGCAGTTTTCTCCAACCTCCTGTCACTTCATCTCTCTTCAGTCAAAATATTCTCCTCAACACCCTGTTCTCAAACACACACATTTTATGTTCCTCCCTTAATGTCAGAGACCAAGTTTCACAACCATACAAAACCAGAGGCAAAATTATGTATATTCTAATTTCTTTGTTTTTAGATAGCAGAAAAGAAGACAAAAGGTTCTGGAGTGAATGGTAGCAAGCATTACCTGAATTCAATGATTCTTTATTCTTGGTTTACTTAATGATAGTTTTCTTGACTGCTGAAGTTATGCAGCAACAAATGGCAACATAATTTGTGAATAATGTATTGGAAAGGATGTGGTCATGGTCTCTTTTAAGATATTATTCTGGAATGGTTGAGGTAGGCCATAAGAATCCTGACTTGGATTGCAGAAAGCAGGAATGTACATAATTCCTCTACAGCGTTCAGTACAATTTAAGGGAGACGCTGTCATCATTCTCTCTTTATGTGTATAACGAAGAATTACAGAACACTATGAATTACCTTGCAACTTAGTTCTAAAGCGTTCATGGTCTGCCTGGGTGCACTGCTCTGCTCGATGTACACTCACTTTCTCTACAACAGGGCGCAGATTTGCCATCTCCTCACTACTTTCCGAGCTGTTTTTTCGATGAACATCCACTTTCAGATCTATAGACAGCAACAGCATATTCATGGTGTGTTAATGTACAAAGTAATGGTTTATTTTGTAAAGTTTAGGCAAAGCAGGCCCCTGAGCTGGTAGAAATGGTATCAACAATCAAAAGATTATTACTACTGCTACTGCTACTACTACTACTTTCACTATTACACTTGGTCATCGACTTATGACTGACAGGTCGTAAGTCGATCTGGTAGTATGTCAGCCATATATTTATTAACAGTATTTTTTAACCTATCTAATCATTTTATCATCTTTATAATTTATTTTTAAAAACTTTTACATTTTAATCATCTTTCATTTTTAATTTTTTTTTGTGGTCATAAGTGCGGCCAGTCATAAGTCGATAGTGCGGCCAGTCATAAGTCGATGACCAAGTGTAAAAGTAAAGTAAAGCTATCTCTGTAACAGGCCATGAAGGCCCAGAGGATTGTGAGATGTTGAGGTTCCCACATTTTCTAGACAATCAGCTCATAGATGGCGGTAAGGTTGTCAGTCTTATGCGCCATGTGCCCTTTACCCCCAAGAATATTCCTGGTACTCATTTCTGTTAGATGCTGAGTTGACCCCAGGGCCATAGTGCAGCTGGAAGGATTATGTAAATTGAAAAAATCCACCTCATCGGTATTCGATCCCACAGCCATCAGGCTTGTAGCATAGTGCCTCAACCAACTACACTACTATGTACCCCTTATTATTGTTACTATTATTATTATTATTATTACATTTTATATCCCATGAAATAATAAAACAAAACACAAACATTATAAAAAAGAAAATAATTTAATGACATAATTTATGTTACTACGAATTAAACATTAAGGAATGGCATTTAAATCTCCAGTGCACCAGCTGAAGGTCTGCATTCTCAAATGCTCTTAACTAACTCCATGGATCTGAGTCATTCTTGAGAAGCAACCAGCTCCTCAAGAATTTCCTAACATTTTATGAAACTTGGAGGTTCATTATCATGTTCACAAGAGCCCTTCACTGATATCTATACAGAGCCAGCATAATCCAGTCTATACCATCCCATCAAATCTTTCCAAGACACATCTTAATATTACACTTGCACCTATGGTTAGGTCTTCTTAGTGGTCTCTTTCCTTCTGGCTTTTCTCACCATAAACCTATAAGCATTTCTCTTCACCCCAATGCATGTTACATGCTCTGCCCATATCATCATTGATGTCATCATTCTAATTACACTTGGTGAAGCATACAGTTACGAAGCTCATTACACAGTTTTCTCCAACCTCCTATCACTTCATCCCTCTTTGGTCCAAATATTCTCAACACCCTGATCTCGAACACGCTCAGTCTGCGTTCCTCCCTTAATGTCAAAGACCAAGTTTCACACTCATATATAACCAAAGGAAAAATGACAGTTTTGAATATTATAATTTTTACATTTTTAGGCAGCAAATGAGGAAAAAAAAGTTCTGGGCTGAAATGCAGCAAACATTACCCAAATTCAATTTCCTCTTAATTTTCTCCTGAATCTAACTTTGATCTGTCATTCCCAAATATCTGAACTGTGCTACACTTCCAAAGGACCTTAGTTATGTTTACATTATAATTTTGCCTTGCATTCTGCTGAGGAGACAGCAACATATACTTAGTTTTCTCCGTATTTACTTCTAGGCCAACCTCCTTACTAGCATTAATTAAAATTTGTGTTTTTTATACTACATAAGTTATCCCCAAGTAGATTCACATCATGAACATAGACCAGCAGCTGATGTGTTCCATTTAATTTCAGTCCCACCTGGTTTTTCTGGGCTTTCCTAAGGGCATACTCTAAAGCAAAGTTGAAAAGCAATGGCAAAATGGCATCAGCTTGTTTTAGACCATTCTGAATAGGAAACATACCAGAAAAAAAAAATACCTATACAGACTTTGTTGTAGGTTTAATTTAAACATGTTTTTCTCATGTGGTATTATAATATGGCCCATCAACACAAACAAACAACAAACTCCGTGATTTTAGTCCGCAAGCGAACTGGCACCAAACTTTGCCGACAAGCGTCGCGGTGGCTCAGTTGGTCAGTCCATCAACACAACAAATTCAAAATAAATAAACCAATATTACTGTAGTAACATTTCTTTATTATTCCGTATGAGTTACATGTTCTGACCCACCTGGATCATCATCAATTTTTTCATGATAAATCACTTGTTACTGAATTGTGTTCTAAAATGGATCCATATTAGTAATTAGACTAATACAAAATTCATTACCAATGTCTACATATCACTGTGATATTAAATTTTAATATTAGTCACAAAATGATTTGACAACACACTCCAGGGTGACTCAGTATATATTTATATAGTGCCTTTACATGTTTCAGTCAGTTGTGACCATCTTCAGAAGGAAATAACAACATGATAAGGAACTACTATCACATAGATTGTATTACATATGCTTAAAATTTTGTATAAACATTTCTAATTATTAAAGTTAAAAAGGTGTTTTAAGTTAATAATATATTAACATTCTTAATATTTAAAATCTTGAACCTCTGAGGTTTGTGTCTCCATGCCTCTTCTGCCCAAACGGGTGATTGGGGTGTTATTTGCCATCCTCTGAGGTCCGGGCAGCATTCTTTCCTCCTTTTTTATGATTCTTTAAGGATCTGTGTTGTTGTCAAGTTGTTTCTCCTTTCGTTGTGTTGGGAAACAATGCTGCCCAGACCTCAGAGGATGGCAAATAACACCTCAATCTCCTGTTTTGACAGAAGAGGCATGGAGACACAAGATCTCGAATGATCGAATCTTTGGAGTTGCTTGTATAAGTATTACTGTGTATGATTTTCATTCACTTAATTCATGTTAATGTTTATATCACTTCTGAAATACATTTTTGGAACTATCTTGCTAAGTATTCATCTGATAGAGAAGCATCTTAAACAAAAATTGAAAATATTCCATCATCTGGATAATTCTAGCTTCATTTAAAACACAGTGATTATACATAGGTAGGCTGAAAAGTAATGCACACATGTAGAGTGTCAGCGTCGAGTTTGTCGTGTTAGAGGCAGCCTGGCGCCAATAATCTTGCAACATGACAACGCTCATCCACACACCTCGCGCGCAACTGAAGAGGCTCTGCGAAACCTGAAGTTTGAACCGATTC